ACATTCAAGTTTGTTTATTTCATTATCCCTTGTCAAGTGTTTAAAAGAGGCAACTTTAATAAACTAATGAGATTTTACACTTGATAAATTTTTAGATTTTATTTTAAATCATTCTGATCAAAAATGCTGAAAATCTGAAATTAATCAAACAAAGGCTTGTGCTAGAACAGTTTTAGGAACTTTCAGTTTGTCAATCTTATTAAAATTAAATGTTAGATCTGCGCACATATTGGCTAAAATCTAATGGCATCCTGTAGAGTGTCACGTCAGACATTAAATTCTATTAACCAATCAAATACTCGAATGCAAAAATTATTGTATTTAATTTATTGGAATGAATAAGTCTAGAGTCTGAGTTGTTCCGTATTTGACATTTGACTTGACCTTCTATGAATGCTGTTAGATGTTGTGTAGCGAGTATGCAAGAGGATCTAACATGTTGTTTTATTTAGATTGGGATTTTGTTAAACTATATTTTTATATATTTTCAATAGGTTGAAGTAACTGACGAGCAGGTCAATCCATCTTGAACTTGAAGTGCAAGTGGGTCTTCAAAAATGTGGATCACTCAAGGACTTTTCTGTTGGTTGATGATAGACTACAAACTGAATATTTAACAAAGAAATCCACTTTGGTGCTTATTGGCTACTAATGATGTGAACTTGTGCATTTATTATACCAAGTACTTTTACATTTCCTTGATGATACTAGACTTGCATATACTGAATTCAGGTTTAGTTGATTGATTGCAGTTCTAAGTTCCTCTCGCAAGATTATATCTCTCATGTATGAGACATCATTAAATGCAGACATTTTCTCTGTCCTCCTGTTGTGACATGAGAGCTCGGATTTAGTTGTAAAAATATTTATGATGCAAGAGAAAATAAATGGCCAAGCCAATGTATGTAAATGTTGATAGCAACATTAAATATTCTTTGATAACTAGTGTGAGTGTGTTTTGTTTTTTCCAATATGAAAATTCAGGGGGAAAATGAGTTTTGGTTGAAGAGCTGGGCTAAATTGTATAATTTAATTTATAGTACAGTTTCTGTTGCGAAAACCTATGGTACACCATATGTATTTCAACCGTATACCCATACTGAAACCTTGCGTAAACCTCAAGTTTCAGTTGCGGAAACCTATGGTACACCATATGTATTCCAACCGTATACGCATACTGAAACCTTGCGTAAACCTCAAGTTTCAGCAAGTTTCAGTTGTGGAAACCTATGGTACACCATATGTATTTCAACCATATATGCATACTGAAACCTTGTGTATACCTCAAGTTTCAGTTGCGGAAACTATTTGGATTCGTGGACACCTTTGGTTTCCGCACTGCGGAAACTTGATGAAACTTGAAGTTTCCGCACTGAAACTTTGCGGAAACTATTAGTAACCTTAAGTTTCCGCAGAGTTTCAGTAGAGTTTCAGCCATGCGGAAACTGTATTTTTCATCCAGTGACTCAGTTTTGATTATTATTACAATTTTACCTTGCATTACATCTGCTCTAAAAATTAGCTTGAGGTTTTTCTAAGTTGTATTTTTTCTAAATTATTTTTTAAACTAAAATAAAAAATGTAATGTAGTTTTCTAAAACTAATTAAAGATTAATGAAACATTACGTTTTTAACTTCTATCATCGTTTAAAGTTTTTTTTCTGTGTACATACGGAGATTTCTGAAAATGTGTATTTTAATACGATTTACCGCTTAATCGGTCAGAACATATTGCGGTTCACCGATAAGCAATACTGCATTCGATTGCCATCCCTAGTTTTTAAATATCAACTCTGATTCACACTTGCCAATTATAGTTCAGCTTCATAAACAATGATTCACACTAATAAACTATAGTTAATTAAGAATTGTTAAATATAGTTTATGAATCTAAACACCTAATAACTGTTGTTTTCAAATATAATTTTTGCGACACAAATCGCCTAATTGCAGTAATTTTTATATGAAAAGGAATACATTTCTCTCTATTTTTTTTCATTAATTGTTCTGTAATTTTCTTTTTAATTCCCACTATTTTGGCTAAAACTTAATCTTAATAAAACACATTTACTTTTCATGTCAGCAACAATACACATGTATATATTAACAACTTAAAATAATCATTGCTTTGAATAGCAAAATATGTTATAGTGCTATGTCCAGGATAAACTGCTCTAATTTGTCATCACAGCCGTCGTGCTCTGTTCAGTCAGATATAACAAGATTTTTTTTTCTCTATTTACAATTATTTATCTGTAAATGAAATCAATATAAACAATATTTACAACATATTTTTACAACTATTATTTACAATATATAGAACTTAAAGTCTCTTTTAATCCTCAATATCATCCTAGTGTTGGCTCAGAATCACGTCCACACAGACACGCCCCGTTTCACGACGGACTCCCACCAAGTGGCTCCCAGTGGGTATCCCTGTCTGGTCGCCAACAAACACATGGCTAGATTATAATTGGATTACATCAGAAACCTTTAAATTAAATAAAATTTTTGAGTCACAGGTTACGTATACAAAAAGAAAAAAAACTCAAGTCAACATTGACTACAACTGCACTAACGGCACACCACATATTCAGTATCGGTATTTCTAACCAAACACTGTCAAATTTAAAAGCAACATTAAGAATAGAAAATTTTTTGACAAAATTGGTTTTAACAATTAAACCCACAACACCGTTCTTTATATGTACATTGCACAAAAATAGAACAATAAACGCATGAGTAACTCTACCCAGCAAACCCTGTATACGTAAATGGTTACAAAAACATTATACTTAACTCAAATTCTGAAATAGTAAGTTCTACGTTTTAAATGTAATACTCAAAAACTTACATATATAAAAAATAACAAACTTACCCCTTATGGAGGAATGGTTACCGTTGAAATAGTATTTATCAACTCATCTTGGACTGTACGTCAAGCATGTAAAATCTATGAAAACGTGGTCCCCGGCTACTTGGTCAGCTATGCAGCGATTTAAATACCTTCTATACAATAGGCCGTAACTGACCAATGCCAACAATTCTAAATTTGAGGTTCAATAAGGTAACAATATAAAGAGGTCCAGTAAAGGGTAAATAAAATAAAACATAAACATAATCATAATGTCAAAACAATTAAGATAAATTATTGATTGTGACAATGTATAATTTGAAAAATTTTGTTAACCATAGGTTCCATCGTAAACTATGGTTTCTATGGTTTCAAAGAAAATTGTGCATCTCAAATACAAGATAATTGAATTTGTGTTCCTAAGCTGATTTTCTGAAACGTAAAATTATGTTTATCGCATTTTTGTGCATTTGGCGCTTTGAATGCCCATAAACTATACTTTACAAACCCTGAAATATAGCTAGGAGTTGTAAACAATAGCAGGAGTGATCAAAAGTTAGCGAACTAAATAAATTACTTCCATAAAAGAAAAGGAAATAGGTTTCATTGTTTATTATTTTATAAGTATTCCTATCCAATGTAAATGTACATCTGTCACAATTCTGTCCATGGACGATTAAGGTGTCCGGCCAGGCGGTTACTTGACATGCTGTAAAGCGTTCTGTTAACAGAAACTAAAATAATTTTCTGAACTTATACTTCATACCATGCTAGATACATGTACTTTTTATAACAAAAACGGTCCATATGTTAGAAAAGGCCATATCTTGGCAAGAGTATGGGAAGATAAGGATATATTTTTCAAAAGATGAGCATGGTGACCATTACAGCACTAGTCCTCAGTCTTGGGAGCTTCGGTTATCCTAGGTGGATAAAGTTTGAGCGCTTTTTTTTGGTCATTTCTTATATGTTTTAAGTCTGAGGTAAACAATATTTTGGAGATTTAATAATTATATCATTGTTAAAATATCCAGCTGTTTTTTCCAACTACGATTGGGCGATTTTTCATGTTATATTGCTCAATTAAGGACATTTATCTCTGCTCCCTAGTTTGCTTTCACTGGGCTACGGAACAAATAGCATTTTCAAGCATTTCCCATCTTTCACTAAAACAAATAATCCAATGAATGACTAAATTTCTGGTAATTCTTTTATCTTAATAAATCTTGATCAAATTATCATATTCCACTGCAAATGAACTTCCAAAAGAAACGTTGAACTTTACAGCCACCGACCGTTGCATGAGTACGACAGAGGCAAACATGTTTTGTAATAAGTAACCTACATATTGAGTCATTGGGACGCTTTAAACATGGAGCAAAACGTTACATACCATTTTTTATTTACAGAACATATGTTTGACTATATGTGTCAAATTTCGGTCTGATCTGAACAGTAGTTTTTCAAATACAGAGATAGTTCGTGAACCTTTTCATCATCCCTCGTAATTTACAAATCGTGAAACTATATTGATCATTAAACCAATATTTTGCAGTAGCAAATGATTATTTTCAATATTACTTATAGTTTACGCTTGTGAAACATAGATTTTGGCGTAAACTATAGTTTACAGATGTGAAATAAAGATTATAATTGTTAACTGTAAACTATAAACAGTCGATAAACCTGATTTAAATATAACTAAGATTAGCTCCTTTCTGTAAATATCCTTATCTTTTATACACTGTATGACATTGTACATTTGAATTTTTAAGAGATTAAGATCAGTGACCGTTTAAACGCTTAAGCAGATTATGATTTTACTCAAAAAATAAAATTTATTTCCTCTTCATGCCTTAAATTCTGGTTTATTTGAACAATTCACCAATAGAAACTGTTCAAATATATGTGATATTAATTAGTGACCCATGATAACAACCTCATAATCTAAAACGAAGGTGTAACGTTTAATAAATTTTACAATAAAAATCTAGCTATCTATTAAAAGCAACTCTTTATTTGAACACAACATTTAATGATTCTTTAATGCCCCACATTTTCGCCTCATTCTATAAGACCAAACTTCGGTGAATGCAAGAGTTTAACACAAGAATAATAATACAACAAAAGAAAGATAACTCTCTTAAGATTGCTTTGTAACAAGATATAAGGACGGCCATTGGTGGACAGAAAAGAAAGTACTCTATTGCAAGGTATTCTTTTACAGTCTCATTTTCTTTACTAGATGTATATAATTTATATAGCCTATTAGATGCTTAAATAAATCAATATGAAATTATTTATGAGATTGGTAAATATATATTAACCTCTTTTAAATTACTTTCGTTTTCGCAGACATTAAAAAAATCGATAAACAATATAAATCGACAAACAAAGTAAGGAATAAATGTTCATGTGTACTTCTAACTTTTTAGGTTTATTATGGATTCTCGCACGAGTGTACAAGATGTAATCCGATGTGACCTTTGTGGAACAGTTGAAGTACAGAAGTACTGTGATTTCTGTCATGTCAATCTATGTATTCCTTGCATAGGAAAACATATCTCTGATGACTATGACAAACATAAAGTTGTCACATTCCGACAAAAAAAGTCAACTTTAATTTTTCGTAAGTGTACAGCACATCAAACAAGAGACTGTGAGTTTCTCTGTAAAACGTGCAAAACCTCTGTGTGCTCTCTGTGTAATATATCTGATACACATAGGGGGCATGTAGTTTCATCTCTTTCTGATCTCTTTTATTCAAAACGGAAAGAAATTAAGAAAGATACTGATGAATTAGAAAACTCAATTTCTCCAAGGTATGCAGAAATTGCAAATGAAATAGAAAACCAGATAGCTAACTTAGATGGGGAATATGGAAATCTTACAACAACGTTGATCAAATGTGGAGAAGAATGGCACAGAGCAGTTGACTTAATTGTCGAAAAATTAAGAATTGAAATAGAAAAGGTAAAAACGAAACATGAGAGTATTCTGAAGGAGCATTTGAGTGAAATTGAACAGATACAGACTCTTATTGAACAAACACTTCTAAATCTTACTCAAATTGAAGATTCAAATGAAGTGTCTTTGACCATGGAATACAACTCACGAACCAAGGAATTCAGCAAACTACCTCCAAAACTTCAAATATCACTACCAACCTTTAGTTCAAGGACAATAGACACAGAACAGTTTTACAAGCTGTTTGGATATCTAACAAAATTATCCGTCACAACAGAGGAAAATGGCTACGAAGTGAAGAAACCAAAGATATCAACAAAAGAGATGATGGAGGCACAGGTAAGTGATATTCCTTTAACACATCGATCACATTATTTGTACCCACAAACATTGATATTTTGTTAGATTGGGGTCTCTTTCCTCTTATTTACTGTATTAATTCTCTGGACAAATCGGTTTTTGGTTAAGAAACTTAATCAATAGATGTATTTTATGCTTTCAGACTTGGGACACAGAGAACAAGCCCTTTACCAATAAGCTGCTGGTGGCCGCCATTGACTTAGGTACCACCTACAGCGGCCTTGCATTGTCCTTTACACATGAATACGAAAAGGACCCTTTGAAGGTCAGAAATAACATCTGGTTAGCAGGCTGCACGAGTCTGGTGTCCCTAAAGACCCCCACCTGTGTTCTGTTCAATAAAGACAAAGTGTTCGACGCGTTTGGTTATGAAGCGGAGGATAAATATGCAGAACTGGCAGAGGAAGAGGAACATGAAGAGTGGTATTACTTCAAGAGGTTCAATATGTCTCTCTATAACAAAGAGGCAAGTTCATCTCTTAAAAAATGTTTACTCTGAAAAATCAAATAATTATTTGTAAAGTCAGGATTATTGATTGGTAATTGCTCCGTTTACAATAACGTAATTTATCGGGTATTCTAGCATTTTCTATCAGCACTCTATTAGATGAGAAAGCCTGAACTAACTTCTACTTGGTTTTGTCCCATGCTGATTTTTCAATTCTGAGATACAACCCAGGTTTAAGTAAACATGGGAAAGGCAGTTAAAGATAATTAGAATAGATATGTTTGAGGAAAGAATGGAGGCGTACAAGCCGAGGACAATTCCCCGCCCTGAGAAAAGATATTTATCAATTTTATTAGTTCATGAAAGCATTATTATTTTAAATTTATATGGTTTTTATCATCCTTTACACATTTAATTATATATTTCATGGTTTTGATATTTTATTATTAGATAATCTATGTTTCACTGATGTTTTTAAGATATTTGAAAACAAAAAAGTAAATTCTTCCGGTATGATTCGAACTCTCTCCAAAGGACAGAGTTTGGCGCAAGACCAACTGTGTTTATCACTACGTTACGTTGAAGGGTATATTTTTCAAAAAAGTTATTTTTTTTTTATATAATTGGATTTATAATCCTTTTTTTTGACAAACGAAATAGAATGTACATTTATGTTTCCATCATTTATGCGTTAACGAAGAATGGAGACTTGAACCATTCATGTTCAAAAGTCATTTTTTATGGCTCTATCAAACTCATGTTCTACTAAATATGCTTAACTGTCAACTTTGAAATAAAATTTCTCAAATTATAAATCGTTCAGTGAAATAAAATAATATAATGTTTTGAAGATGACAATACTGAGAACATGATTTTAGAAAAAATCTTACTTTTCCATGAATGTTGAAAATTTAGAAACATATTTTCTCAGCGCGGGGCATTGTATACGCCTTATATGTCCTCTTTCTTTGTATAATGTAATAAGCTTCGATTTAACATTGAACCTTTTAAATTAGGAGACTGTATGTTTTCAAAATTCTAACGATGTACGTATTTCTCACAGGAACCACTTTCAAAAGCAGTAGAAATAAAATCTATAGACGGGAAGGAGATGATGGCTTTAGCTGTGTTTTCTGCGGCCATTAAATTCTTCAAGGGTCACCTACTGTATTCTCTAAAAAAAGAAGAAGCAGGGATCAGGGAAACTGATATAGGATGGGTCTTAACAGTTCCCGCTATCTTGGACGATCCTGCCAGACAGTTTATGAGAGAGGCGGCAGTTAGGGTACATGTATAAGCTATGAATTAGTCTAGAGATATCAGCAACTTCAATTAGAGTTTTTATGTACATAAAGCCTATTTAGGACCCTTTTAAAATATATATTTGAATGTCATATAATGAGTTGTCGAATTTGTTCCAACAGATGAAATTTGGAATTTCAAATTTCTTTGAACTCTTTAAAATGAATTTGACGAATTCGTTAAAACAAATTCGAGAATTTATTATAGCCAATTCAATTCGTTTAAGCTATTTGTAATAACAAATTAAATACACTAAAAACAAATTCTAATATTTGTTATAACAAATCATATTCGCTAATAGAGAAGTTTGTTACAAATTTCTTAACTCGTTATTTATAAATAAATTAAATCAAATTACAACAATATCGACAATTTATGATATCGTATTCAGATTTTTTTGATAGCTCCTCAAAAGGCTTCCGTAGTATGGATAGATGATACAAACAATTTCTTTTAGGATGAAACTTATAATCCGTAACAGCTTTAGACAGCTTTAACAGCTTTGTAAAAATCAATCTACTTGATTTTTTCTGATTTTTTAAAAAAAATCATTTTGTTTTTCCATATCGAATTCACCTGGCTTTTTTGAAAAAAAGTTTATATTACACTTCAAGCACCACGCTAACATATTCTGAAATTTGTTTTCATCTGAAAACCTTTACTGTGTATGTTTGTCTATGTTTGTAATGTTAATGCAGTATTATGAGTAATTTTTCATTTTCCAAATCTAAGGAGATAAAAAAATTCAAAGAATTATTTTCTTTCTTAAACAGTGACATGATATTTTGACTTCTCTAAAGAAAAAAACATGTGTTTGTATTATTTGTCCTTGAATGGGGCTTACAGTTTTTCAAACTTAACCTGTATATTTAAAGTTTTAATTGAGACTGCAGTATAAAAAAATCTTTTGAAATATATAAATTTTGTTTAAGGCTTGTTTACAAATATAAGATTTTAATTTGTTTTTAGGCTGGAATATCCAGGGACCAGTTACTGATAGCACCGGAGCCTGGGGTGGCCTTGCTATACTGTAAACATCTCCCCGTAGAGAAACTACATTCTAAGGGTGGCGTCCAGGGATCAGAGATCTTCGAGGGAAGCAAATACCTAGTTCTGGATTGTGGAGGTAAGCTTTAGTTTTGAATGCCCTTAGGTATAGCTCACCTCTCATATTATTATTTAACATGTCCTTATCAGAAAACACTCTCTCTAACAAGTCAGGTGTTTCTAAAAATACTTACCATTATCCTAGCGTTTGTTAATATCAAAGTAAAGGATTTCTTTTTTTTCTTTTTTAAATTAATATTGCTTTGCAAAATTGCTGAAATAACTTTATTCTATCCAGTCAGCTGCTATGTTCTCTGAAAGAAAAAAATAAAACAATAATTTGATAAGGCTAAGCATGCATTTACAGTAAAAACTCTTTATCTCAAACTCAATAATAAGTCAAAATTACACAATATTGTATGAAAAAATTTAAAGATACGAGTAAGTAAAATAAGTAAAAAAAAATACTATCGGTAAACATGTAAGGAAGAAATTAAACTCTATGAAAAAAATATGTATTTGTACTGTAAATAAATCAAATTGAAATCTAACAGAATCATTACATGCATTTTTTCGTTCGCATTAAAAAATACGAAAATAAAACTTTTAAATGTCAATGAAAGACATAATCAAATATTAAAATGAAAATGTATAAAAATATACAATCAAGTTATGGTACCAATGAAAAATATGAAATTAAAACTTTATTGAGGCCACTAATAATGCAAACACACTTTCAGCTAATCAAATATTAAGATTATATTTTTGAAATGATATGGCAAATAAATAAATACAAATAAAATTAAATATCATTAAATCAAATACAGGTACGAATAAAGCTTAGATTGCATGATATACATGTAAACAGGCCATTTTATAGTCCGTTAGACCAAGTATTACACGGGACAGTGTGCTCGCAATAAAAGCATTCTCGTGAATATACCGGGTATGTAAAACTTAAGGAAGTTCTAAACACTGATAATGCTTCTTGGATGTAGAGAAAAATATATCTTATAAAGGTGCGCATATTGGAACTATTTAGTTAATTTCAGCATAGGATACCGTCCTTTTTTTCGCAGGAAAAATGTTCAAAGACAATAGATTTTTCGTGAATAGAAATCACTGTTGTTTATCTAAATAGGGGAAAAATGGGGGAAAATAACCCATTTACTAAATCCTGGTCTAATATGATTCTAAGATTCTTTTAACGCATTAAAATTATGTAATTAACTGTAAATAACCATTTTTTTCTATTTCACTTTGAAGGGGATATCACACTAAACCCATCTACCCTATAAATATAACTTTTTAATGAGCAGTGTTTAGAGCTTCTTTAAAATTATATATAAAGTAGTTAACAAAAATCGTGCTTTTTTCTTTCAAATTCTGCTAGTAAATAGATGCTGTCTACCTCGCGAATAAAAAGTGTCGGGAAAATTGATCAACAGTAAGCTACAGTATTCACATTTTCCAAACATGCAAAAATGTTTTTACCATTATATTGATTTTGTTTATCAGTATTAGATAAAAATTAATTCATTAATAATTTCATAACATGTTTACTCAAATGAATTTTAACTTGATGCTTATTATACATTATTTTAAAAGCCCCTTGCATTTTTAAATACCTTCATAAAAATTTTTTAAGTGCAAATGGACAATCAATAAACGTATTGAAATTTTGAGAGATATATTTGGGAGTTTTCGAAACACTTCTGTATTTTAAAGGAGGAACAGTAGATATCACCGTTTATGAATTACAACCTGATCTCAGCCTAATGGAACTGTACAGAGCTGGTGGAAGGACATGTGGAGGGACTCAGGTAGATGAGGCCTTCAAACAAATGCTGATCAAAATAGTAACAGCCCCCATCCTCGTTGAGTTTTCCCGCTCACATACAGCTGATTATGTGAATATGTATCGAGAATTCGAAATTAAGAAGCGTTCCTTTAAAGGTGACGCACAGGGCAAGGTCACCCTAAAAATTCCAATATCCCTGTTGGAAACTTTCGAAGAGAATACAGGGGAATATATAAAAGAGGCAATAGAGAAAAGCAAGTATTCAGGAAAAATCACATTGGTAGGGGACAGATGCAGAATAACAGCAGAAGTGATGAAGAGCTTGTTTGAAGTGGCAGGAGATCAAATTGTGGATCATGTTAGAGACCTATTAAAGAAATCGGAGATCTTAGGAATCAACAACATTATAATGGTCGGAGGATTTTCCGAGTCACCAATTCTACAGGACATGATCAAGCAATCTTTTCCAGATATGAGAGTTATTATTCCCCCCGAGCCAGGGCTTGCAGTTCTCAAAGGGGCGGTGCTGTTTGGACACAAACCTGTCACAATTTCTTCTCGCATTTCCAAATAAAGCTAAAACTACAGTCTACCTTTATCCAAGCATACGAATAGCTGAATAGAAAAAAAAACTATTCTGAAATATGAATGAAGATATATGTCATCAAATTAAGTCAGTTTTAAAGACACAAGTTTTCGCATTTTCACAAAGGGACAGTGCTGTTTGGACAAAAATTTGTCACCAATTGTTCTGGCATCGCGAATTTAAGATTCTACAGTCAACTTTAATCCAAGTTTTCGAACAACTGAAAAGGAAAAGACATACTGAAATCTCACTGAAATGTCATAGAAATAAACCTGTATTATAGTCATACGTTTTAGCATTTTTTGTACTTTTTTTTTTACGAATTTCGAACCTTGAACAGGAGGAACCCTAAAAGTAGGGTTTTTAAAACAGTTGTTTAAAAAATATGATTTAACAAATATTGTCTATAAATTTTATTTCTAAGTTTGCTTAATGACATAAAGAAATTTTATCACGTCATTAGTCATTTTACGTTTTAACAAGAGGCCCACGGTCCTTATAGGTCACCTGAGTATATGTAACAACTTTCCAACAATTGAATTTGGTTTGTGTTTTAAACCAGAGGCCATGAAATTCTGAAAGTTTGGAAAGAAGCATCATTGCTTATCATAATAATAAACTAAGCATGCTTGCTTACTCTATTTACTTAAGACCCAGAGGTAGATAAGAATAACAAAGAGAAAATGCACTTCCACTTTATAACCAGTTGTGCACCCCAAAGTAACCACTGACCCTGGGGCCAAATATTTAAAAAATTTGAAAATTTTATCATAAATTTCATTTCATCATAAATGATTGATTAATACCAAAGAGCCGATGTCAAAGCATTCATTCACTATGTACCCACCCCCTCCTCAATTTAGGAAATTAACCATTTTGCTATATGCACCTTCCTTCATCCTAAATATATAAACTTGGATCATAAGCATAATACCCAAAGTAAAGAAAACGATTTTCAAAGAATAAATGTATTTTCAATATATAATCAAAAGAACCCCCCCCCCTTACACCAAATGGCAAAAACCCTGAAACAAGGGTCAAGAAATTCACAAATTTGAATGAGGCATTATAACTATATATTAAGTTAGTTTATTTCATACCCAGGAATAGAGAAAACAACGTTGAAAGAATTAATGCATTTTCACAATATGATCAATAGTGCCCCGCCCTAACACCAGAACCCCTGACCCTGGGGCCATAAAATTCACAATTTTGGAAGAGGCACTCCTGCTCATAATAACTATAATTACTTAGTTTATTTCATACCCAGGAGCAGAGAAGAAGATTTTCAAAGATTTAACGCATTTTCACTATGTAATCAATAGAGCCCCGTCCTAGCACCAGAACCCCTGACCCTGGGGTCATAAAATTCACAATTTTGAAAGATGCACTCTTGCTCATAATAACTATATATTTAATTAGTTTATTTTATACCCAGGAGCAGAGAAGAAGATTTTTAAAGATTTAATGCATTGTCAGTATACAATCAATAGAGCCCCACCCTAGCACTAGAACCCTGACCCTGGGGTCATGAATTTCACAATTTTAGCAGAGGACTCAATGTTCATTACATTCACACCAACAGTTTGCCTGATGTCCAGGAGTAAAGAAGAAGATTTTTAAACATTTCATTAATTTTAGTGATTTTGGCCCCACCCCTCAGGCCCCCCCGGGGGGGGCACCATCAAAATCACAATTTTTGTTCCCCTTCAACCATAGATGCTGTATACTAAATTTGTTTGAAATTGGTTCTGTGGTATCAAAGAAGAAGCTGAAAATGTTCAAATGTTAACACACGACGGACGACGGACGTCGCACGACGCATGATGACGGACGAAAACGGATAGCAATAGGTCACCTGAGCGACTCAGGTGACCTACAAATTAATGATCCCTCTCTCGGTAGTAAACGAAACGAAACAAGTGCCGTTAACATAAAAGTAAAGAGTAAAATTTCCAAGTATGAAACAGATGTTTCAGACTGTGATATCTTTCAACTCAAGCTCACCAGGATATATCGTATCGGCATAGGAATGGAAATTAACATTGCTAAATGACAATACGTCGTCGATATATCTAAATGTCGAGTTGAAAGCCACAGCAGGTGTTCTCTTCTTTTCACGCATAAGATTTTGCACTTAAATTCTGCTTCATATGAATACAAAAATAGGTCTGCTAATAATGGAGCGCAATTGGTACCCATGGGAATACAATAGATTGTTGGAAGACCTGGTCTCCAAAACCCACATAAATTTTGTCAATCAGAAACTGAAGCATTTTCTTATGTAAACTTCAGAGTACCTGTGTGTGCAATCAAGAATGTGTTTTTAACAAAATAATTTTGAAAATGGCCAATGATCAGGTTAGTAGATCCGTGATTTTCATTTCAATTGAAAAGGCAGCTTACAATGACATCAAAGAGGCTGGACTTTAATTAATCGTGGGGAATGGTTGTACTTTTTTAAGCTGTTGATTTTGGTAAAATCTTGTGATTTCAAATTTTCCAAAAGTTCTTTTGAATTTTTTAGTATTCACATCTGATTCACATAAATTCTCGAATTTAGTATCCCTACGAGAAAGATAAATGCACTGATGAACGCCAGGTACAGGAGAATCAATATTGTAACATATACGTATGGGAGACAATGGGAATCTTTATATTCGCTTTTGAGGGTATCGTTATTTAAGGAATCATTGTCTAGTTAGTATAGTATGCCAGGGCATCAACGCTAGTGGGAAACATGGGATAATTTGCATAACGGTCGAAGGATTCCTTATATTTTCATTTCATTAGACTTTAAAAATGTAGACATAGTATTAAATGACACAAGGACTTCCGTGGCAATTTCAATAGTCCTCGCCCACTGACGTCAAACATATAGGCAGCCGAACGAGATTTACATGCATATTTGGCCTCCTTAGCGTCAGACACAGAGACAGATGCGCACGAGATTTGCATTCATATTAGGCCACCTTAGCTCCTGACATGTTGACCTGCCTAATTTACATTCCGGCAGATTTATCAAGAAATAAACCCGACAACTTTCAAAGAGTTATCACAAACAAAAAAAATTAGAAATGAAAATATATGGATATCAATAACTCATGAATTATGCAGTCAAAATGACATAATAAAATTTAAATAACGTTACAATACTGGAAAATTCCTAAAAAATATTATAGTTTTAAGGATGTAACCGGAATTCCAAAGGATGTGATACTGGCAATATTTTGAAATCAATGTTCTTTAGTTGTTCTTTAGTTGTTCAAAAACAATGATTTAACAAATAATGCATGTATACTTTGGCCTAGAGGAGCTGATTTACTTGACACTTACAACATTTTTGTGACGTCATCTTTTGTTAAACCTGGTGCAATAAATTTGTTATTGACCTGCATCCCGTCCAATAAGTTACCTGTATGTGTCCAATAAGATTCAACTTATTGGACAAGTACAGGTAACATTCAAATGAGAACAAAGGGCGAGGCGAATAAGTAAACAGCACTTAAAAGAAATTGACACATCAAACAATTTAATATGAACAATGTAGGAAATTAGTAGCGTTAAATGTTAATATTACATAAAATATCCTATTAAAAATGGCACAAATAATCCAGTGAATTGAATGTTTCAATGTTCCGCATTTAGCACAACATTAAGCTCACAAAGTTCGAAGTTCGAAACCTGCACACAAAAGAGAAAGTGTTGCATTTCAAAAAAAAAAAAAAAAAAAAAAAAAAAAAAACAAAAAAAACATCAGAAATAATCTCCCAAATTTCATAGAAAATGCTTTAAAAACAGTTGTTTGAGTAAAATCTTTCAAATCCTATTGCTTTACAAAAATTACCTGTTAACGGGAATCTGTTTCTTGTAAATTCCGAAACATCAGAATATATATCCGGATTTCACAGTAAAAACTTGAACTGAGGCATCTTGGTGCAAACGATAAATGGCATCGTCACAACACCCGATTCTGAAGGTCTTTTTTCAAAATTGAAATGTACGTCGTCATCCGTGGTCGTTGCGTTGTAAAATGAATAAATTGTATAGAATTTAAAAGAACTGACTTTTACGCATGCGTAGTATATATAAAAATGTCGCAATGCGGATAAATAAGACTAAACAAAGTTAATGTTCAAATCAATCGATATAAAACACCTCTCGATGATTCCTACTATGTAAAGGTTATAAGCCAAAAACTGTCCATTCTGTGAGAAGAAAGAACTGTTGGAGGGCCGTTAGGCCCGACAATAGTTCTGTTCTTTTTTCTCACAGAATGGACAGTTTGAGGCCTATAACCTACTTAAAACATTTACCCTATTGTGTTCATAATGTACTCTCTTAGAACTTTTTCTCATCCATTGTATTAAGTAACCATTGTCTACTTATTGGACTGTCTCAGGTGAAGGTTATTTACAATCAAAAGAATCTTGTATTCATTGTAATTGTTAACTTAGTGGACAGTTAAAGGTAAGTGCAATTTTTAAACAACCGACTAAAGAAAATCGGGTTATTTAATCACAAGGCATGAGACTCAATCACCATTTTGTTGTGATTGTGAATGTTGAAAGCATGTCTTCTTCCAAGGAAGCATATTTTGATGCAAAACAACTTCAGATATGAAGGGCAATGCAAATGTTATTCTCGTGATATTTTGAGCCTAGGATTGTCAAGAAAATGAACTTTGAGCTCAAGGTGAACGCTTTATATTCAAATATTTCTCAACTTTTGGGCAAGGGCTTTCGAGGCTGCAGAAAAGCAAAGGAATTGTCGAAAGATTTCCGAAATTTAATCAACAATATTCAGACGACTTAGAAGAGGATAATCAGAGCAGAAAGTAAACGGGTAGTTATTGTTGTCAGGAGCAGTGATATCCCCTCGTGTGCTGTTGGTGCAAACTAATTTCCAATAGAATTCGGGAGATATTTCCTTCCAATTTAAGGTTTGATAATCAATGTGAGTTGGAATATACATTTCATCATTTATTGGAATGAAACTCATTTCAGTTTTTGATTCTGTCACATGGAATGGATTATTTGATTACACAGTGAAACATGTTGGATTAATTGCCTGAAATATATTTACATGTATTTGTATTTATTTGTCTTGTGTTTTCTTAATCCAGTGAGTTACCTGTAGCCATCCAATAAGTTATTGAAAACTGTCCATTATCTTTAATTATTTTTTATAATGGACAGATTTTCAAACTTATTGGACAGCTTCAGGTAACTTATTGGACTGTTTTGAGTCTTGCAAGAAATAGAAAGCATTAAAAGAACAAAAGATGATGTCATACTAATGTTTTAAAAATAAAGACAGAAGAAAAACCAAAACTGGTTTTCTTTGGCCTAACTTGATGAACGGTGCCAGGTAGTCATCCAAGCAGAACGAGACCTTACCTGTGACTGTCCAATAAGTTAACAATGGAAGTGTTCGACAGTGGTGAAATGTTTTAAGTAAGTTATAAGCCTCAAACTGACCATTATGTTAGATATAAGACTCACCTCGGCGCTAACGCGCCTCGGGTCGTCTAATATCTGACATAATGGACAGTTTTCGGCTTATAACCATTACATATATCTGAAGCAATTGATTTATAGATTGATTTAAAAATCCAGTTAACGGCCCTTGATCATTACTTTTTAACAAGTATTATGACCAATGACGCCATAAAATTTTTTAAATGCCTTTCAGTAAATGTCAGAAATATCAGTTTACTGTTCTACACAGTAATTTTTACACCATTGTTTTTAAACTGCTTTTGTCGGGAATATATATGTAGTTGTTTGCCTGACCAATCAATGATGAGAATTGTTGTTATTTTTGAAAGCAATATGAGCTGCAAATTTTAAGTATGATTTTTGTTGTTGCAAAATTGTAATTAACTATTTCATTGACAAAAAACCAAACATTTATAAGTCCTGTTGTTCATATTTGCGATGGAAAACCCATTTATAAGCTTTGATTATACCCCTTTCTCATTTGTAAACTAAACACTTTTCGTTAGCCATAATTAAGAGTTGATAATCCTAGTTTATCGTCGTTAACTAAAATTCACACTCGTAAACTATAGTTAAGAGTTGTTAAATATAGTTTATAAATATAAATACCTCTTAACTGTTAATGATACATGTAGTTTCAATTCAAAATTTCGACGCATCAATAGCGAGAAGCAATAATAAATGTGTGTCATTGCCGTAAGAATTCTATGTGAAAAGGAACAACAAATCCTGTTCCATGTAAACATAATTACGTCATAGTAATTTCTATTCTTTAAAATATTTAACAATAAGTTAATTTTTCAGCAACTTGTCTGATTATTCTGTTTTCTTTGAACATCGCAGAAGGTTTTTTCGAATTGCTTAAAAATTATAAACATTTACTTTTAATGTCAATAGGAATATGCATGCATATATTTGACAGCCACTGAAAATAATCGTTGCGTTGCATGGCAAAGTAATGTGTTGATAGCGATGTGACTAGGATCTTTTGATCCATAATAAAAAAAAACTACTGTTAACCATAGTTTCTATGATGGTTACCTATGGTTTTTAGTTCCACCGAAAATTGCGCATCTCTGATACAAAATAAGAATTTCTGTTCCATAACTGTTTTCAATTTACATTTGTTAAGTATAGTTTAGAGATGTAAATCACACAAAGGATGATGAGAAAATTAGCGAACTAAATCAATTACTTCAATACAAAAATAAAATAATTTCTAAGATTTCATTATTTCTCAAAGTTGTCCTACATATATCAAATTTTAATGCACACCGTTTGCACATGCACGAAACAAGTCTAATCGCTTTTTTTTGTCATACATTATATGTTTAAAGTCTAAAGAAACAATATTTTGTGAATTAAATAATTCTATTATAATTGAAATATTCAACTATTTTTCCATAACAAATTGCTTAACTAAGAACATCTCTTCCCCAGCTTGCTTCCACTGGGCTACAGAATAAATATCGTTTTCAAGCATCTCCCTTCCTTCTCTAAAACAATCAATCCGATTAATGATTGACTTCTGACAAGTCTCTTGTCTTCATATTGTACAAATTATTATATTTTACTGCTTAGGAATTTCCAAGATATACGTCAAACTCTAAAGCCGACCTTTGCTCGAGAACGACAGAGTCAACCGTTTTATGTAACAAGTCACCTACATATTGAATCATTTTCAAATTGTGACGTCATAAACATGGAGCAAAACGTTATAAAATATTTTATATTTATAGAGAATGTGTATGACTACTAGAGTATATGTGTGCAAAATTTTATTCTGATATAGAGTTTGAGTTTTTGAATATAGAGATAGGCACACGAACCTTTCGATCACCACTCGTAGTTTACAAATCGTAAAACTATATTTATCAGAGAAACGATATTTGCAGTTGCAAATGATTGTTTTCAATGTTAATTATAGTTTAAGGTTATAAAACATAGTTTATAGTATGGACTATAGCTTACAGACGTAAAATGTATAGTTCACATTGTTAACTGCAGTCCGTAAACATAGTTAACAGTCGATAAACCTAGTTTAAATTATCAACTTGAAAACAATAATTAGCTCATTTCTGTAAATTAATCGTGTGATATCATCATCTATTACATGTACATTTGAGTTTTTATAGATAAAAATCGATGACCGATTCCATTCTTAAGCATATTTGTTTTGTTTTTTTTTTATCGAGAAACAAATTATTTCCTCTTTATGTCTTAAATCCTGGTTTATTCGAAGAATTAACAAAATAACGATTTTTCCTCTATATGAAAGATTAGTGACCCATGCCCACGACCTTATAATCTAAAATAAAGTAAGAATTTTAATCAATTTTACGATGAAAAAGTAGTAATCTATTAAGAACATTAATTATATAGCCAATACCACATTGATTATTTGATGCGCCATATTTTCGCCTCATTCTAGTAGACTAAAATTTGGTGAATGCAAGCTAAAATTTTATTCAATATTAATTTTACAACACAAAAAGGATAACTCTCTTTGCAATAGGTAATGTATATTTAATAGAGATTTCTTTGTGATAAGAACGGGGTCCATTGGTGGACGGAAAAGAAATTGCACTATTTGAAGGTATTGCTTTACATACTCATTTTCTTTACTAGATATAAATAATCTATATACCTGATATTAGATTTGGATTTTTGAGTTTTTGAAATATTTATAGTGAAAAAAGGGGAGTCATATTTGTCCATCTACAATGAAATTAATGTTTTAACGACAGTCTGCATATCTCCAATAAAAGTGTCCTACAATTTTTGTGCTGATGATTCAATGATTCAGTATCAAGTGATTTATGAGGACATTAAAAAAATCAATAAGATAAACAAATAAAGTACATTTGTACCTTTAACCTTTTAGATTTATTATGGTTCCCATTAGGAGTGCGCAAGATGTAATCCGATGTGACATTTGTGAGACAGTTATAGTACAGAAGTACTGTGATTTCTGTCACGCGGGTATGTTGAGGAAGCATATAAGTCATTTCTCGGAAAATTTAGACTTTTTAAAGAAAATTAAGTTTGATAATTTACCAAAACCTCTGAAAAATGTAAACTGTTATTAACTATTGCGTACAGGTAAAAGAGTGTCTAATGCAAAGACGTGCACCACCGCCACGGGATCACGTGACTTCTATTAATAGCAAAATTTTCCTAAATAAAAAAGCTAACAGAACAACAATATCCCGGAGTTTAATAATTTCTTTTACTAAATAATATAGTTGAAAAACATCACTTTTTCCTAAAAAGAGCTGCTAGAATCCCACAGTCTTGTCAGTAAAATAATTATTCCACACATTCACATGAAACCTTACCCAATGTTTTGAATTTTTTGCATATGAACCGAGATTTCTCGTAAAACAATGCTTAACTCGGGATTCTAGCAGCACTTTCCAAGTTTGTCATAAGGCAAACTTTCCATTGATACAAATCTTTTGTTTTGAAATATCCAGCTTATTGTTGTTTTGTTGCATTATTTTTGTCACGAACGACAGAGGAAACGCCGACCGGTATACGTATACAGCTGACTTTTTTCGAAAGAGAATATAATCGATGAAAATAAATTATCATACCTGTTTATTTAACTGAACTCCATATGAATTTTACATAATGTCCACGATATTTCCTTTAAATCTCAATTTTACGTATCTTTGTACATGTCGTCTTAGCCAAATTCTCTTTACACGACATGATCTATTCCCAAGTTACTTGATGTACACATATGACGTCATCGGTGGTAGAATTTAATCGAAATGACAGATACATCATAAAGAAATAAAAACATTTTATTTTTGTTAATGTTTACACTATTCTATTCATTTTCTAGAGTTAAATTACATCTCTAAATACCAATACAACGAAAAGTTTTGTTATACAATTGACGTCATCTCACCGACTATAACGTCATAATGTAGCACTGCTTTAGTCAAGGTAGAATATTTTGTATGCTTCCTTATCACCCCTGCGCACGTCAATCTGCGCATTCCTTGTGTAGGAAAACATATTTCTGATGACTATGACAAACATAAAGTGGTCCCATTCCGACAAAAAAAGTCAACTTTAATTTTTCGTAAGTGCACAGCACATCAAACAAGAGACAGTGAGTTTCACTGTGAAACATGCGAAACCTCTGTGTGTTCGTTGTGCACTATATCTGATAATATAAGGGACATGTCATTTTAACTCTTTCTGATCTCTTTTATCCAAAGAGGAAAGTTATTAGAAAAGATGCTGAAGAATTAGAAAACTTACTTTCTCCAACGTATGCAGAAATTGCAAATGAAATAGAAACCCAGATAGCTAACTTAGATGGGGAATATGGTAATCTTACAACAACGTTGATCAAATGTGGAGATGAATGGCACAGAGAAGTCGACTTAATTGTCAAGAAATTAAGAATTGAAATAGAGAAAGAAAAATCGAAGCATTATAGTATTCTAAAGGATCATTTGAAAGAAATTAAACAGATACAGACTATTATTGAACAAACACTTCTAAATCTTGAACAATTGAAAATTCAAATGATGTATCGTTGACCATGGAATACATCTCACGAACCAAGGAATTAAGCAAACTGCCTCCAAAAATTCAAGTATCACTACCAACTTTTAGTTCAAGGACAATAGACACAGAGCAGTTTTACAAGTTATTTGGATGTTTAACACCATTATCCACCACAACAGAGGAAAATGGCTACAAAGTGAAGAAACCAAAGATAACGACAAAAGACATGCTGGAGGCACGGGTAAGTGGTGTCATTTTAACACAGTGAACACATTATTTGATCCCCCAGACATTGATACATACATTCTGATCTTTTGGGATTTCTTTCTTCTCTTCATTCTTGTTTACTGTATTCTCTGGACAAATCAATTCTCGGATAAGAAATCCTTATGATGTTTTTTTATCCTTTCAGACTTGGGACAAAGAGAACATGCCCTCTACCAGAAAACCGCTGGTGGCAGCCATTGATTTAGGTACCACCTACAGCGGCTATGCATTTTCCTATAAACATGAATACGAAAACGACCCTTTGAAGGTCAGCTTCTGCAACTGGGCAGCAGGCTCCCGGAGTCTATCGACCCTAAATACCCCCACCTGTGTTCTGTTCAATAAAGACAGGGTGTTCGACTCGTTTGTTTACGAAGCAGAGAATAAATATTCAGAACTGGCAGAGGAAGAGGAACATGAGGAGTGGTATTATTTCAAGAGGTTCAAGATGTCTATCTTTAACAGACAGGCAAGTTCATCTCTTAATCTGTGAAAATTGATAATTATTTAGAGTTAAGATTTTTCTTAAGGGGCCGGGAATTACTCCGTTTATAATGACGTAATCCTCTGGGTATTCTTGTATTTCTTATCAATATTCTGTTAGGAGAGGAACCCTTAACTAATTTCTACTTGCTAATGTCCCCTGCTATTTCAATTCTAAGATACAGCCCTATTTTAAGTAAAGGTAGAAAGATAATTAAAATAGATACATTTGAGAAAAATATGTATAATGGTATTGGTAGAAATTTAAGGGTTAGAATTTGAAAAAAAATATATTAATCATGTTTGTAGTTTTTTGTGCATTGAAGATTCGATTTCGTATTGATCCTTTTTAATTAGCAGACTGAATGTCTTAAAAATGGTGAAGATGTTGTACATATTTCTCACAGGAACCACTTTCAAAAGCCATAAAAATAAAATCTATAGATGGGAAGGAGATGGTGGCTTTGGATGTGTTTTCAGCGGCCATTAAATTCCTGAGGCGTCACCTATTACATACTCTAGAACAACGAGCCGCAGGGATAAGAGAAACTGATATAGGTTGGGTCTTAACAGTACCTGCTATCTGGGACGATCTTGCCAGACAGTTTATGAGAGAGGCGGCAGTTAGGGTATAATTGAGCTATACACTAGTTAAGGGTAATGTTAGCAACCTCAAATTAGATTTATTTTTGTTACAGATATTTTCATGAAATATATCTTAAGATTTCAGGGGGCCGACTGGGGTTTCCATTGCACAATAGTTCGCGCATCAAAGTCAAATAAGGCGTATCTATTCTTTTAAAGCACCCTTTCTTTCACAAAATAAGTAACATCTAACAAAATTAAGAAATTACGCGTTAAAAAGCTTTATTACAATTTTATTAACTGATTCTAACAGCGATTTTTTAAATTATAGATTGAGGTCGTCATAGTGTGTTTGTGCTTTTAGGATAAACTGAAGTTTTTAAGAGGGGGTCATTAAGATGCCATAAAAGCATTTACTAAATTTATTTTTAGAATATCATTGACAATTATCTTCCTATTTTTGGCATAAAACTATTCTGTATCATATTTTGTAGTACTTCATAAAAACAGGAAAATATCACTTATTTTGACATTTTGAGATGCCTCCTCTGGAAAGCAGACGATAGCATTTTGTGTTTCTTCTGTTTAATGTATATCATAATATTATTCATCACGTTTTATAACTTGAGCAAAAAGTATATTGTTGGATTTGTATAATTCGCTCTGAAGACCGAAAATTGTCATATAACCCTGTACCTGTGGTCTGAGACGGTTCCCTAAAAATATCCAGACGGTAAATTTTCCCTAAATTTTGCACATATACTGGAGTCGATTTAAGTTACATATGGTAAAGAATTAAAGATTTCTATATTGTTGTTTTCACACAATGAAACCTCAGTTTGCTCTTTTTAAATTTTTTGTAACTTTAGAAATGTAAAGAACCCCGAAAACTAAAAATAACTAATTTGCAATGAAAAACCACAAACCTGAGTTTAAAAAAGTACACTGTAGAGTTTTAATTGAGGATGCAGTTTGAAAACATCTTTTAAGAATATATTTGTTTAAGGCTTGCTGAGATGTTGATTTTTGTTTAGTCTGGAATAGCCGGGGACCAGTTACTGATAGCACTTGAGCCTGGAATGGCCTTGTTATACTGTAACCATCTTCCCATAGAGAAACTGAAGTCTGAGGCGGGCGTCCAGGGATTTGGTGCCTTTTCCAAGGGAAGCAAATACCTAATTCGGGATTGTAGAAGTAAGTTTTTGTTTAAATACCCTTAGGCCAGGCAAAGTGAATTCCTTTGGTTCTCAGACCTTTTCTTCAAGAAATATGATGACTGAGGGAGGCATATTTTTTTTTTCTTTTCGTTGCCCCAAAACATAATGAGGCAGCTTTTTATATAGTACAAAACCTCAAAAAATGATGGGGGGTGTGATTTGTTGTTTTTATTTTATTGATTTACCAATAAAAAGGGTCAATGAGGCACCCTTGGAAGAGATTAGGGAGGGCCTGAGAATCAAGAAATTATTTTTTTTTGCCTTATGTATAGCACACCTGTTATATTATTATTACAGCATTCATCAAAAACATCTGTCTTACAAGTCAAGTGTTTCTAAAAAATATTTACTTATTGTATACCATTAGACTTCCGGAATTTTTCTATCAAGATTAAGGATTTTTTTCCTTTAATTAACTAATGTTTAGCAAAGTGGTTGAAATAGATTAAATCCATCCAGTCTCTTGATATACTGTCAGAATTAAACAAAGTTTATAGAAATATATCTGTTTACCCTAATCATGACACAATGATTTAATAAGGATAAGCATATATGTACAGTACAATCTCTTTATCCCAAACTCGATAGGACCAAAAATAAACTTAAACTATCCTAGAAATTAAGATATCAAATGTAAAATATTTAAATAAAAGTGATTGTGACATCAAAATTGCTTCGACCTATCCATGTTCGAAATACAAAAGTTTAAATTAATTGTATATAAAATATACACTTTCAGTTTTCTATCCTTTCATTCCCTTTTGGCAATCTCTGCCTTATACTTTTCGCATGTATTTTTTCAAATACTTTTTTTGTTTGCTATGATACAATGTATGGGCACTGCCTTTAAAGTTGGGTAGAGTTTCAGCACGACTATTTTTTTTATTATGTACTTGTAACCGAGCAGGAAGACAGAATGGGTTTTCGTCATCTATTTATCTGTTTTAAGACAAAATAAGGCATTTACCTATAATAACAAAGTATAAGCCAAAATGACAGAATACTGATACAAAAAATATGAAAATACATGTACGAGAAAAGGGTGAAAAAAATCACTAACCGTAAATGTTTAAGGAAAAAAATAACTATATAAAACCACATGTACTAGCACTGTATCAATTTAAATGAAAATCTTGCAGAATCAATATTATTTCCGTAAAGATACACCCTTGACTGCAAAAATACAAAAGAAGTAAAACGTTCGGAATCTTGTGACATCTAATTCCAGATGAGCAAACAAACTTTCGGCTAATAAAGTTTTCATTTTATTTTTCTAAAAATGATATGAAAAAAAAATAAATGAGAAAAACGAATAAAAATGTTTAAAATTAAATGTCATAATATCAAATATAGGCACGAGTAAAGCTTAAATCAATTGCATAAAATAAACAAGGTAAACTTATGTATAGCTCTAAAGACCATGTGTTAGGCAAAACAGTGTGCTGGCGACTAATCATTTTCTTGTTTATTAGCAAAACTTAAGATTCTATAGACTAGTGTTTTCTTGCTAAGAAAGAGTTCATCTCTGCCTTGCAAATAAGAGGTGTCGCGAAAATTGATAAAAAACTAAAAAAAGTGATCTACAGTATTCAATTTTTCCATGCATGACCAAAAATGTTTTTACTTTTGTATTGATTTTGTGTATCAGTATGAGATAAAAATTAATTCAGCAATTGTTTCATAATTCAAATGAATTTTACCTTTATCTTCATTTTGAATTATTTTAAAAGCCCCTACAAAGTGTTCTCATTAAACTAGAAATGGGAAGATCTGGAGATCTTCTCTTATTTATGATTTCAACAACTGCTGCATTGTCACAGTGAAATAAAATTCTTTTCTTGGACCACATATCCCCCATAATATGGCCGCAGTCACAATAGGATAAAGTTCTCTGAATGCTATCGAGATGGGTTGTTTCAATGTTATGGTTAATTCCTGTGGCCAGGACTCCGAAAACCATCTGCCTTGAAAATAACCTCCAAATCATAGCATCGAAGAAGCGTCAGTATACAGTTCCATATCTGCATTACTTGTTAGATTTCTTTCGTAGAATACTGATACACCATTCCATTTCTCTAAGAAGACTAACCACATGTGCAGATCTTCTCTGCTTTGTTTTGAGAACTTTACATAATGATGTAGTTTGTTTTCTGTTGTGGATAAAGCTATGAGGTAGGATGTAAAGGCTCTGCCCGGTTGTATCACTTTGACGGCAAAGTTGAAATGGCCCAGTAACTGTAATAATTGTCTTTTTGTTACTGAGGACTTTTTCAAGAAGTCGGTTATAAAAGATCTAATCCTATCAATCTTTTCCAAGGGCAGTCTGGCCTTTATCTTTTCTGTGTCTAATATGATTCCCAAATATTCCAAGCAATTTGTTGGACCTTCTGTCTTCTTCAATGAAAGGGGGATATTAAGCCTCTTAATATCGTGCAAATGATAGCCATCGTTCTTTCACTAATATATCCTGGATTGTCAATTGTCAAAAAGTCCTCTAATAAGTGAAATATATTGGAAATTCCATAGTTATTGTAGGCAATCCATACTATTGCTTGTGACAAATGGTCAAAAATTTTTGGTGAACTTCTGCTGCCGAAAGGTAAGCGGACAAAATAATAATATTTATTTCTCTATTTAACGCACAACAAATGCCACAGTTCTGGTGTCACTGGAATAAGTTTGAAAGCATCACTAATATCGGTTTTACATAGAATTGCATTTCTTCCAAGTTCTTTGATCTTGTTAATGGCGTCGTCAATTTTCACATATTTTAACGAGCACTTTACTTTGTCTATCAAGTCATTGATACTATCCACATCTTCCTTTTGTTGAGGAGAAGACAAGTCCAAAATTAAGCGTTTTTTCCCCGAGTATTTGCCTGTTGCAAGACCCAATGGACTTACTCTGTAAGTAGGGAATTCTAAACTGTCAAAAGGACATTTAACAAACCCTTTCTGTACTTCTTTCTCCAGGAGTTCATCTACTGTACTTGGATCCTCCATTGCAGATTTTAAATTTTTACACTCAAACGATGTGTCCATATGAAACTCATCACCGAAAAAAATATCAAAACAAGATTAAAGACCATGAATTATGTAATTACGAATTCTTTGTCTGGGTGATTTTGTAATTCATGTTTTAATTGTTCAATGTTGATAGGAGTAGTGGCTTTAGGCTGGTTCTCTGAAGGTAGTCACAAGCTTTGATTTTGCTTTTTTGTCTTGGTCGTCTCCGAAGTTGCAGTTTTGCCTGTCTCTTGCTTGGGACATTTGTTATTTTCCATGTCCAAATGAAAAACAGATTGCACACACATGGGCTCTCCTACAGTATGGCAGTGCACATCTGTTGTAATTGAAATTGTTACATACCGGTTGACCCTCTACGTAAACAATCTGTCTGTCATAGCGATCTTTGTGACTTGAAGATCTTGTCTGTTTTGCCTTGTCTTTCTCTTCAGATTTTGTTTCAACACTGCACATAGCTGTTAAATGAGTTGTTGATCTGCATGTTTCACATTTCCTGACTTCGGCACCAGCTACAACTCGCTTGAGTAGTTCCTCATCCCCTTTGCTCCAGTTGATGAGCACATGGTTCTGTTTCAGTGCATGCTATGGCACACTTTGCGGATAAAAATTTATGATATTCGTAAAACTTTGAAGGCCATACATTATGAACCTCAATAATGTGTGCCAGGTATGTGTCTAATTCTTCCTATCTCCAAGGATATGCGTTTGGTGCGCACATAATGCGCTTAAAACGCCCAAATGCAGTCACAAATTCGCTTATGCTGAGATTTCGCGAGAGGCGCTTGTCTGGCTTGTCTATTTTGTCTGATGTTGGTGGTAGCTGAGTCTCGTACGCAGGTATTAATAATGCACACAAACTTATGTCGTCCCCCTTTAAGATTTTCTTCCTGATGTCAGGATTTACTAGGTCTATGTGCCCTACTTCTTTCGATGGAACCCCTATATTAACAGTGTTAAGCGTACCTGTGTTTTGAATTTGCAATGAATGGAAGGTGTCGCTCCTGATGTTCCTCTTTCTGCGTTTGTCATTACTTTCTGGAGAGGATTCTCTTCAGTCTTTTTATCCTTTTCCAGAAGTATATTTACTGTCTGTTGAAGCGCTGAGCATGATTGCGCCATCAATTGCAAAGTCGAAAGTAACTCTCGATTGTCGCTGGCATTATTTACACTTGTACTTCCGCTTTGAGAGGGTTCCCCAGAACTAATAATGGTTTCTGTGACGTCACATCCGCCCAACTCTACTTCTTCCCGCGAAATCAAATTTGTCTCCTGGCGGTTGTCTTTTTCGAAATTTTCGTAGTATAGTTATCTCAATGCGGTTGCATTAAAACTTTTAGGAACGGAAATTCCCATGGAATTGAGTTTTTGTCGTAGTTCTGAAACCGTCCAATTTCGTGGATTGGTCATATCTAGGCCTAATCCCAAAACGTTTTGTTCCGAACTCGGGCGAGAATCTTCACTTCTCTTTGCGTTTCTATGCGGCATATTGAACAATGTTATTTTCTTCACATCAAATACTTCACTTAGGTAAATGTCACCAAACTACTATCCTAAGTACCCAGGAATCAAAATTTATGTAGCACAGACATCGTATCATATTTCAAGCTGTTGAGTTTTCAGTTTCTTCACTAGGGTAACGCACTTAAATCATTAAGTCTCCCACTTCACATCTCGAAAGTTAAATCCAATTTATAGAAATATCTGTCCAAAAACGGAACGTTAAAGAATGTATTGAAAGTATGAAGTATGATCAAATCTTTTCTGTGTATGTAAACACAACTGCTGAAACTTCGAAGATTGTAACCTGCTCTGATTGGTTAGATAAATGACGTGATTCTAGTATGTGGGCTCTTTGAGGGAAATTATTTATAGAAAGCCTGTAAATTCTAGATAGAGTTGTTTTGGGTAATAAACTCTGATTATTAACATAATCAATATTTAATGTTTTAATGAATCAGTATAAAATGTTATATGAGGCTAATAATATATATGAAGTACTTCTAAATTACTTTTGTTTTCACAGACATTAAAAAAATCAATAAGATAAACAAAGTAGGTAAGGAAAAGATTCTTCCAAGATAAATGTACATTTGTACCTTTAACTTTTTAGATTTAATATGGATCCCAGCAGGAGTGCACAACATATCATCCAATGTGACCTTTGTGAGGATGCTTTAGTACAGATGTACTCTGATTTCTGTCATGTCAATCTGTGCATTCCTTGTAAAGGAAAACATATTTCTGATGACTATGAAAAACATAAAGTTGTCCCTTTCCAAAAAAGGAAATCAACATTAATCTATCCTAAGTGCTCAGCACATCAAACAAGAGACTGTGAATTTCACTGTGAAAGGTGCAACATTTCTGTGTGTTCTTTGTGTACTTTGTCAGATGCACACCAGTGGCATATTATTTCAACTCTTTCTGACCTCTTTTATTCAAAAAGAAAAGAAATTGAAAAAGACACTACAGAATTAAAAATACAATTTCGCCAACTTATATAGGGGTTTCAACTGAAATAGAAACTCAGTTAGCTGACTTAGATGGAGAATATGAGAATCTTACAACAACCTTGATAAAATATGGAAAGGAATGGCACAGAAAAATAGATTTAATTGTAGAGAAATTGAAATAGGAAAAATGAAAACGAAGCATGAAAATATTCTAAAAGAGCACTTAATTGAAATATAAGAAGATACAGTTTTCAATTGATCAAACAATATTAAACTTGGAAAAAATTTATGATTCAAATGAAGAAATACTTGCTATCCAAATTAGAAACAATGAAAATATACATGGCCTATCATTTAATGAGAAAGCTTCAAAAAATATCAAGATAGTCCAACATGCTGATGACTGCACAAATGCATTAAAAGACACCAACTCATTGGCAACTACTCTTAATATTATTCACCATTTTAGTAAAGTTGCTGGTCCGAAACTTAATTTATCTAAAACTGAATGTATCTTAACTGGCTCTTTAATTGATGAGTATTGCAACAATAATGACCTATTCGGTGTAAAAATCGCAACTGAAAGTGTTAAATCTCTTGGCATATACTTGGATCATAATAAAGATGTGTGCTATGAAAAAAACTGGCTAAGTAAACTTGAAAAACTTGAAAAAATCTTAAGTGTTTGGCGAAAACGCAACTTAACAATATTTGGAAAATGTACAATAATAAATACTTTAGCGATATCAAAACTTGTCTATAATGCGTTTATTTTACCTAATCCAGATAAAAAATTCTTTAAAAGGGCTTCAAAAATCATTTATAACTTTCTATGGAAGAAAAGAGAGAGAATTAAACGAAATACATTGATAGGGTAAAATTGAACAAGGAGGAATAGGAATAGTTGACATTGAAAGTAAATTTTCTGCTGCAAAAGCTTCGTGGGTAAGAAAAATACTCGATAAAGATACACTCACACACTTTACTTTAAATAGTCTATTACAAAAAAGTAATTTATCTATAAATGATATCATTAAAACAACGAGTTGCAATTTGAATGATACAAAATTCTGGGGATTGACTAATTTCCCACAGTTTTATGTTGAAGTATTTTCAATGTTTAATAAGTGCAAAAAAATCAAACAAACCAACAAAATTTTGAAGGAAGAATTTTTATCCCAATTTATCTGGCACAATAATTTATTCCGGTATGATTCAAAAACATTATGTTTTGAACAATGGATCAAGAGTGGTATATTATATGTAAAAGATCTTTTTGATGAAAACGGTGAAATGCATGCGATAGATTACTTTTGGGATAAATTAAAAAGTAAAAACAATATATACTGTGAATATATTATGCTAAAAAAGACACTAAGACCTTTTAAATCAAGGCTTGATTGCTCCTATGCCAATTATATTAACATTCATAACAATGACTCGTTTTTGTTTGGAAACAATTGTTTTAAGTCGATCAAATCTTTAAAAAGTGATTTTTATTATTCTGTTTTAATTCAATCCAAATTTCAGAATTCAATATATGAGAATAAGTGGAATAAATATTTTAACATAGATGATAAATCATTATGGAAGAATATATACATTTCAAAAATTTGTAATATGTATGACAAAAAGATTGCAGAATTCAATTACAAGCTGCTTAACTGTCTTTTAAATACTAATATAAGTGTTAGTAAATGGAATAAAGATGTATCACCAATGTGTGAGTTATGTAATGTATCCGAAAATAGTGAACATCTTTTATTTTCTTGTATAATTACATCTTACTTGTGGAAAAAAAAATTGGTATATTTTTAAAATTTAACGTTTCATGGAAACGCATTGTGCTGGTATTTTATAGTGATTTTTCAGAGAAAACTTGTATTTTGAATAATCTTATATCATTTATTTGTTTTACAATCTATAAATATAAAATGAAGAGTCGATTCAATAATGAAAGAATGTCAGAAGAAAATTTGAAATCATATGCTAAAAATTGGCTTGTTTTATATAATTCTATTGTGAAAAAAACTGGTAAAATAAGAACCAACTTGTACAATGATTTAGCAAACTGTTAATAAAAAAAATATATATAATGTAAAAAAAAATATGTGTAGACAATTGCCTATCCAACACATGAAGAAACCAGTCTTCATGTGTGGTAGCTAGGGGTCCTCATTATGGACAGTGCTGGTGTTGAATAGGACTCCCTTTGCTACCTGGATTAGTTTGAACTTTTTTTATTGTATAAATACTATACAAAACCTGCATTCAATATATATTTATTTATCTTCCCTTATGTAGTATACAATTTTTGTCTATTGCATCAGTTTATATGTGCTCTTAAAATAATTGCATTAGATTGAACAGATAAATTCGTGAATATAGAAATTGTTATAGAAAAAAAAAGCAAAATGCTTGTTATATATCTATGATACGTATAATACATTTATATATTTTTTTTTATTTCCTTCTCTATAGAAGCAATATTACTACTCTGATATGAACATAAAAACATTAATTGTGATGTATGTTACAATTTATATTCAATATGTTGTATATTGCATATGCTTTTAATAAAGAGAAAAAAAAATGATTCAAATGAAGTGTTGTTGACTATAGAATACAGTTCAGACACCAAGGACTTCAGCAGACTACCACCAAAAGTTAGAGTATCATTACCAGAATTCAGTTCTAAGACGATCCATTCGGCAAAGTTTTGCAAGTTGTTTGGATATTTATCACCATTATCCACCACAACAGAAGAAAATGGCTACGAGATGAGGAAACCGAAAAAAGCAACAAGAGTATTGCTAGAAAAACCAAAACTAATCACTACTATTAATACTGGGTACGAAAATCTCCGTATTGCTATTTGTATCAATAACAAAGAAATCTGGACGAGTGCAGAAGTCAACGAAATGAAATGTTTTAGCATTCAAGGCTTTAAAATAAGGAAAATAAAGTCGAGAACAGGGAAAATGCCAGGTGATATAGCAGTGACAGGTGATTGAGATTTAGTGTACTCTGATCCGATAACAAGGGTTGTAAATAAAGTGAAGAATGGACAGACAGAGGAGGTGATCAGACTACAGGACTGGACACCTCTCAATATGTATGTTACCAATTGTGGTGATCTCCTGATTACTATGTACAACGTTTGGAAATCACAAACCAAAGTTGTCCGTTACTCAGGCTCCACAGAGAAACAAATAATCCAGTTTGATGAAAAGGGTAAACCTCTGTACTCAGGAAATTACAACATTAAGTACATCACTGAGAATGGAAACCTAGATATCTGTGTGGCTGACTGGGAATGGGCTCTGTGGTAGTGGTCAACAAAAATGGGAAATTCAGATTTAGATACACTGGTTATCCTTCTTCCTCTTTACAGAAAGATAGATTTGAACCTTCTGGAATAACAACAGATAGTCAGAACCATATTCTGACAACAGATAATAACCATTGTATCCATATCCTAGACCAAGATGGACAATTTCTAAGTTATATAAATAACTGTGATCTGAAAGATCTATGGGGATTATCTACTGACAAAAACGACAACTTGTTTGTTGCTGAGTATGACAGTGGAAATATTAAAAAAATCCAATATATTGAGTAAAAAAATATATGCAGGGAAGGCCTTTAGTATGTGATTTCCTACAGACATATATCTGTTGCAATGAACTGACGATGGATTTTTTTTAAATTTAATTTCTTTCCTGGTGGATTTCAAGGTCATGAGTAAAATTCCTTCACAGTTAAAAGAGAAATCATTCCTTTAACAAACATAATTTTGAAGAGTTGTATTATGCCGTTAACTCACCAAACGCTTCTTTTGGAAAAATATGTCGACTCCTTATCACATCAAGACAATCGTTGTTGCATTTTCCAACCTTTTTAATCAGTTGCAAGAAAAATAATAATAAAAAAAAACCAAATAATGTCCCAGTTGAAATCACTTCTTTGGCAATGCTGACATTGGGAACGCCAAACTTTCCAGGCATTTACTGTTTCGAGATTCGCGGTTATTTTTGTCTGGCAAGCAGTGACTATTTTGAGGATAATCCTTTTTATGTCAGTCAACATATAAAAAAAATGTTATTAGAATTTTTATTTTTATGCCCCCGTAATCGAAGATTTGGGTGTATATAGTTTTTGTCGTGTCCGTTCGTCTGCCTGTCTCTCTGTATATCGGTCTGTTTGTCCGTTTTTCTGCAAAACTCAAACCTTGTCCATATTTTTTAACTGGGTGGAGTTATAACTTTCATATTTCACATGTATATTCCATGTGACAACACCTTTTTTGAGTACCAGCAAATTTGACCTTTTGACCACTTTTATACAAGATTTTAAACATTGGCAATAACTTTTGAACAGTAAATAATAAACTTTTACTCTGAGCGTTTGAACAGTCGATATTAGAAGTTTCATACTTCACATATATATTCCTTGTTGCAATTTAGGCCTTTCGTTGGATACCAACAACTTTGACACTTTAAACTTGACCTAGGAGATTTCCGTACTTATAAAAAAACTTTTACCTTGGCCCTAACTTTTGAACGGTAAGGGCTAGGGTTTTCTAACTTCACACATACGTAATCCTTGCTAGGGATTACATATACTTCACATATGTAACCCTTGTGACATTAGACCTTTCTTAAGAAACCAACAACTTTGACCTTGGACTTTGACTTACCTTTCAAACTTTTTCATTGGCCCTAAGTTTTGATCAGGTGGTGAGGGGGTTTCATACTTCACACCTGTTTTTCTTGTGATAAGACCCTACTTTGGGAACAATATATAATTTGCATTTATGAAAAGTTTAATCTTCGCAATGTTTGCATACGGGGGCACCTGTGTTTCAGAAACACATACTGTTTTAAAAGGCATTGAAGAGTAATGCCCCTGTAATCGAAAATGATTGCGTTAAACACAGAGTAAATTTAGCCCCCCCCCCCCAAAAAAAAGAAATTTTGCGAATTAATGCAAAATATTTTTGTGTTTAATTGCAAAATTGTTGCGTTTAATCGCAAAAGTCTTGCTATAATCGCAAAAGTTGACATTTTTTACGTAATGTTTTGTGTTTCAACGGAATGATTATTGCGATTAAATGGTATGTTTTGCGATTAAAACACAATTAATAATACGTCTTTCCTTGAACTGGGCCTTCAAGGTTTTTTTTTACTCCTCACTAAAATATAAAAAGCAGTGGAGGAGAACCTTCAGGATTATTCACAACCCTTACAGTAAACACCAATCTTATTTTCCTATTTCATGTAAAAGTTATTAAAACTTCAAATTTTTGGACGGGTTTGATTCTCACATCCTTGCACTATCACAAAGTTTGATTTTATTCTTAATATTTAAAATGACAATCTTGTGAGAATAAATGAAAAATATTAAAACAACAATCCACAAAATTCAGAGTAGAGATGTTCGAAAGCAAAACACATCACTCAGTATATTGTCATTCCATGCAGTTGTGGTGAGCAGACTTTAACAATTGAACACACCCGGTGAATCGTAAATATCAACAATAACAGAGCTCGTGCCCTGTTTACAAAAAACTGCGTACATTTCACAGGTGTGTTCAATTTGCTAAACTCTGTACACAACACTAATCACGAAATGTCGATACTTGTAAAAGGGTCTTTGCTTTCAAATATTTCTACTCTGAATATAATAATTTTTCTTGATTAAAGTTTTAATATTTTTTTCAACATACACAACAAGAGTCACACTTCTCCTAAATGAATAAAATAAAAATTTGTGAGAGTGCAACGAAGTGTAAATCAAACACCTCCAAAAATTTGAAGTTTCAAAAACTTTTAGATGAAATAAGATTTTTTAATGTATTTTCATGTGAAATGCTATTTAAATATATAAGTCGAGATATTATACAGAAAATATTAACTTCAAATCTATGCATCTTTAATATATCAGAATCAGGAAAGAAATACTATAAAAGTCCATGTCACCGTATTCATCACAATTAGCTGGACAAAAATAGCTTATACATTTCCATACAATCTTAAATGAATAATATACCTGCTCTCTAAAATCACTGAATAAGCGTCAAATACATGAACATAAACATTTAATGCCCAAAATACAGACCTAATGACATACACGGTGTTTACATGGTGATTAAGATTTTATCAAAGTTTAATGCGTTACACCTGTGAGGTTTCACATCTTGTCTCGTTTTGTTTGAAAAAAAAGCGAAAATAACATTCTCGGCACTTTAACAAAAAATTGAATTAGGTAAAAATATATAAACATTGAAACGTTACAAACTATTCTAGAAAAAAAAATAACGACGGTTTGACCTGACATCGTAAATCAAGATAGCTGATTTGGAGCTGTAATTCCGCTCAGGTTTTGTTTAGAAATCCCTGCGTTTGAAACTTGGCAAGAAAATGGTATACTTGGGGCTAAAATCTCACAAATAACTCGGTAATAGAATTAAATTTAATGTGTATGTTTCACCTGAAGGTCTCGGCAGTTTGATTTTTTACGATCTTTGACGAGCGTTTCAGCTATCCAAGGAATGCCGTGATGAGTCGGTTGGGTCTATTAACTAAAATGTAATTACAGATATTTAATACGTTATCCCGTAGATCGGAAAAGGGACGCACTAGGCTGAATGTCACTGAGAGCAAATCCCTGCTTCACAATTTGACCCTATTTCACGAATAAACAAAAACAAAATTTTCATTTAATGGATTTTACTCGTTAGAGGTAAGTCATTTTAATTTCATTGAATCCAATTTAAAAAGTAAAAAAATCTATATACAGGAAATAAATGAAAAGGACAAAAACATATTATACTTTTTTTTTTTTTTTAAATGTTGTATTTAGATTGTACATGTACGTATGTTTTGATTATCTTATAGAGTGAATGATATAAGTCCAGAGTAAGGGACTGGGGACTGCTTTTTCATTACTTTTTTTTTATTATTTTTATTTCAGATGAAAAAGTACAAGTTAAATGAAAATATAGTTATTGATTTATATTCTGTTAAATTAAAGAGAATTTTTTTTTACATGTAATAGACCCATGTAAATAGATTGAATGCGTGTTATTGAAGAAAAATATATTCTAACTAGAATCTTCATATATGAAAAAAAATGCCGATAGATTTTCCCCCTTGATAAATCAAAAATAAGCTAATTTCTGGACTATGAAAAAAAGATAAAATTCTCCTTTAAAAAAAATCATTTTAAATATATATTAAATTATTCATTAAAATCACAAATAACTATGTAAATACGCTTGCATTTCTTATTAGACTCAAATTAGGAAAAACGGAAGGAGGGTTTCGATTATACAATTGTCTTTTGTTTATTTATATTGTAAAGTATATAACTAATTAATTATAAAAGGTCTTGGATTCTGCTTTCCATCTGAATGAAACGAACGGAAAAAGTGTATTTTTAATTAGATTAGCAGTGCGGAGAAAAAAAAAACAAAGTTATTTTACACTCTTGCTTTTTTAATTCTCAGTAGTTAAATTATGCAATGCATTTTTTGCAAACTTTTCTAATTCGATTGAAAAGAAAACGAAATAAAGATGCAGGATGTCTTAGGCTTTTCTTTTTTTAACTTACAATAAAAATAAACACATTCTCCAAATATTAGTGAGCGATATCTCGTAAAGTTCATTCATTATTTTCATAATTACGGTTAATTAAACTATGAGCACTCTTAATTTTGCTACCCTCTGGGAAAACCTGGTGTCATGGAATTCAATGTTCTCAATGATAATACAACAGCATTTCAGTTAACAACCGGATTAACTAACAGGGCAAACATCCTAAGTTCTCATTAAGTCGGCAACATTTTTTCCTGTATTAAACAATGTGTAAACAATGTCCTTAAAATATCATAGCATTTTCTTGAGACATGAGAACAAAAAAGATACATGATAAATAAATTCTATTAACTGCGTCATTAACCTCAGATTTCAGAATTACTCGAAACTGTCGGAAAAACTTGTGTGTGGCGGAAATTTGATCCAAAGTTATTTCGTTTTTATTCGACCACCCCCACGCTTATCAGCGATGTGAAAGATACACTCACGTGTCAGTTTCATTAAAGGTTTCACTGAACTCATGTATTACAGGCAGCCATTCCTAGTTTGTGAGTGGACATAAATAGGAGATTTGAGGCTTCAAATATAATATTATTCCAATTGAATGATTTTTTATAAAAATGATAACAAAAAATTAAATAATTTCTTATCATTGTTTGAAGTTAATATATTAAAGGTATGTTTCAAATTAAAAAATAACTCAACAATTGATATTAAAAATATATTCCAATATAATTCACAATTACAAGTAAATGTATAAAAGGTTGACTAGCTATGATCCTTTTGATCATAGCTAGATTTTGGAAATCTAATTTAAGTTAATTCTAGATTCATTTTTTTTTCTATCTCTGCAAAGTGGGATAAAATAAATGATTTAATTTCTAAAAAAAATTATATGTTCTCTTATAGGTATGGATTGGAAAAAGTCAGTGATTCTGTTGGCTTTGTTTTGTGCTTTCCATCTGAGGACGGCGTCTTGTTGCAAATGTCCGGGGCCAGAACATCCCCAGTGGCTGTACTGCAAGTCTGATATAGGTAAAGGGAACAGGTGGAAAGAATCACCTGATTTAATTATCAAAAAAGTCGCAGTGCTGTTCGACTTACTTCTTTTACTTCTATCGATTGATTTAAGGATTCCATTTTTAACGTATTTAGATACTGAAATTAGTCATACCTTGTTTTTTGCAATCTAAACTTTTTATAAAAGTCAAGTAAATAAGGGATATGTCATTCAGCCATATTTCAACGAACAGCATTCATAATTTTAATCCTAAAAAATGCTCTTCTGACTAGAAAAACTGAACACAAAATGGAGCATTTTTATTACACAATATGTATTTGTGAAACACTGATGCCGCCCCGTATGACAGCATTTGGCGAAGGTCAAGGTTTCTCAAAGGGAAGTCAAACTCCAAAACCAAGGGATGAAAATGCTGTTACTCATAGAAAGGATTTGTTCCTAATGAATATATTCAATAAGACATATGAAGACATTCAAAATAAATACAAATGTGAAATATTAAGGCCCTAGCACCAAACAGTTAATTAAAAGTTATGGACAAGATTATTTTTTTTAAAGTAGGTCAAACTCCAAGGTCAAGGTCAAAAGTCAAAATTGTTGGTATTCAAAGGAAGGTCTTGTCAGAAAGATTGATTGATTGTATACTGTTTAACGTCCCTCTCCAGAATATTTCACTGATATGGAGACGTCACCAATGCCGGTAAAGGGCTGCAAATTTAGGCCTTTGCTCGGCACTAAGGCCTTTGAGCAGGGAGGGATCTTTATTGTGCCAGACCTGCTGTGACACGGGGCCTCGGTTTATACTGTCTCATCCGAAGGACCGCCCCATTTAGTCGCCTTTTACGACAAGCAAGGGGGTACTGAGGACCTATTCTTACCCGGATCTCCACGGGGCTTGTCAGAAAGAAAACACCTGTGAAATATAAAGGCCCTGGTACTAACTGTTCAAAAGTAAGGCCCAACGTAAAAGTTTTTTTGAAAGAAAGCCAATTCAAAAGTCTAGGTCAAAAATATCATACAGTATCCAGGAAAGGCGTTATTTTAATGAATACACATAGCTCCAACTGTTCTCGAAAATTATGGCCAAGGTTCAAGTTGTGTAAATTCTTGCAAAATTGGGACAAACTCCAAATGCAAGGTCAAAATCAAGAAATCAAATTATGTGATACTAGTTTAAAGGCGTAATCACAAAGAATACGAGAAAAATATGAGAACCATAGCCTCGATCAATCAAAATATATGGCCAACGTAAACGTTTTTATGGACAAGGAGACTAATAACAGAAAGACAAACAGACAGAAAGAGGGACGGACAGGACAAAAACTAAATAATCCTCGAATCAGCGATAACGTGGCATAAAAATTAGATCATTTTTGAATAATAACAAAACAGGAATATAGATATATGAAACAAACATTTGTATTTTAAAACAGAAAATTTACACATCAACCAGAAATCATCTATACAATACATAAGAAACATATAAGGTAATAATATAACAATGAAGAAACATAAATATTGAGTCCTCTACGATTTTAAGATACATGTAGATAATGGCTATCTAGTGTATCAATATGTCACCTAACTTCAGTTTTGCTACATGGAATTCCACCTCTAGATTAAAAGGCAAGGCATTAGAACACTAAGAACAAGCCGAAGATGCTTTCAATAAAGTAGATCTTACTTTTGCAGTGATCAAAGCCTACATAACCAACATCACCCGAGTATATTCAAAGCAGGTACCCGGACGACCGATCGGGAATCACATCCATGTCCACATTTACCAAAAGTTTAAGGTAAGCATTCATATTTATTGCGACAAGTGCGATTTATTACTGAATGGTGTTAATTATTTGACAATTTTTATGTAGTTTTACCTCTAAATCTTGTAAAATTACGCACAAAATGTTAGAAAGCAATTTGACGCCCGAGTCTGCAAACTAGAGAACACTTGTAGTACTGAGTAAATACTAGGTCATTTGCCATGAATTTGAAAATTCTTAGGGTAAATTTTTTATTTAATTTATGTTTATTTAACAGTTCACTTAATGTCCATAAACACAACAGTATTTAAAGTTGTAATGTATTTGCAATATATGTTCAACCTGGCCTTAATTTGGGATCTAAACACTGGGCCCCTGAAACCAAGTAAACAGTTTCACAGTTTTGATATTAAGACTTATGTATTCATTGCAAATCATATTAAGTAAGTTTATACTCTTTATGTCTATGATCATACTAATTATAATTTATGTTATCAAAATTATCCACTGTTCCATGTGTTCCATGGTTTTAAGTCTTTTTCTGTTTAGGGTGAAAGAAAGTTTAAAAATATCGACCACACCAAGATTTACACACCGCTTGGCTGCAACATAAGACCTCGTATTGGACGGAAGTATATCATGATGGGTAAGAGAGAGAGAGAGAGAGGATCATACATTTCTGGCTACAACTGGTTGGCATATTATGATTTAAACATCTAGCAAAAGAAAAAAATCTATTTAACATATTTGATGGTACATGTAAGTCAGGCAGAATGTCTGATTGTCTCTTTTTAAATTATTTCTCAATAATTGTCATGAAAATCTAGAGGCTATTCAATATAAGCGCCGCTAACAATTCGCAAAATTTGGAACGTAAGAATTAACAGCTTTTTGACCCAGATTCGCACCGAGGTCTCCTGTAGCTTGACAAAAGGTCTTCTCCAACTGGCACCAACATTACAAACAATGTGTATATTCGAGAGAGAAAAAGACTTGTCAAGTGTTTAACAATACGGAATTCGTGTCAAAAATACTGGAACTGTCAATACAAATCTTACGTACATGACATAAGAACAAATGTAATCGATTGTTCCGTATCAAATATTTTTCGCTGAAAAGGTTGTGAAAACCAACCAAGCATGCTCAGCATGACACATGAACACTTTGGTCGACTCGGAGGACACGTTACCTGTTGTACCTTTAAATTATATGTATTTGTCGGTTCATTGTTTTGAAGTTAATGCAATTAAGTAATGAACTCTCATTTATGGTGGCATATTTCTGCCCCTTGTGTGCAAGTTATTTTTCTATCAAATATGTCGACATGCAAGATAAATATGTTGACATGCAAGATAGTTATGTCAACATGCAATATAAATATGTTGACATGCAAGAAAATTGCAATAAAATAAAAATTATAAAAAATCTTCAAAAATCTCAAATATCGCCTACATGAGACATCCAACATGCTAGATGCTACTTATTTATGTTAACATGCAACTTATTTATGTTAACATGCAAGATAAATATGTTGACATGCAACTTATTTATGTCGACATGCAATTTAGTTATGTTGACATGCGAGATAAATATGTTGACATGCAACTTATTTATGTCGACATGCAACTTGGTTATGTTGACATGCAACTTAGTTATGTTGACATGCGAGATAAATATGTTGACATGCAACTTATTTATGTCGACATGCAACTTATTTATGTCGACATGCAACTTATTTATGTTGACATGCAACTTAGGTATGTTGACATGCGAGATAAATATGTTGACATGCAACTTATTTATGCTGACATGCAACTTATCTATGTTGACATGCAACTTATTTATGTTGACATGCAACTTATTTATGTTGACATGCAAGATTAACATGTTGACATGCAACTTATTTATATAAACATGCAACATATTTATGTCGACAAGCAACGTATTACTTTTTTCAATTTTATTGAAACTGAATACATGTATTATTAATAAATTCATTTTTCCCCATATATAATATCTTCATTGAAACCTGGTGAGTTCAATGTAAAAAGGGTATTAAAACACAACTTGCTTTATCAGAGAAAAATAACATGGTGTTTTAATGAACCAAATGACTCACTTGAAAAATATTATTATACACACAAGTTGAAAGGGTTTTTTTTTTGTTTTTTTATTTCAGTAAGTCTTTGATTTATGAAAGTTAAGCAACATTTAATTTTCTTTTAAGAAATCTTAACAACCCTCGTTTGATTTTTTTTTTTTTAGTTTTTCAATTTTGCTTCCAAACCATCAAAATGTTGTCCACCGCATTGAAGCAGTAATATCCAAAAATGAAATCATGCACAAAGCGATGTAAGTGCCTGAAGACCCAGGAATGGCGACAAAGTTTTCAGTGAATATGATCGATTTGTCATTTCATTTGGGATATATACTTTTTTAAATATGATCGATTTTCAAAATGATAAGATTTTGAATTAAATGATTAAATCTAAATGCAAAAGAAATTATGTGATACATAACTATGAACATTTGTGCATGCGTGCAGATTCGTTACTAGTACTACCCAAGACATGTGCAATGAGGCACGGTTCTGGGTTTTTTTTTCTGTCGGTAAAATTGCAGTTGATTTTAATGATCGAAAATTTATTCAAGCAGATATTGCAGTTTAAGTTATTTTCTATAATATGAGGTGGACAACAAAGCACAAATTGTATTTCGTTTAATAAAATGTCCTTGCGATTCAGAAACGTGACCGTAGACTATAAAACTTTTAAGGGCCCCTCCCTGCGGTGACCTATAGATTTAAGTGTGTCCGTCCGAAATCTCTTTTAAAGGATGTACAATGACCTTGAACTATGTTTCAAGGTCTAAGGTTAAGGTCATAGCAGAATTGTTTATTAAAATCTTTGTCTGCAGCACATCTTTTCTCCCCTTGGTCCAGTCTGGTTCATACTTCCACAGAGTGTCTGTTGTCATACGGTGTGCAGTGACCTTGAAAATTTTTCATTTGCTTAATTTTGTTCAGAACAAAAAATAAATGGCTTTAGGTAAGGGGTAATGAGACTGAAATAAAAGTTTTATGCCAAGTGGACAATTTATAAATTATAGGTCAAGGTCAAAGCAAAATTTTCTGAAATGCTTTTCATCCTATTTTCCATTACTTAATTTAATATTTTAAACAATAAAAATGGGAATTAAGATGTGTGAAAAATCGTAAGAATGAGCTATTTAATGTCAAGTAGGTATGCTCTGAATGAGGGAGAAGAGATCTAGAGCTTTTATTTACAGGTGCATTACCCATGTCAACTTCATTAAGGAGGCTGGGGAGTCAACAAATTAACCATCAGATATAACTTATTTTTTTAGATACGATATCTTTAGCTTTCAACTATCATTTGGCAATCAAAAATTTCATACATTTTAGTTTAAAAATTTAAACATTTTTGTATATCTTTATATTGAGCTCTTCTTCTAAAGGAGATCATAATAGTATGAAAATGACCACAACCACCCAGCCCTCTTAAAAAGGAACAATTCTTTTTTACCATGAATTAAAAGTTTGGCCTAGTTATCAAAAAACAAAAAACCTGCTGAACAAATGCATTCTTTATTCCATAGGAAAATAAACTTTTGTACTCTTACTTCAACACTCAACAGTAATCATAACAATTTTCTGAATTTATTATGATTTTTGACCTTGACAGTTAAAGCAGATAAAAAAACAATTACATATATTATGTACTATTTATATGTATACTTTACTAGTAATACACATTTGCAATTAAATACACAAAGCCTGGCAAACATATAATTTCTCATTCCTTTATCAAACAGTATTCGGAACATAGAGAAAAATGTACCTCCTTAAAACGATAAGAGTCAAATAAATGTATGTAGATACATGTAATTTATAAGCAATCTACATAGTCTGTTATTCGGATAAAGAGTTCTGTTGCTTCTTCTACTGTGTTTGGTGGGTAATTCAACCCGTTTTCCATTCTTATTTGAGTACCAATAACTTCAAATTCCATTGAAACACCATTTGCAGGAGGGTAGGCACAATATTCTTGTTCTATGCCATTCAGATTATCAGGTACAGGCATTTTGAAATCTCTTGTTTGGTAAATTTCGGGCTGAAAATACATTACATCTGGTTTTCCTGACGGACAATCTGCATTGCGGTTTCTTCTAATTGTGTGTTCATTCCAATGCTGTATAAATCTGTTCAGTTCTCCGGTGATAATTGGTAAGAAACAATACCTAGCACACTCCAGGTGGACTATGTCGGAGGTGTCAAAAACACCTAAATTATCCATAGCCTTAAAGTAATTTATCCAAAAATTGCCACACATTTCTCGTAAACACCGCCAAAATCGCTCTATTCTCGTATTTCTATATGGCGATCCATACCTAAAACTTGATAGTCCTTGCAAGGGATCCTGGTGATTCCATCGCAAAGCGTATTGCAAATCTCGAACTATGGCGTTCTCAGTACCCCTGTCTGCGTATACGACTACAGAAACCCCGTTTATTTCTTTGATATAATCTATATAAAATCTGGATATATACTCAGGGTTTTTGTTAGAATTGCAAGCTTTGAGCCAGAGAATACGTCTTGAAAAGCCATCTACACAGCAATGAATGGAAATTCCGAATGGTTTTAACTTGTCCCAGCCATCTAGATGAACACAAAAATTCGGCCCTTCGTTAATGTACCTTCTACGCTGAAGACGACGTTGTCTACGCCTTATTACACCTTCTGCGTCCAAAACACTTAATGCAACGCGCACCAATTCACAAGACACATTGAGGTTATGGTCGATTAGCAGACGCATCCTCATTCCTCTATAGCCTATGTCACCGCCCGAGCCTGAAAGTTCATGTAGAATAGCCGTTACAATGTCCTCCAAACGTGGCTGGTTGTTTCGTCTCGTCAGATTCATTTCCCTTAAAACTTGATGAATTCGTCTTGCACTAAGAGTAATGTTATGTCTGGTTGCAAGAAATCCAATGATTTCCTGAATAGTATAACCAGAGTGGTAATAAACAGCAATCATTTCATTCCTGCTGAGAGGTAGTCCGTCCACAACCAAACGTTGAGCCAGAGCAGGTGTATAGATATTTTCACCCATTGTATTTTTGTCGCTGAAAAAAATGGGAAAAAATGCTTTATACACAATGAATTTTTGTTTTGCTTTCTACGTTTGTAAATTTACATCAAACTTAATCATTCTTTAAATACACCACGATTTGGCTTGTAAGAGTTTATCATATAAAAAAAATTGCAGTTCAATTAAACTTATGTAAGATAGCACAGACGGGATTAGAGGGAGCAGGGGGCCCGGGCTCCCCCTTTTGTGTCCGAAATACACATAAGATTTAATAAATCAATTTTTTTTGGTGTGGTCGTGGACCCATACCCTGACCAAAACTGGTTGGGGCCCCCTTTTTACAAGATTCCTGGATTCACCACTGATGAAGATAGTGAAAAACTAAAAGTATTATGTTTGATCAAATAATAGCAACATAAAGTACACATATTATTTAAGAAATGGGCACTCTGACCAAAAGAGATATTGACATCAAGAATTACTATCAGTAAGGATTATACAAATTACCAGATTAATCAACCAAAAGATCTTCATTACATCCAATATCAGATCCAAAACAAAGTTTTACCTTGCCAGTTGTGAAGAGACCAGATGAACGTTCAGAGGTTAGCTTCTCATTCACTGCAACCACAGATTTCGATTAAACTGCACCCTCTTTCAAACAAACAGCATGCCATCATAAATAAGTTGCATGTCGACATAAATATGTTGCATGTTTACATGAATATGTTGCATGTTTACATAAATAAGTTGCATGTAAACATATTCATCTTGCATGTCAACATAAATAGGTTGCATGTTGAAATAAATAAGTTGCATGTCAACATACCTAAGTTGCATGTCAACATAAATAAGTTGCATGTCGACATAAATATGTTGCATGTCGACATAAATAAGTTGCATGTCAACATATTTATCTCGCATGTCAACATAACTAAGTTGCATGTCAACTTAACCAAGTTGCATGTCGACATAAATAAGTTGCATGTCAACATATTTATCTCGCATGTCAACATAAATAAGTTGCATGTCAACATATTTATCTCGCATGTCAACATAACCAAGTTGCATGTCGACATAAATAAGTTGCATGTCAACATATTTATCTTGCATGTTAACATAAATAAGTTGCATGTTAACATTAATAAGTATCATCTAGCATGTTGGATGTCTTATGTGGGCGATATTTGAGATTTTTGAAGATTTTTTATAATTTTTATTTGATTGCAATTTTCTTGCATGTCAACATATTTATATTGCATGTTGACATAACTATCTTGCATGTCAACATATTTATCTTGCATGTCGACATATTTGATAGAAAAATAACTTGCACACAAGGGGCAGAAATATGCCACCATACTCATTAATTAGAACATGGATTTTAAAATACTCAACATCACAATAAGTTGGTGAAAAAAAATGTAAACTCAGTGAAATTACTGTACATGTAGATTCTAATTATTATTGCACATGAAGATAAAATTGCGAGATATTGATTGTTAAACAAAACACAATATTTTAAAGTATTTTTGTAAATCTAAATAATTTCTTATACCTGGTTTTTTTTTCAGATATTGCATGCATTTAATGTATCTTCATTTTATATCGTTATCTTGTAAAGATATAATATATAAAATTGAAGGAAACAGAAAACAATAAATAAACAAGGGTAAGTAAATACAATTTTAAAACTTTTTTGGAAAAGGTTATTAGATCTCACTCAGCCCATGTCTTGCGCATTTTACTTTGCAAAAGGACTTTTTTCTGACGTAAGTGTTTGATATTCTAAACTGTTAAACACGGGATGCCTACTCCTCTTTGGCACCTGATCCCTTCTCTGGAATTCCAGGGATCCCCATGGTTGGCTTTTTTGCTTTGTATTGTTTATTGATTATTGGAGATCGATCACTGTTCGTTTTTTCATTTGAAAGTTTCAAAGTTTGTACATATCTTAAAAATATTGTTGAAATTACTTCAAAGTATATAGCTTTCCCCCTCTCTTGGATTGAATGTAAAGTTCTTATTAGTTCAAGAATTGCACTAAGTCACATTTTCTATTCAGTAATTTTCAAAAGGGAGAAAAAAATGCTAAGAATAAAAATACTGGACTCAAAATGAAAGTTTAATTCTTAAAAAAAATTAAATTAAGATGATTGCATAAAAAGTTTAACGACAGATGTTTAATGTAGTTTTGATTTTTCTGACTAAAACCATCAAATTGCAAAAATAATATAATGAGGAATGAACATTTTCCTTTACAGTAATGTATCAAATTATTTCATCAAAACACAGGTGTGAAAAGTATTACAATTTGTCCCCTACTTTTAAAAAAGTATTGAATATACGAGATTTTAAATAATTAAAAAAAAGATTAAATGCATATATGTATTTTCCAGTTTACACAGGTGCAGAGACAGGGTAATGTACTCCCTTAATGGTCGCTCACTATTTCATACATTATAAGGTTCTTTTCCTTTACAAACATTACATTAAAATAGCCTATTACATTTATGAATACGTTCATGGCACAAACATCAAGATTAAAAAAGAAAAAAACAATATTAGTCTTGAACCACAACATTTAGTGAAGAGAAAATACAAAAACATTGTTGAAAAGAATTATGGAGAAAACAAACAGTATTCAAGTTCAAAATTCCATTAAAAAAATACAATTTGGAGAAGAGTAGACCCGGACCTCTAAAACACCGGAGGTAGAATCAGGTGCAACGAAGGAGCAGGCATCTCCTGCCGACCGGTCAAACCCGCCGTGTAAAAGTATACCCACAATCAATAGAAACACAACACCCTAATTTTAGGGTGAAAATTATATACGGGATATAACTATGTACCAAAAAAGTTAGGACATCTTTTTACTTTGCCAAATCAGTTATTTAACGGTTGAATGATTTTCTTTCCATTACCGGAAGTTGCTTTTTAGCCCTCTTAACAGAAATCAAAATTTTGCATTTTTAATAAAATTTTTAACAATAATTTGTGTTTTCAAGGTTTTGTGGCTGTTAATCATAAGTATTGTACTAAAATCCCGGGAAAAAAATCTTCTTTCTTTTCCGGATGTGATGCCTATATTTCCTCACATTTATCATGTTTCAAATGCACTTCCAATGCTCACAGAAATAACAATTCCTCCGAATATTGCACCCTTTTAGAATGTTTTCGATCTCACATCACTTTTGGACACTTAAATACATTTTCACCTTGAATCTTAAACTACATCACTTCTTACTGCTGCATATTATTTCAGGGTCCGTTATCAGTAAATCTCTTCAGATTCATCTCTGTTTCATACTCTTCCGGTGTACTTCCCCAAACAACTTAATTAATTTACAGCCAAACTATTTTTCGACACCGTTTTTATTGCAGATCTTGATACGGAATGTTTTTAAAGCGGGTTCCGCATAACACCGTCAATCTCTTTATCTGTTTAAGCTCTACTACAAGTATTGTTTGAATGGACCTCCATAAGAATCCAACACTTTTCCCTCAACAAACCAACATCTTATAGTATATAATGACAGATTCCCATCCTTTTATCAAAATTCTGTAGTTTTCTTCAGCTTTCAGGTCAAAAGTATTCAAAACACTATCAAAACCTCTCTAATTTACTTTGGATTTTAAAATATTCTTCGTCTGATTTCATGACTGTTCATAACAACGAAAAGGGTTGAAATGACATCAGCACCATGAAGTTTCATGCTCACTAGTCCGTGAATAAAAGGGGTGTTCGATTAGGCTATTGTTTTGTGTCACGATTGGATATTTGAATGGGCTACATCCTGTTGTATTACAGCAAAGTTGGATATTTGAATGGGTGAATGTTTCTTTGGGGCCCAAAAAAGGGAATTTTTTTTAAGTAAGTTAAATAACTCGATAGTGTTGAATAGTTTAGAGAAAACATCCCCTCCTCGGGCCCTCGGCCCTCGGAGAGAATGTTTTCTCTAAACTATTCAACACCATCTCGTTATTTATCCCTTACTTATATCACATGTTTCTCTTTCGTTTATTTAGGTGTTATATTTGAGAATGAGATGAGGATGACAAAGTGCAATTGGATGAAGATGACACATACCCTGAGTGACATACAACATCTTGGATTGCGGAAACTTTATAAGAGGAACTGTCGCTGCATCGTGAGACCATTCATATTTAACAAATTTTATTTAATTTCAACAAAATTTAATAGCATGAATGATTCAGATTGACCAATTTTTAAAATATCTATAAAAATACGGAAAGATTTCTCTTTACAAATTTTCAGAAATTTGTGCTGAAAAAACAATAAAGACATATGTCAGGAATGGTTTTTTTTTTTCAAGTTCACGTAAGCTGCAAACTCGAGTGTTATTTTTGACAACATTTTATATCTATATGCTCGTCTATCTATAAACTTTTCTTATTTTTGACTTTTATTCCACTGGGAGAAATTCCCTCAATCTTCAAACAAGGGACAGAGACCCTCGGGTGTAGTGGACTAATTCTAAATGTAGAATCACATGTTTTTAGGGGAGATAATTAAGTAAGAGAGAAAATTTAATGATATCCTTTCAAATCTTTTTAAAATAACCACCAAGACAAAATAATGTGTTTAAATTTAATCTAAAAAAAAAACAAATTTAAATCTTGGCCCGCAGAGTTGTATGGTGTCATAATGGGCCATCAAAATTTTACATGTACACTGTAACTATGAACTTCTACGACAATTGTTTTTTAATATTTCAAAAACAGTTAAGACATTGTTAATCATATTTAAATGGAACAATCCTCTAGTAATTTGTTCAAACTAGGACCCTTAGAAGAAGAGCTGAGCCCAAAGTTTTACTTTTGGATGTTTAAGGAAAACCTATAAAATATTCAACATCAAAGACATGATTTATCAAATTCATATGAACGTATGAAAACATTTACATAGCTCTAGATTAACATTTTTTTTTCAAAACAAGACCTCCTAGGGTTGGTTGGAACCATAGATGGTGATCAAAATTTAACACAGGGTTGTGTAGAAAAAAATTGTTTGAAATCTACTCAAGTCATGAAAATCTAGGTTTGTTCAAAAGATGGCCCCTTAAGGTTAAGTGGGAACACAAAGGGCGATCAAATGTACATAGCATAAACAAATTTTTCTGGAAAAAATTGCATCTAAAAACTGATCAACAATAAGAACACCGATGAACATATTACATAGTTCTATTTCAAGACAAAAAGTTCGTATAACATTGGCACAATAACAATGCAACTTGCATTAAAGAAAGAACAAGAGAATTTAGAAAAGACCGAAGTGATTAAGCAAAAATGATTGATTATACAAGCACATTTGAGAGCAGTTTTCTCTGCAGCATATTTATATTCCACAATGGTATTTCTGTATATCACTTCTTAACAGTGTATTATATAAGAAATCTTGTTTTTCATTTTAGGCCGATATTGGAACTGACAGTCCATATCACTTAAGCCCTAAGGATAAGGGTTTTCGAGGTTGCACATCAAGGAAATCAAAACTGTTCGGTGTAGATTGCTACGTCAATCATGCCGTCTGTGTTTACCGTTCAAATAAGTGCCAGTGGAAAGGAAAATTCCGAAAAAAACATCGAGGAAAATGAAGCTCCTTATTGCAAAAAATATAAAATATCTCAGGGCAGCTTGTGCATGAATATATGATGAAAATTCATAAAAACCTTTTACCCTTAAACAATATGAGTGACTCTCAGTCAGGATCAGTTTCCTATCTGGGTTGATATTTTATGGCTAAGTTTGTTTATTTCCTACGAGTCCTTTTATTTGAGTTTTTGTGGCATATACTGTACGGAATGTATCACTACTGCATGACTATGAACTACAATATACATGCATATATAAAGCCTAGTTTACAAAGGAGAATCACATTTATATTTGCTGAATAATTACAGTTATTCTTATTCAATTTTACATATAACTTTATATATAAAACTATACATGTATATAATTTTGTACAAACATAAATACAATACATTGTATAATTATGCAAATGTGTGACATACAAGAAATGTCTTAGAAAGGGGATTTCATGTATATTTCATTTTGTTAATATCATAAATCATATGTTGTGCAACATTGGGTATGATTAAATCAAGTACACAAATTATGCAAATATTAATATTTGTAAAGTGCTTACAAATCATGTATTTCAGCATGCTGCCTGAACTGGATTCCAAGCACGATAGCTAAAAAACATTAGATCAAGAAAATTTATAATAAAGTTAAAAATGCAAAACATTAGACAATTATTATATTATATGTTATATTTCCTCAATCGGAGCAATGTTTATGTATGAAAACTCTATACATGCGTAACATTAAATTCATTTCTTTTTACGTTTACATGTAGGTGTTTCGAATATATTTTAGGACGGTTAAACTCAAACATAGTTATATAGATGCTATCGTCACTAAAACATAGATGATGTCATCAGACGGTTTTACACATACGTAAGTGTCTACCTCTAAAGGTAAGCTCCTGTTTACCTGCCCATGGATAACTAATAGGAATTATTCCATACTGACGAAGTCATACATGATTACAGTGTTTCAAAATGAATTGAACATAAAAAAACTCTTGTAATAGCCTATGAACACCATTTTTAATATCTAACACAAATTCTATATGTGTGAATCTAAAATTTTGATAAAGTATATAATTTCATTTCAAAAAAGATATAAAAAAAATTTTGGGTAAATAGAAAATTAAAACTTATTTCATAGCTAGTTAAGAAAATTTATAAGCCTTATTGAAACAACTTGAGAGTTATGTCCAAGACACGATGTAGTTACGATATAGACACATTACTTTTTTTTTTAGTTTACTTTAACATTTCTCCATCTTTGTGTGTTTATTACAATGCTTTCTGTTTTAAGAAGTCTTCCTTACTGTCAATATCCACGATATTGTGCCGATATCGAATCATGATTGTTCAAAGAATTATGGTTTCCATCTTGAAAACTATCTTTTATAAACTTTCCCTGTAGAGTCGATATCGACAATATCGCTTCGATATCGAATCATGTTTGCACAGCTCTTTGTAAATACCGTCCCTGTTACTTTGTATGTGTATTTATGTTTAATTACTTTATTTTTACGAAGATTGTACCTGCCATCGATATCGACGATATCGTATCGATATCGAATCATGATTGTTAGAATATATTACTTCACCAAACTTCACCCTAATACAAAAATCTTTATTTTTAACATATCCCATGACAATAAGTTCTGTTTCTTCATGCAACGCTTGTGCATATTTACTTTCTGATTAATTAGTTTACCCTACTATCGATATCGTCGATATCGACGATATCGTATCGATATCGAATCATAATTGTTAAACATATTTAACAGCTTTCACCCTCACCCAACATCTTACTCTAAACCTAATCCAAAACAATAACAACCACTAACCCTTTCCTTATTATAATTTAATTTCATATTCATGCTAATAATGAATGAATTTGACATCATTTGTGACCTTGTAAAATTATGTTATACTTCATTGTGAAAATAAATTCTACAAATAGGATCGATATCGATACGATATCGTCACGGTATTGTCGATATGGACGACATCGACATAGCACAAAGTCTCATTAATGGTACCAAGTATTTCAAATTAATAGTGCTCATCATGATCGATATCGATACGATATCGACATAATATTGTAGATATCGTCGATATCGACATCGAATTCCTTCTTTAGATAGCCAAAATACCACCCAATGATATAGGTTATATTCACTAATAAGGTAATGATTACGATCAAACATTCACTCCTAATGACGTGTACATGAACAATAATCAAATTTATTCTTTCAATTTACAAATTTAGTCTTCTCTTAAGTATTTCATCTATCGATGCAAAAATACTCTTTGGAGGTTTACTGTCTATAGATTATAAGAACCAATTTATACCTTAGGTGTATGACAAATGAGACGACTTTAAATTTTCCACGGTGAAACTTTCCTAATTAAATGAACAATATGTCGTAATTACCTGCATATGGGGCTTACATCTCGAACTTATTCGATATTCAAAAGCATTCTCTGAATACTACTAAATTTAAAACCGAGAGAGGTTATTGAAAGAAAAATTGATGTCCTAGGGATTTGAACAATATCGTTCAAAGTCAATATTTCCTAAATTCTGTTCCTTGTTTATTTGGGGAAAAGGCGAAGAAACGGACAGAGAGCAACCTAAATAATATCTTTAAAAAGCACACCCTGTTGATCGACCACACCCACTGTGATCACGTTGTATTAATACACTGTAAAATGAACAGAAAATTCATCCACTGTAATTTTTTTTTCAATCAAGATTGTCTTCTTTCATCAGTTTATTAAATCGTTAACTGATAATAATCCTTTTAAAAATAAAAAAAAAGCCATAAAATATGAAAGAAAACTTTAATTAAAAAGATAATATCATGTAACAATGTTTTCTAAACAAACTACATCTATATCACATTTAAATTACCAAGCCTGAAAATAGTGTCAAACATAGGTTGTTGATTTCTCTGAGGTATCAGACAGGATATTTTTTCAATTATTTATCTAAAGGACACGGTTTCCGTTCAAGAAACCGCCATGTACATTTCCCTCCCTTTCTTTTGACACATACAGCTTGCTGCTCCTCGCACGGTGAATACCATTCCGCGTGACACACTCGCTTCCTCTTCCATCGTCCCAGAAGCATTTCATTTACCTTTAAATATTAATTCAACATCATCTAAACATTATTCATTATTGTTTTTAGTACTAAATGCAAGGATATACATTTACAGTGCTAAATGGTTTAAACTTGAAACTATTATTTTTCGTGATAAGAAATATGCCTTCAAACATGGGTAAAATGTTTAGTTAATCCAGAATCATTTTCATGACTATATTTCCGAAGCCATTGTGGCTTCGGAAAGTAATCATGGATTTAAGAAAATATAATTGTAATTATAAAACAATCTGCAGATTTTTCGTTTTGTTTTGAAGAGAAAGATTTATGAAAAAAAGAAACTCTTTCAAAATCAAAAGGGAAAATTTGATACTCAAAAGTCGTATTTCTTCATGTCAACTTGTAAGATCTTGTCCCTATCATTTACACGACCTGTGATCTAAAGTAAGACTTTTTAAGGATGCTTTTATTTTAGCCATGCGATTTGCATTTCTCATATTTTTTATTCATATTTTAATTTTTGTTCTATTCAAAATCAAGTGGGCATATATCATGAATATAAAAAATAATAACATCTTCATTACTTATATAATATTTTAAACAAAATCTCTGAAGAATTCTTTTGACATTCAAAATCAAGTGGGTATATATAGAAAATAATAAAATCTTCTTTACTTAAATATTTGAAACAAAATCTTTAAAGAATATTTTTTTTATATTACTAAATTCTGAAAACTGACTTACATTATAACACTACAAATTTAAAAAAATTAAGTGTCTCAATTCAAACTATTGCAATTACAACATGATCACATAAGTGTTTTGTCACATTGTAACACAAATGAAAACCAAAAAGAAAAGTTTAATATACAAGTACGTTATCTTCAAAACTTGAACGATTCAGTGTTAGAGATTTGCTGAGAGTCTGCGTTGCTTCAATCTGAAAAGAAAGTTCAATGTTACTTAACTTACCCTGCATTTACAGTTGGCAGAATATAATCCACGGATTCCGGCCAATTGCCCTTCCTTCAGCTCAGAAAATGGAACAGTTGTGAAACAGGAAGACACCACCATATGATTATTTCGGATATAGCCTGAATCATTAAGGATCGCATTTTCAAACTATACATGTATATTAATATCGTAGGAGTCACTGTGATATTTACCAATATTATATTATTGAAATTAAAGAAACTGCATCTAATGAAATCTTGAAAAGTTTAATTATTTGCCCTCTCCCGACTGACTGACCCTAGTCATTCTTTATAAATTCAAATAAATACACTTTGAAAATCAGTTGATCTTAAACTTTCTTAAAAATGAAAATAACCTACCTACTGACCCTTTTTTTTATTCACAAACATTGTTTTAAAATTGGCTAAACAAGACATCTATTCAAGTACAGTAATAGTGTTGACAAGACGTTATCCAAGGTTTTTGATGCTAATGTAGATCGATATGAAAATAAATCTTTTCACAAATGGCCTCATTTATTTTCGTTCAAAACTATGACAGTAAGAGTAATTGCTTCTCAACAACGCGTATCTCACCCGTCATGTAATATACAGTTCCCACAGTCAGCTCTATACCACAGGATCCGTCAAAAGCATCAGAAGTCACATAATCTTTATCTGCCACCTCAAAAGATTCAGACCTCTACAAAACAATAACGAGATTACGTACAGATTACAAATTAATGTCATTACAGATAACATATAGATGTTATTATTATAGATGACACTTCAGAGCATTTAATTGTAGACCTCCTTAATGGAAGATTTTGGGTATACAGTTTTTGCTCTGTTTGTCTGTTCGTTTACAAAATTTGATTTTGCTCATAACTCCTGACTGGATAGAGCTATATCTTAAATACATGTACTTTACATGTCTATTCATTGTGACGAAACATTAACATATAATATCTCTTCACCTTGAAGTTTGACTCTCTTTATCCAAAAAAAATTACAAAACCTTGATTGGTGTTTAGGCTTTCACACAACACATGTGTGTTTATTCCGATAAGATGGTTTCTTGGATATAAAATGTTATGATCTTTTCATTTCCAAGTTAAAATTTGAGCCACTTTTTATAAAAAAAAAACCTTGGTCAAGACTTGTGAAAAATAATTACTAGAGCTTTCATATATCACAGACGCATTTCATTGACAAAACCTATAATGGATTAATGCAAATTTAACCTTTTGAATTTTTAAAGACCTAGAAATATGTTGAATGTATTACATAAACTATCATATTACTTGATCAAAGCGTCACTTTACAGCAAATCTTAAGAGTAATTAGAGTTAATTAAAGACGAATGATACCAACATTTTTTTCTTTGGAGGAGATTTAATATCATGTCACAGGCTTTTAACCTAAGTCTTCGGAAATGAAATAGATTTGGAAAATATTAGTTAATACTTCAATAAATAACAAATAGTTACAAATCACACTCAGTTAAGATTTACAGACGACAAAAAATTTCAGAATATGTTAGCTTTGTGCTAAAAGTGTTATATAAACTTTCAAAAAGCGAGGTAAACGCAAAATGGTGAAAAATCAGAAAAATCACATTGGCTGATTTTTACCATTTTGCCCCCGCCCCTAAAATTTGCCTGGCTTGGTATATATTTTTAAAGGTTTACATTATTGATGAACATTCAACGACACGGCTCAATTTTCAATGTAGTAGGACCTCAATCCAACACCTTCGGTCTCAATATTGACATATAGAAAAATAACACCCATCCTCAGGTCAGTTCTCAACTGTGGTCAAACGTCTACATTACAGTGGCATGCGGTGAATGTAATTAGCTTTTCTTCTTAAATTTCTTAATCTTTACAGGTGATTTCTTATTTTTTGACTTTGATCTTCCTTTCCAAATACGACTCGCTTTGATGAAACTCTAGATCTGAATGACGCTCAATGTTAGAGAGCTTTAAAATAATGCAGGAGAAGTGCTCACACCATGGGATGCATTGGTATTATAACATTTTTATTATTTCATTAGTATTGAATTCTAGAGGATGTTACATGCTAGGAATTATATAGAATGTTAATATGAAGTGCCTTTATTTACGAATTATTTTGTCTCTATCATTCATTAATTTTTTCGGATTATTAGACAAACATGAAAATCAGAAGTTTAATTTGGATAGCCAGTTTGGTATGCATATTTATTTTCACTAAATGATTTCAAGAAAAAATAACTGTGAATTATACATGTAATTAAGTGAATGTAAGTTTAAATGCAATCTTTTTTTAAATAAATATTTGTATCTCGTTTGTTGTAAATTGTGGAACTAGATTAGAAATATTTCACAGGTTGTGTCTTAAAAAATATTTGAATACAAGTACATGCAAATTAAAGAAGAAGATAAATTCATCTTAGATAAGTCCTTATGACGTCATTTTAAAGCCAGGTACAAACAGGTGTATGCATGATATATTCAGCCACTAGTATCTGCAACTCTTCAAATGCCGTTTTATTGTGAATTGTTTATTAAATGACTTCAGCTTTTCTACGGTCTTGCTGAAAGTCTATATTTCACAAATCCTTTGGCTGATACAATGACACCTCCCCCAATCCCTTGCCTTTCCTTGCAGACACACAAACACTTCTAATTTGCTAACCAAATGTACATATGCCATACATGCATACCGGTATCTAAAACTTTTAATGGACCCCATGGTCAATCTTTGGTAATTTAAAATGTCATTGATTGGATATATGATACAGACTGATTTTTAAAAAGACGTCAATTAACCCCCTTCACCGCAGTCACGCATTTTAACGCAAATACCATTTCCTATTTCTAACGCAAAATCACGCATATACCGTTTCCCCGCAATCACGCAATTTCACGCACTTAAAAAAGTTCATTTAATCTTCAATTTATTGCCAAATTCCATCTATTTTATGCTTGCTTAAATCTCATAAAATAAGAAAAGTTATTTTATTATTAAATATTGCGTCATAATAGCGAGCGCGTCGCGAAGCGACGCTCGCAAAGCGAGCTCAATAGACTAACGTGTAAGAACAGAGGAAATTCGGATTGAAATCTGTACATACGTCAGCCAAATTTCTCTGTGAAACATTCCCAGAATTCCTGCACTACCCAATGTCCTTTGCGCAAATAAATAAATAAATAATAACGTAAAGCATAAAAGGCTAGATCAGTCTGTAGAAATCTTTCAAAGAAACAAAAAATAACTCTACAATGTTTTTCAACCAAAATTGCACTAGGTCTATAGTTTCAAACACACGCTCGGCTGTCTCCGTAAGCTCCGACGAGCTCCGTGACGTCGTGTGACGTCACACTAGTCGAGATGTCTCGTGCGGCTTAATTGATGTTTGAAGTAGCTGATCAATTTTTAGAGTGTTTTTGATGGTACATGTACATGCGCTCGCCCCAACGGTCACACCGTAAAACATATCATTACTTACGCTAAACTTTAGAGAGACTTGTACCATGCTATAAAGTGCTTGCGGGGAAAAGGTAGCGTCATATTTCTATGACGTGAACATTAAGTGTATGTTGCGTCACAGATCATTAAGTTGTAAAGAGTTCATAAGTATTCAAAAAATAAAACGTCGGAAAAAAATAACGATATATTTAGATTGAGCATGTCAGTAAAAGTCATAATGTTTGTCACATTGTCAAAGTAATTTCTGGCTATTATGTAAAGTGAGTTTCTCCATGGTTATATGTTGAAATCAATTTTGTAATGTTTTGCGTTGAACACAGTTATAAAAATAATTATATTTTGTTTTATTACATTTTGCGTTGTTCTGAATACAATAACTAAAGTCGCATTTACAACAAAAACGTATCTTATTACATTATGCGTTAATCCCATCGCAAATTGTAAAAGCGCAAAATGTCATAATCATTACAGTTTGTGTTTTTACAATTTGAGTTAATCTCTACGCAAAATGTAATAAGCTAAAAAGGTAACTATCCCATTTAATTAAATTTTGCGTTTTGATACATTTCTCTTTGTAACACAGCATTCATATTTACCTTTTCAAGTAATAGACATGTATTATGTCGATACATTGTAAATAGATAAACACTTTAAAATTTCGAAACATTTTTGCTACAATAAATAACATCAGTGTCAGATCAAGAAATCAATCCCAATAATTCGTGAAGAAATGTAGCATTTCAACAATTGTCTTAAGATAAGTCGCGATTAAAATTGAAATTACTTATTTTATTCACAGATATGCATATCCTGGCGTGGAGATAGAACTTTGAATATTTCATCTGCCGTACCCGCACCACTACTTAATTTCATTGAAAAGAGAAAGAATCAATCCGATCCGGAAACAATTTCTTTTTTCACACACAGAGCAAAAGTTTTCAATTATACTAGATTAATTCAGAATAACTTCACAAAGTTCCTCATCAGCAGTTATCTGACATTTTGTCCAAATAAACCATTGTGTTACGATCAAGGTGCCTTTTATCAAAATTATATGTTTCAATTTAATGGAAAACACCCGCTTTGTCGACCATGTAGCTGTGCAAATGACTGTTACAAGAAACATGAGTGTTGTGTATCAAAATACATCGCTCAAATAAATACTACTCAACACAACCTTCATAACACCAGCGTTCCTATTAAGAAAGATGAATCGTCTTTTTCTTGTACAAGAACAGTATTGGGTGAGATTTATGATGATAGAACAGGACAATCATTACAAATAGCGCCTGCAGCAAGATACTGGATAGTGGCAAAGTGTCCAAAGGATTACCCTCCAAACAATGTATGGAGAAAGTGCAAAAAATTTTTACCCATAAAAATGCTTCAAAGTGAGGAGCTGCAAATACCGGTATATTCAAGTAAAACAAATGATAGTTACCAAAACGTGTATTGTGCACAATGCTTCGGTGAGAAACAGGAAGACCTTTATCCATGGAGAAAGATTATTGTGACAAACAATTACACAGAATTGAACAGACAAGAAAACTATTTTAATCTCGCTTCGTCAGACCCAAAGTTTACCCTAATTCTATACCCACCTTCGTTTTTAAAAGAAAGCTTGGTATGTAGTTTACCATCCATTTCCAAATGTAATGAAACAGGCCTTTGGGACCGATTAGATAGCACATTAAAATGGGCTTGCGAGACAATGCCACAAGTACTTAACTATTTATTTAATAGAAAGACATACAAAAACGTATACTGCGTGATGTGTAACACATTTTCTCCAGAATATACAATACCGATCACCGTGACCAGTGGCTCTCCAGTAGAAATAACACATTATATCTTAGATGATTTCCGACAAACCCTTGGCTTATTTCCCTCATTGCTAAGCTACTCAGCACAGAAGACTTTTCATGATTACAGTGTTGAAAGACTTTGTCCATCAGAGATGGTCTATAGCCCGGTTTTGGTGAGTACCCATTACACCGTGTCAGCTATTAGAAATTGAAATCGTTCTCCATTTCACTAATACTTTATGCCATCTAAACGATCAAATTTTCATAAAAATGTAAATTATAGTGTAGAAACTAGTGTTTATTATTAAGGTATGTTTTCTTAAGCCAATAGTTCTGTGTCATTTTTTCCCCAACATTGGAAGTGTTAAGAATACATTTGCATCCAAAAAGAACTTACATAGGAATTGGATTATCCTTTCGTATAGGCTATAAACATTAATGTTAAGCACATCATTAAACTACATGTGTATCAAAGAATACATGCCAGAAAGAGAAGGTCGGGACCATATTTATCAGAAGGCAAATAGAGTTCTTTCACTAGATGAGACAAATTGTTTGCTGTATATTTCTTTTCTACAGTTTTTGTCAGCGAATTTTCTTTCTATATACTCAGTGTAAGGATATCCGATCCTCAGTTTACCTGGTTTGATTACTCCTTCATAGCACCTTATCCCACCTCTGTTGAATTTAGCGGTCCGTGTTTTCCCTGTTCCTAATTTTTATTGTTTCAATAGACTTATTTGATTGTTATTTTATTTAACCTGACATCAAGGTCTTATGTGAATAAAACAACCAATGTAAGTTGTGAATTTTTAACATAAAAATGAGTTATAAAGAGCTTTGTGAAATATTTTTAAAAACAACGGTTTCATTTAAATTTTCTACAGAAACACCAAAAGATTTTTTAGAACGCCTAATCATAAAAATATTTAAATCTATCTTCAGATAATTGAACTTTGAACGGTTTATATGAATTACACGTACTTTTTGTTTCTTTACAGGTAGGTTCAGTCCTATTACAGATACATGTAGGTGTAATTGAATGATACCTATTTTTAAATCAGTCGATACGTAAACATAGGTAGTGACTGTCCCTTCGCCAAGCGCTCGACATTAGAAGTGAAAGTCACGGGTCTTTCGGATATGACCTTAAAAACGTAGGTCCGGTGTCACGGTAGGCATTGGCACGATAAAGAACCCTCACTGTTCAATGGCCCTGAGTCCCGAGTATAGGTCTAAATTTGAGGCCCTTCACCTGCATACGGTTACGTCTCTATATGAGTGAAAAACTCTCTAGAGGGACGTTAAACAATATTCAATCAATCAATAAATCATTCGAAGATAAGTACAGTTGATTTTAACAAGGAACAATTAAAACACCCCCCAAATGATCTGATGCTACATGTAGGTACGAATTAAATATACCTGGGTTATGTTCGGTTACGCCTATATTTAATTTTTGGAAAATCTTCATTTCTGTTACAAAGACAACCCTGAAATCCACTGAACCTTACCTATCTACAAATGAATTAAAGATAGGATTTGTCCAAAATGTCGTAGACAAATTTTTAACATTGTACATGTAAACAGTCAAGCAATGCCCCAGTGTGATGTGGGGGATCATTGATTACACAGTGAAAATGCACTATTTCTTTAAAAATATCTTTTTCTTCTCCTGCAATATAAGCCATGAAAGTGAGGAGTTAAATAATAATAATGAGCATGGACGCATCTTCAAATATTTTAAATTAAATGGCTCCTTGGTAAAGAGTTTGGTTTTATACTGGGATAGGTTGCTTTGATTTTACAGTGAAAATGCATTAATTCTTTGAAATGTATTTTTCATTTCAGGTAAGATGCCTGTCAATATTTTGTGATTCTGAATATGCTCAAAGAGGGCCAAAATGTCACCGTCGAATTTCCAATGACTTCTCTGGGCCCTATGTCATACGTGCATCACTGTGCACTACAAGGTTCCTCACTTTGAATTTGTTAGATGAGATAAAGAAACAGATGGTAGAAAAACTGTTGAATGTACCCAGATTCTCTCCCAGGGAAACTGACATCCTATTTTATTCGCCATTTCTCACGAGGTCCTATAAATTTTGCTATCCATTCGTAGCAAGTTTTCTTCCTGCTGGTGTGACAAACATATTTGCCGTAACAAACTACTTGTTGACGTTTACAAAAAACTTAACTGATGGTCTTTTTTCGAAGCATGTACAAATCAAACAAAATGGTGTTGATAGTAACGCTTTCAAAACAATGTCTCGTAAATCTGGGCCTAAAAAACACTTTTTCCGCAGGAATAAACCGCCTCCTTTTGAAAATAATGTAACACACTGGCAACACTGTCCAAAGATTTACCTACCAGCAAGCTATCATCTTAATCATTGCGACTTCGAAATTTGCATCAAAGAATATGACATTTGTTTTGAAAGTCACATGGCAAAATTTGACCAAGAAGACACTGCCATCGCTTTATGTTTAGATGATTATAAAAGGATTGTTGATAATTATATGAGAAGAACTACTGGCGAAGATTCAACAGAAACCTACTTTTCTGTGATTTGTCTGTCCGTATCGTCTATTGGCTGTCTTCTCACTGTCACAAAATCTTTGGTGTTTTGGAACACTGCCAGAACCTTGCCCACCCCACTGACTATAAAGATGACACTGTCTTTTACGCTTTTTCTGGCTAATACCTTCTATACAGCTTCGAGATTTTTTATTTACATTTATCCAGTTTGCATGGTTCTGGGAATAGCCTCTCATTATCTTTGGCTGTTGGTGTTAAGTTTAATGACTACTCTCTGTTTTGACCTGTTTCTTACCACCTTTCGGATCTTTAAAAGTCGATATTCAAAAAGCTTTTTGACCTATTTAGTAGCAAACATAACGTTAGGCTTAGTTATTGTGGCGATACACATTCGATTAAGTTATGTAATATCTGGAGGATCGAGCATTGGGTATTCAAAAACCACATGTTTTATCGAGAATGGCCTTCTTAAGTTCTTTACATTACTTCTCCCAGTTTCTCTGATGGTCTTTCTGAACACTCTTCTTGTTTTTGTAACGATATTCTTCATTAAAAGAAAAATATCTTTCTCAAATTCTCGAGATAAACAGATTTTGAAGATCTATTTTAAACTGTCGACAATTACGGGAATGACCTGGATTTTTGGTTTGTTGTATGAGATATTCGGTATACCTTTCTTTATACATGTCCATAGTTTTTTCAACGGTAGTATTGGCATTTTCATGTTTGCTGCATTTGGATATCAAATTGACTCTTAGAAATTAGCAATGAAGTCTTCTCTCTTTATGAATTGAAGACATAGAATTAAGTAAAAATACTCTTAGCACTTTAATCGAACCCCGTTGTTTCTCTTTGTCTTGTAGCTGAAAATGGAATTTATTAAAACGAGTGAGACAAGAGAGCTTCGCGTTCGTAAAAATTTCAACAAAAAATGGTTGCGCAAGCTAAACGTATTTCATCCCTAACATCTCCTACTACATAATATTCAATCTGCTGTTATTTGATTTAAATCTGTCTTTTTGTAACATAACTAACAATGTATCTTAGGCATACAATCATGGTTAAGAGTTGACAATTTATAGCTTAGCAATACCGGTAGTGAGAATCATCAATGAAAGCATTGCAAAATCGGTTTTAACAACCTATTTTCAGACATTCTGACAGTTTTAGTCTCTGATGTGATGATTTATTAAGGACTCTCTACTTTACAATACAAGAAGGAGTATTTGAACACTTTTGTGAAGGTAATTCAGGGGAAAAGTGCGAGTTTTTCCGCACTCCCTTTTTTTCTTACACTGTGATTAAATTTGAAAATATCTTGCACATTGTGTCACAAATAAAGTGCATGTATTACGTAATTTAAAAAAAAATATGTAATGACATCTAAGGCAGATTGGAATTTAATCTTATTGAGATCCCTGTTTTGTATATATTTATCATGTTAATGATTGTGCTTTTTCAGCTTACTATACTACGCATAAATTAGGAAGGAGATTTTGAAAAAAAAGTATTATTAAAGACAACAATTTATATTTTGTTGATACAAGTATGATTTTTAAGATATCAAGGTAAAACATGCATTTTTATATTACCTAACTTTTCCTTGCATCTTTTTTCTTTTTCATGTTTACCTTCAGATGGTAAATTTAATTCTAATACATAATTTATATTCATAACTGGCATATCTTTACATCAAGTGTTGATTGCTCTGAATATCAATTCAAAGAACTCAAGATGATACATGTAAATACCTCGATCAAATGCATTGTATATATATAACTTAGTAAGTGAGTTAAATACATGTTGTCTAAATATATCGAATTAAATATATACAAACCTTTTTTTTAATACTTAATTTTTATAATATTTTTTCATATTCAATTTTTTTCTTCTGAATATATCGAAAGAGTACTAGTACATTGAAGTTACTGTTGTACTGTTTCTAGCTGTAAATTTCACGTACATAGATGTCCTATTACTAAAGAGGTCATTAAAACAACCAAAACTGCGAATAACCGACATGTTTTACCTTTGCTTTTCTAATTGTGTGTTTGTTTGGTTATTAACGTCTCTTCGAAAGATGTTCGCTGATTTTAAGACTCTGTCATCTAATTAATTGTATGTAATTCATTTAAATGAAATCAGAAATATACAACTACATCCAGTAGGACTTTAGATATACATGTATTTGCTCTGATTTAAATAAGTTTTATTGTGTTTAAACCATAATACCTTTAAATTAAAGAAATAAGAAAATTAGCTGTAATAGATTCAAAAACGTAGGATTACAAACAGGTATTCTGTAAGGATATAGATACATGTGTACAATCTTGAGGCGTTCTATTGTTAAGAATATATAAAGCTGTTATACTGTCCATAACATACTGTATGCAGGGAAATTTTCGCCCCCGTTTTATTTTCGCCTTACCCTCATTTGGGCGAATTTAAAACGGGGCGAAATGAAATAATACGGTATAATTTCTTAATTAAACTCTGATTGGGCGAATTTTAAACAGGACAAAATTGTTTGCAAGTGTGAAAGGGCGAAAATTAAATGGGGCGAAAATAACCCTGTATACAGTATTAAGATATAAACCTGTTATATTGTTAAAAAATGCTGGCATGTTTTTAGGCCGCAGGAAGACAAATGCATTTGTACCACTGTTGTTTAATTACAGTCATGTCATTGTGTTAGATATTGTAATAAAATGATTCTCTTATTTTTGTGCTGTTCTAACTTCACGAAAAAAAATTAAAATGCGTTTTCTGCGTAAATTACCATTTGCTTATTTCTATAATCCCTACAGCTATCTTTAAATTTCCTGCTTTAACTTTAAAGTCTACCAATTTATCATATTTACCTGGTTGTGCGTCGCCCTCGTCGCACAAGGGTAGAGCGCTTGCTCTAAAGTTGCGGACTAAAGTGTGGATCTTTACGTCGCCGGTTCGAATCCCTTTGCAGGACGTGACGAACGATTCTTCGGATGAGACCGTATAAACATTGTTCCTGTGTCATAGTACAGGTACTGGCACTAAAAAGATGCTTGAGTACCCAAAAGCATTTAGTGCCGAGTAGAGGTAAAAATTTGCACCTTATACCGGCAAATAGTAATGTTTCAACATGAGTGAAAAAAATAGCAAAGAGAAAAATAATCTTGGAAATGGGGATATCAATTAAAATTAAGATATTTACGTGTATTTTTTTTAAAATGTAGTTTTGAATTTTCTTTTAAGTTTTTTGGGGATTTTCTTGAAATACATTATTTGATTCTCGCCACGTCCAGATCTAGAATATGCTGTAGTACGTCTGAAGATTTCCTAATTTGCAACATTAATGCTTTTGTGATGAGTACTAACAGGTACTTAGAAGAGCACATGCTGGGCCCGGCAATGTGTTTTTTTTTTTATAAAGATTGTTATGAAGGTTAGAAATTGAAATCCAGTATTGATAGGATATATATCAACGTCACCTTCTTTGACTGGAGTGCTAAAGACTGAATGTGACACTGGAGAATATCTTCTTTAGAAAGTGAACTTAATTATAAGTAGGATTTCAAAACATTAGGATTTCAAAACATTAAAGCCCCGTGGGGATCCGGGTTAGAATAGGTCCTCAGTACCCCTTGCTTGTCGTAAAAGGCGACTAAATGGGGCGGTCCTTCGGATGAGACCGTATAAACCGAAGCCCCGTGTCACAGCAGGTGTGGCACGATAAAGATCCCTCCCTGCTCAAAGGCCCTGAGTGCCGAGCATAGGCCTAAATTTGCAGCCCTTCACCGGCAATGGTGACGTCTCCATATCAGTGAAATATTCTGGAGAGGGACGTTAAACAGTATATAATCAATCAATCAATCAAAACATTAAAAGAAGTTAGATTCTTTTATAATGATAATTTTTATATAATTTATGAAAGTGAGCCTTACCAAAAAACAAAACAAAACATAACAAAACAAAAACGCCCTAGTTATAATAGGTTCAAGCTTTGTCTGCTGAAACCATAATATGTTTCATGTAATCTATTTAACTCTTTGATCAACATTATGTTTTAGAGTCCTCGGCGACAACTCCATCCTTGTGTGTTTGCACATGTATGAAAAATGAAATTTCTTCGTATATAAAAAAAAAACAACCAAACAAACAAAAAATAACAATATATTGTCATCACGCACCAAAGGCAAAAAGAAATGAGATAGTTGCTTTCAAACAGGATTATAATACGCAACTGAACACAAACATACCTTAAAGATTTCGAGTATATCAATGGAGTAGTTGTATTCCTGGCGGTCCATTCTGTTGGGGATGATGCTTTCCCTGACGTAAGAATCCAGACTTCTGCCATCCCGAAAGTAAAGTTCAGCGGATGTGACGTTTGCAGTTATTGCTACAAAAATTGTACATACAGTATATAACCATTGCTTCTCTTCATGGCAATAATAAATAATGACTTAATTTTATTTAACATGTTTAAGGAATGATGCTTTTTTTTATTTCGCGGTTTATGAAAAAGCGTAAACTTGGCGTAAACTACCCCAAGTTAATGTTATATCGTATAACATAAGTCGAAATAAGCTTCACTCCTTACAATTTAATTTCAGTGTTGACAATGAGGCAATTTTTCTCCAGAAAAAAATTCAATTTGAACTTTCAAATTGAGTATATTTTAAAAGTAACGTCAAGCGGAGTGATACGATTTTGACGTTACTCATTGTGAGAAGGCAACTTATGTTATACGAAATGGCTAAATCTTCTACCCGAATCTGTTTCGAAAGGAAAAGCATCTTTCCTTTTATACTTGATACTTTAATTCTACTTTCAATGAATTGATCTTGGTATCTGGTTCTGGACAGAAAAAAACATATAAGGCTACTTTGTATGGTACAAAAACAGTTAATCCAGATACAGATGAAGATTTGCATATAACAGGGGTCTTATTTCAATTTAGATAATTTCATTAAAGCTGGTTTTATTCCAAGCTTTCTGTTTTCTGTTGAGCATTAAACATGAAAATCAGAAATGTTATCAATTCAACTACAACAAATTAAGTGAACGTATACTACATACAGTACAGGCAAAATCGGTATAATCACAACGCGGTTGGCCAGGTCAGGTAAACCGCGTTCCCTCCGCGGGAAAAAACCTGTCCCCGCCGCGGTTAAATCATCGATCAATTACTGACAATTAGTATCGTAAACAAACGGGAGTTATCTCCCCGAATTGTAATTTGCGAATTTTCCCTGTAACAAAAAAGAAAAACAAACAAAAACAAACAAACAAACAAACAAAAAACAACCGTGTGTTTATTCATAAATTTTGCTATGAATAGAATTTAAACTAAGAAAAAATAAGTTTATTTTTGTTTCTAAAATTACATATCAATCTTTGAAATTGAATAGAAAATTTTATTAAATTGTTACGTCTTTGCAATTGGTTAATTATTTTGTGTTATTAAGAATCTATCAAGAAACAAAATTAAATACTAGAAATTTTAATTAGTTTTTTTTTTAAATCTTCATATTATATGCAAACTGTAATAAATGTTGAACTCAGACTGTTTAAGTTTCGATGAACGATTTTCAGCATTCATTTGAAAAAAAGATGTACATCTTTTAAAAAATGTACATCTTCATATTGTTTATTAATTAATTTCGATTTATTGTATATAAAAAGTACAGGCTTTTTCTTAAAGTGTCAAATTACCGGAAAACATCCGATGACGAGCATTTGCAGTTACATGTTGTGGGCACGTGAACTAAAATTTTCTTTATCCAAGATATCAAGAAAAAGTTCTATTCTTCCTTATTTCTCATCGTTTATGTTCTGTTCCCAAATTAAGTTAATTTAATCAATTAATTTTCTTTAATGTATTTCCCTCTTTTATATAAATGTGCAGGCATTTTTCTCAAATTGTCAATTCACCGGAAAGCATTCGATGACGAGAGTTAACTTTGAGCACGTGAACTTTATACAAGAGATCAAGAAAAAATATCGTTTTTCACCTTCACAGTAACATGTTTTACTTTTTAATACAATGTCTTTCTTTTTAATTTTAATATTTCTCGATTTTCGTGTTCAATAGAAAAAATGTGCAGGTGTAATGATAAACTTCACAGACGAAATTATAGTTAATATTAATAAATATTCAATGCAAAAATTCATATATTTTTGTTTTCTTTGACAAATTCTGTTTCTTTGTGTATTAAGTATTAGCCGCGATCATTTCCTGTGTATAGGGATTTGCCTGAGCAGGAAACGACATGCCCTGGGGGTTTGGTATACCTTGGGTAAATGTGCACATCGTTGTCTAGCCATTCAACAACACATTTGATTCATAATTTCATTATTATTTCATCGATATCATTTTCAGATACGATTTAGCCTTGGAATTTGTGTCAAATTATTGTTGCTTTTTTTTAAACGGAGTGTATAAAAAGAATAAAAGTAAAAAAAAAAACTTTTAAAATAAATTAATGAAGTATTTGATATTAATTAAATCAAATAATGATCCAGTACTATGTTATTTCGTGTCTGTTTATATCTGTACCAGTTAGAAGATTGAAAGAGAGAGAGAGAGAGAGAGGGGAGATAGAGAGAAGAAAAAATCACAATTTTAAGGCACGTGCATGATCGTTTTTCCTCCTTTTTGATCAGTATATCAATTTCTTAAGTCTAGCGAATAAAACTACCGCTGATTTATCAGTTTATTGACCATTCGTCGAATTTGTCTTAAATTTTATTGTTATTTATCGAGAGACTTGTTTATGATCCACTTTCTTCTTTCGTTTAGCATATGTACATGACATGTAATTTGAATTACTTCCCTTTTTGTCGCCAGATTACAACAACAGATTTTGGTGGTAAAATAAAATGTATTTTTGTTATAAAATTTGATTAAGAAAAACACAGCATATCAAAATTGTCGAATTATTGAAAATATTTATTTGAAACAAAAAATTTATAAAGGATTTTGTCTGCAACAAAAACATTCTTTATTTCATGCATTTCAATTCATGAGCTACACATGAAAAAAAAAAAAAAACGGCTTCGTTTTACAATGTCGTAGGAAAACGCATACAGGTAATACACTCAGGTAACATCCTGTGTATATAGGTAGTATGTACACTAGACAGCGTCGTTCCCTCGGGGCTTCTCATCCGCTTCGAGTAAGCTCCACTCCACACCAAACTTACCTGAGGAAAACCGAACGGTTACACAGACATCTGAAAACTTGAAGCATGGCAACTTGCTGATTAAAATAAGTTAATTTCTGTGTTGTGTGTTCAAATATTTTAAGGGCCCATATTTGTGTTTGTGTTTTATTTAAACCGGAGAAATCTGAAATTTGTTTATGTTCATAAACATGATTTTAGTAATTTTCGAAAAGAGCAGAAAATAGAAATACATTCGAATACTAGCTATGATATTATTTATATTCTGAATAGAAATACCTGTGATTATTTTATTAACAAGACCCCCCCCCCCCAAAAAAAAAAAAAAAATCGTCGATATTTAGTTCATAGTCTTACAGTGTAGCGCATAATAATGGAGCAACGGTATTCCTACACTTAGGCGTGTTTTGTTAAAATTTAATCGTAATTATGTATCACTATCTATCATCGTTTTTCATGCTGTTATTTATAACAGACATGTATACAGAAGTAACGGTACTTTTCTAAATGAAACCAAATGACTAATATAATCTCGCAGATAAATAAACACATAGCTACATGTACATGTAACTGCAACTGCACGGGCTGTGAACACCGGATTACAGTGCATATAAAGAGAAGCGATATCATGGCATTCTTTAAATTTTAATCATACCTTTTTAGCAATTTGAAGATCATTTGGGATGGAATTATTGATTTTGAAAATAAACTTTAAGTTAATATATTCGATAAATTATTCGACTTTATTTCATCCTATACTGTACATGTATTACTGTTAACAGACGTTTTTGAGAATTAATTAATTTTGAGTGACCTTTGGTAAAAAAAAAAAAAAGAAACATTTTTTTATTAAACAATTTGATAAAACTTAAAAATGAATTTTTAAAGAATCCATGTAATGGTATAAATCTGTTAATATTAATGTGGTCGTAATCCTCCCCCCCCCCCCCCCCCTCATTTCGACACGATTAAAAATCGACAATACTTTACAGGTAAGAACATCTAAGCTGAAGAATAACGGTAGCGGGCCCCGCCGCGGTGTAAACACGGTCTCAGGTAGCACCGCGATCAAAACCCGCGACGGTGTAACGCGGAAAGGATTAATACATCGCGGAGGGGACGCGGTCTAATACGGGATCCGCGTTGCCTGTACTGTAGATATAAATACAGGTATATTGATTAAATGATCAGAAAGATAAGAGATAGAGAGAGCGCGTTCTGTAATTTTAAAACTATTTTATTGTTTAGAAAATTGAACGTTAACCAGGTATGTATGACATTGTATTGCCAAAAGTTAGTCTGGATGTCTTTAAAAAAACAATTTTGAAATTTATAAGCAAACAAACATGCAAACACGTATAAACAAAACATCTAATAGAAAATTGTATTATACAAGTAATTCAGATATTGTTTCTTTCTCAAAGTATAAAGATGTGATCTATGTTTGCTCTTTGACGTCAATCCATTTCTGAACAATAAATGGAAGATATTAATACTCTTGCTGATTCCAGTTTTATGCGTTATTATATTTCTTCCTTTTCAGGATTGACAGCCAATTAAAATGGATGAAAAAGATAATACTCACCAAATCCCCCATTGCAAAAGGAATTTTGAAAACGGGGCATATAACAGGAGCAACAAAATGCGGATTTTGTCAGTCCTAGTAAAAGTAATATTCCCAACATCACTGAATGAACCATTGCAACAAGTATCTTAGGTTTTTATGAACAAATGTAGGAACTGTCAGATTTGGGCTTGACCTAATAGCGGCTTTGACGTTTCTGGATGCTAGACCAAAGGGCAGAAAGATTTTTATCATGAAAATGTCCAATCAATAGCCCCCAGACTAAATGTGAGGCAAAGAAAAGGTTGCATATATACTAGAGAGGGTAGAATTCCTGCAATCAGCTATATTCCGATCGCGGCTGTTTTGACTGACAACGACAAAATTTGATCCCATGTTGTCCATAGGGAAAAGATCCTAAGCTAATGCATTTACAAGTAGATGAAGGGACGCCGTTATAAAGATTAAATAGAACAGTTGACCGCAATTCGTGGTTAAGGTCTTCGCACTGCCAAGTCGGTTTGGGATGCAATCTATCAAATTAAGAATTATACTGTACATGGTATAAAAACAACAGGAATTTGCTATGAATTTGTCATATTGAGTTTCGCTCTAAACTTGTATAAAAATCATGTAAAAAGTAATAAATTTCATTGTTTAATATTGAAGAAAAAATTAATTTCCGCTTTTGCTTACTTTGATCAAATGATGATGTCATGAATATTATTACATTTGACGATGCATTATAATGTTGATCCGCTAGTTAGCCCCTAAACCATCTAAATCTCTATTACCGTAACTGCACTTTACATGTATGAGGCCTAGCTTTCATACAAGTTAGTTTATACAATTCTTTCGTCAGATAAGAAAATTTCAAGTAGAAGATACCTTTTCTTGAATTTCACCCAATCTTATTTATCTTCCTTAGAAAAAGAAATACGTAAAATTCTTCATTCAAACAGACTTGAATCCAGATCCAATTAATTTTCAACGTTGTAATGTGTTATTACATGTAATTACTGCTTCTGACTTTTTCTGTATTATCCATCATGTCATGGAGCACTCGGCAGTGGCGGATCCAGAAATTTTGAAAAGGGGGGCCCGACCAGTTTGAGGTCAGGGTAGGGGCCCACAGCTATAATACCGAAAAAACATTGATTTATCAAATATTGTGTATTTTTTGGACTCAAAAGGGGGGCCGGGCCCCCTCTAAATCCGCAAATGCTCGGCGTGTGTGACCAATTGACAGGGAATACTTTCTCCTCTATGGCAACTGATCCCACCTCTGATGTTTTTGCACTACTGTGTTTGCTCTGCTCCTGATTTGTAATGTTTAAATGAGATTTTAGTTTGAATACTATTTGTTATTTCCCTAAATTTTTGATACAGAAGAATTTCAAGAATCAAGTCTGACCATCTTATGATTTCTCGATCAGGTAGGGTTGAATTATAATAGGCAATCACAAGTTTACATTAGTCAATATATTAAGTTGTCCCTACTACATGTATTACTGGGTGGGGGGGGGGATTGGTTGGTTGGCAAGCATGACTTTAACAAACTTGAATCTACGGTTACCGGGGACGCTTCTTTTTTGCGGGGGGCTAACAATGGCCTTTTAAGATTTTTATCACGTTTTATGTTTCTTTGATCCCCTGTGTGTCCCTCCCTACCCATGGAGGCCAATATTTGAACAGACTTTAATTCAGATATTATCTATAAAGACTTAGAAAGGCCTTTCAAATCTTGATATGTTTAAATGTTTTTATATACTAGTATTCCAAGGTCATACATCAATCCCTTAATCTTTTGGCACTGTCCTGTCCCAAGGGATATGATTTGAAAAAAAAATGAATTTAGAGGTTGTTTTTGCATTTATTTACATGTAAACGGAAAACACGATAAACGCAAAACACGATAGAAAACGCAAAACCTGATAAACGCAAAACACATACGATAGGATACACGCACGATACGATAGGATACACTCACGATATTGATAAGACACGATAGATTTGTTGTTCTTTGGATTTTTAAAGATAATTCCTATATAAAGTGTATTACCATATCATATACATATTAAAAGTGTCTACTTTGAGTTACCTATAATTCTCCTATTGTTAATCTTATTTTTTATTTTTTTCTTAGCACTTCGTTTCTTCCATAATAAAAAAAAATCAAGAAAAAGAAACTCACAAAAACAACCTCTTTACTCTTTTAATACAACAACATGTCTATATCTGTAAGAGAACATCTAATAATATAAAGAAAAGTAGATTTTCTTTTATTACTAGATACATGTATATGTTCCAGACACAATTACTTTGCGGTCAATGTTGCTTTTCACATCAATAAAGCTGTTTCTAAATATGTATATATTGTACAAGGTAATGTGTCTTTTCACATTTTCACAGATGTTTCTTTTTCAATTTGATAATTCTAATTCCATTTTTAGCGTCTTTGATCCGCCACCATCGACCTAATTTGTGTTCCTGACCCACCCCTGCCACCAGAATCTGTCCATCTACCGAAAACTGAAGACAGTTCACAAAACCATCCTGGAATTTTAAATAAAATATAAACAAATAAATGTATATGTATATGTTTCTTCACTCAGTTACAATTTTAATTCCTTGTCTTTATCAAGAGAACAGTTTCATTATAATACATGTATAATAAATAATACAATCATATCTAGTCCCATTACCCTATTCTAAATTCTAAGTAATCAAAATGGTTGCAATCCATAATTGAAATATAAAATTAACGCCAACAAGATGGTTTGCCCTAAAAAGACATAACCTGAGTTTTAAAAGGTATATTTTTTGTTTTTTGTTATACGAAATGTTGGTACAGGTATATGTAAGTAATATAAATAAATGATTAAATATTATACAATTTTGAAAAAAATTAATATGTGACATACCATTGGTATTGAAAACAAGGGTTGTAGTGCTGTGTTGTTTTTGGCAGTCTTCCAAAGCTTAATACATCCATCCTTAGACCCTGCTAAACAGAATTATCTGATTTAAATGTACAGTAAAAGAAGGTTGACTTTTAACTCTATGATATTTCACATCTAATGGATATTCTACAAAAGCCATGGTACAAGAAAGTTTCTGGTTGCCCTTTATGGATAAATCTTTCATTAATAAAAGGGGAAAATTTTAACCTACAAGAAGTCACTAGATCTGTGTTATGGAGGGAAGCGACAGAAGTAATGATTAACCTACAAGAAGCCACTTTGTTATGGTGGGCAGCCACAGCAGTAATGTACTCTATTTTAACCTACCAGAAGCCACTAGATCTGTGTTATGGAGGGCAGCCACAGCAGTAATGTACTCTATTTTAACCTACAAGAAGCCACTTGACTAGATCTGTGTTATGGCGGGCAGCTGCAGCAGTAATGTACTCTATGTTAACCTACCAGAAGTCACTAGATCTGTGTTATGGTGGGCAGCCACAGCAGTCATGTACTCTTTTTTAACCTACCAGAAATCACTAGATCTGTGTTATGGAGGGCAGACACATGTACTCTATGTTAACCTACCAGAAATCACTAGATCTGTGTTACAGAGGGCAGACACAGCTGACATGTACTCTATATATTAACCTACCAGAAGTCATTAGATCTGTTTTATGGAGGGCAGCCACAGCATTAATGTATTTTATATTAACCTACAGTGGCTGCAACGTTATTGTTGACAACTTACACGAACGATCATGTTACACGAACGATTCCGCATGATTAACGCACCATAAAACCTGTTACACGAGCAATCCTTCATGCACATGATTCTACACGTTACACGATCTTACACAATTGCTAACGCAAACGCACGATTCTTCTTGCAAAATAGTTCAAAATATTTAGGAATTAATATTTTCAAAATGAAATAAGGCTTAATATTTATTTTAGAGTTTAAATAATTATTTCATATTATTTTATTGATTGAAAAAAACATAATAAAAATAAGAATGGATGTTTCTGGAAATACATACATCTATGTTTGACTTTTTTATTATTTTAGATGAAAAAGAATTATTTACGTAAATCTCAGACTTAAGGACTGAATTTTTTTCATCTATTAATAGAAGATTTACATGTAGGTGGACGGTGAGGTTTGATTGAATAGGATTTCTTCAGCAGTAAGGTAGATAAGATTGAAAAAAAAGTATTAAATGAATTAAATTATAGGTCATATGTATATCAATGTTCCCATTTGTTAATATCTGAAATTCAACAAATACTTTGCAAATCTTTTTTTTGTTGTTGCTTTTTGCAGAAATTACAAATTTAAAATAATTGAAAGTAAGCTCCGTAGATAAACACTGATAAACGAAACCAGACAATCATGTCGTGTAAATGTACACAGACTTAATATTTATGTAAGTATTCAGAATTGTTTATTTATTTATTTGTAAAAATATCCATAAAATATTCATTTTTGATGTATTGATTTAAAAAGTATCTTGACTTTAATTAATTACCAGTAAACATAATAAACATCAAAGAAAATATCGTTAAACATCGAGGTACAATTTATCACAAAAATGCACGGTATTTAAAAAGAACAAAATATAGTATGACTTACTACAGTTAAAAGAAATAATTAGTTCCTTCAGCTTCTAATTATGTAAATTGTTCTTCATTTATTTTATTTGGACTTAAAAAAAAACACACAAACGAAATGCATATTTAACAAAAAACATTTCGATAAAAACTTACAAAACGAAATTTACACGTTTCTCGATTGGTTTGTCAACAATAACGTTGCAGCCACTGTACCAGAAGTCACTAGATCTGTGTTATGGAGGGCAGCCACAGCAGTAATGTACTCTATTTTAACCTACAAGAAGCCACTAGATCTGTGTTATGGACCACTAGATCTGTGTTATGGAAGGAGGCCACAGCAGTAATGTATTCTATATTAACCTACCAGAAATCACTAGATCTATGTTATGGAGGGCAGACACAGCTGACATGTACTCTATGTTAATCTACCAGAAATCACTAGATCTGTGTTATGGAGGGCAGACACAGCTGACATGTACTCTATATTAACCTACCAGAAGTCACTAGATCTGTGTTATGGAGGGCAGCCACAGCAGTAATGTACTGTAAATCACTTTTTATTCGCGAGAACTTTATTTTCGCATAATTATGCGAGTCAGTGTGCTCGCGAAAATTTAATTCTCGAGTTTAATATTATTCCTTAAGATTATATACAGCAAAAACCAAAGTTCGTGAAAATTTTGTCTCGCTAATCAAGAGTCAATGACTATCTCGCGAAAATAAGGTGTCTCGAAAATTTAGTTATCTACAGTACTCTATTTTAACCTACCAGAAGCCACTAGATCTGTGTTATGGAGGGCAGCCACAGCAGTAATGTACTCTATTTTAACCTACCAGAAGCCACTAGATCTGTGTTATGGAGGGCAGCCACAGCAGTAATCCAGTTTGTCTCCCTGCTAGTGTTACCATTATGGTCTTGTCCACAATGGGCATTCTTCACAGTCACTGTGGGCTTTTTCTTCATCATGGACCATAGTGACAATGAGCTGAAGTGAACATTTTCATAAAGAAAGTCTTTCTTTTTCATAAGAAGGAGGGGAAGATGTAAAAATAAGGCTAGATGACCATAACAGCCTACTATTCATTGAAAAAAAATATAGGAAAAGGAATTTGTATCATGTTTTAATTCAGTGCAAAACTCTATGAAGAATAGAAGAATTTCAAAGAAATTTAAGAGTTTGGACAACAGACATATGATTTTAATCAAGCTAATTGCACGTTGTATTGTCAGAGGATGAAATATGTCCACTTACTTGTTATCAGCACCTGATATGAAGTTGGATTCATTGATGAAGGCTACACAGTCTATCGATCCCCTAAAAGGCAAAAACACAGATTTAAAGATAGATGAAATGGGCAAAAAAACAACATTCAGGCCTCAAATTTTACAAAACAATATTGTAAACAAGATTCAAGCCTGCAGTGAGAATTATTGGAGTTCTTCAATCATCTTTTAATCTTAAATATTTTTTCCAGAGAATTTTTTTCAATTTTGTATACATGTAATAAAGTAGAATATTTCCCCAGTAAGGAAAATTTTATAGAAGGAAATGGATTTTAAGTTGAAGAATAGATGTTTTCATATGTTTTCATGTGATTGTTGTTTGCTAATTAAAAACAAAAACAAAAATTTCTATTAAGGAAGCTGTAAACACTGTACACTAAAGAGCTCCACTTATAGGGTAGTTTTATGCAGTTAGAGTGATCTGCCCTTGCAAGTTAAGCTTTAAAAATTGTTATTTACAGTTAAATTCATGATTTATAATAGATTAAAATATTTTTAGCATTATATAAAACCAAGATAAAGTAATTAAATTTATTATTTTCATTAATATCTGCTCACAAGTAGTCCATTGTCTTTGAACATTTTTCCTGCGGAAATAAGGCAGGTACCCTACGTTATAAATAATTGATAAAGTCCCAGTATGCACACCTTAATATGATATCTTTTCCAGCAAGTCCAAAAAGCAGTTTCTGTTAGTGTTTAGAGCTTCCTGAATTTTGATTATTGCTATAAATTACCCTTATCAAAGAATTAGGAGTATGAAATTTTGAGAGCAGACCATCTCATGTAAATACACTAAATGCACAAAAGAAGTTTATGCAAGCAAAACGTGATTTACATCTGTGATAGACTTACGGGTCTCCATTAAACACGAGTTGTGATTCCTCCACCACTTTCCAGATTCGTATACTTCCATCTCGTCCCCCTGAAGTAATGGCTCTGTCTCGAATTAAACTGTCTATGCCAGTAATTGCATCACTGTGTCCAAACCTGTAATACCAAAGATAGAACAATAAGCTGTGATACTTCCAATAATGCCAGTAATATCAACCTCATATCAATCAATGCTTTAACCTGTATGCTATCTTGTGTACTGGTATACTTAGTGTTTGTATATATTTTAAATGTTTGTTTTACTCACAGCGTCTCTATGTAAGCCAGCTCGTCCACATTCCAGATTTTGACTGATCTGTCGTGTGAGGCACTGAACAGCTGGTGAGATCCAATTCTGAAAGCCAGGCCCTACAAAGGACATAATTATTACAAAAAAAAAAATAAATTGCTGCTGCCATACAAATACTTTTTCATGTCAACAGTGTCTTTCAATTCACTCCTTGCCACAGTACTTAATCACTGATTCTTTTTTTGGGGGGGGGGGGGGGCAAATTTTTATGAATTGAGGGGAAAATATTATTTCGGGGTGATTTCTTTTAATGGATGATATATTACAAAAATGATACATGTTTTGATTTTAGATTTTAACATCTTGTGGGGGACATGAATTTGACAATCTATTCAAACATCGTTACAATGAAAATTAACCCCTCACCTCCCTAAAAATTAGGGACGTTAACCTAGGATCTTGTAGGAGTTATAGTATAAAAATGAAAACTTTTGATTAGACTTTTAGTATTTTTTACTTTTTTATTCTTCCTTCTCTAGTTTCTCTATTTAAAGATTACACTTTTAGATACAAATGAATGATTATTGGCCAAATATATCTGTACATTGTAATTACATGACTGAATAATTAATGAATATTGCCTGTGGGTTTCAGCAGAAATTCTGAAATGCACATTTACATACAAAATACATATACTGTACATGTACATACATATGTTTACTCAAGCAAAATATAACATGCATTTGTAATTAATGTCACAAATGTAATAAATGTTACAAGTTAATTGATGAGTCCTTACTGAGATTGAATCTCTGTGGCCTGTAAATTTATGGATAAGTTGGCAGTTGTCTGGATTCCAAAGCAACACAAACTTATTTTTGCCTCCTGATGCCTGCAATGTAAGAAATCTTTTTTTATCAAAATTCAATCAATTATGGTATAAATATAGTACATAATCCCTTGAAAGTTCAGGTATCATTGACACAAAACAACAGGGTCACACTTGCCAAAATTTGGTATTTTTGAAAGGCAAAATAAAAGTATATAATATTAGAGACATTTTCACCTAGCTTTCACTTTCACTTTGTATCTGACACATTAAAAGATTTTTTATAGATATACAAGACAAGATGTATTGTCCACTTACCAGGAACTTGCCATCCGAGGACATGGCCAGACACAGGACGTGGTCAGTGTGACCGTTGTGTGTGTCCTCCGTACCCTTCCTCCCGCCGTGTATCGTGTGGAGTCTTCTACCCTCCTCCACGTCCCCTAAAAAGTCAACAACAGAGGAACTGTTTAGCTTACTCATTGATAAAATTCTACTAGCAAATAAACTGAGAGATCAGAGAATGAAAGGTGAGGGAACAGGACTTCTGGTTTTGAAAATTTTTAATTATTTGTAAAATTCAAAAAGTTCTCTAGCTGATAAGTCGAAGACAATAGTGAAGGTTTCATTTCTCTACGGTTCATACCAAAGGTTGTAGCAAAGTTAGTGAAAGAAAAAAAAATGTAGCAGCACAGCAGAAATGGAAAAGGAACTTCTAACAATAACCTTAACTGATAAACAGCAAAACAACATGTGAGATTTCAAACAATGAATGAACTATGTTCAGCAAAAATTAATAAATTTGGCAGAATATGACACATCTATCATGTTAATGGACCTCCTGAAATTTCTTGCATGTCAAAAATGATGATTATTAGTACATGTACAACATTTGTTTCAGTTTATCACACAGTCCACATATAAATGTATATATACTTAGGACACTGGTCCTAATGGTCCTTTTACATTATCATACATACATTTGATAATACTACAGTCCTTGGAGCCACTGAAGGCGTATTCCTTGTCAGGGGAGATAACCACGCACGTAACGGTCAGCTGATGTCCCCTCAGTACGGTAATGTCCTCCAGAGAAGGCTGCATGTACTGTAAGTATTCCACAAAAGTGTATTCATTAATAAGTGTTTAGTAAATCAGCATAAACAAATGCATGCGAAATAAAACATAGGCCACATGCAGGCAACAGCATCATGCCATAACTAAGATATTACTAGTAGCATGAATCCCTTCAAGTATCATATAGTTACTACAGAGATTAATTGCAGCCATGCTCTAAAATAACTTTGACCAATTGAGGTTCATTGATGGGGGAATAGGATAAGCCCTCCTCAGTTGTATTGGGATATGTGAAAGATGGTGGCCCATCAGACAAGGCAAATTCATTGTATTTCAAAGCATGGATCAAACTTATAATGTGATGACCCACTACAATTGGCTACCAATATTTTTGTAATCCTGTACTGATAAATATGCAATGTGAGTTGAAAACTACAAGTATTTATCATATCTGTAGGTATATGTACAAAAATGAATCAACTACCCAGTAAACTGACAATATTTCAAAGGGAAAGACGAATAGATACATGTCATTTGTACATGTAAGTAACCTGAAGGTTAATATTTTTTTAATTAATACCTCATCAGCTACTGTTTTCTGTAATTTTCCTGTCTGTTCCAGCTGTAAAAATAGAGCAATGAATGATAATGACATTGCATTCACCAGGAAATAGAAGAGAGGAAATTTTCAAACAGAAAAAAAAATGATATTTTTTTTTTACCTAGGATTTTTTAGAGTCAGAACAAAAGCACCTTAATAGAGCATCAATAAAATGAAATTTATCTCTATATGCAACAGAGCAAAAATACAATATTCTTTTAATACATTTCCAAATCCACAAAGATTACAAATATTGTATGTTTTGATCAGAACAACACTGAACATTGTATTTACCAGGTCTTGTTTTAATCTATGTGAAATGATATCCCTGTGAATGTCATCTTGTTCTCTCTTCTCAGCCTCTAGAAAAAACAAAAATTGAAAATATAGTTTGAATCTGCTACTTCATATTTGATAATTTTTAAATACTAATAATGCAGTTTTTTACACAATGAATTTGTGTGAATTGAACTCTCCCCCCCCCCCCCTCCCCAAGCTCATGGCAAATAAATTACTTCAATCTTAATTTTCATCTTACCTCAATAAAACAGTAGATCCCCAAATTATTAGCATCATACATGCAATATTATGATATATACATATGAAAGTGAGACAAAATTTTCAGGAGTGTTGGTTATAATGCTGCAAATAATATTCAATAAAAAAAATATGTCACATAACAGCAGATGGTCTTGCAAAATCAAGGGGGAAAATAAAGTTCTTGTGAAAGAAATCCTGATTCATAGTTTCAGTTTTATATAGCCCTTGGGAAAAAAATGCTCTGAATCTTCTCACAGAAAAGCATTATTGTATAATGCTACCTAATCTATAATCATACTTATAAACTTGCAATTTCATGCTACAAGTGCTTTTAAAATTTCAAAGGCATCCAGTTTATTAGTAATAAAAAAACATTTTCAGATACAACATGTACATGCAAATACATGAGCTGATACTTGATATGCCACTTTTTTTTATCTCTTTTGCTTTTTAATTACCTTCTTGTTCCAAACTGGCCAGATATTCTTTAGCGAGTCGTAACTTTTTCTCTTGTGCTGTCTCTTCCTCATCTGAAGATGATACCACCTCTGTTTTCTTTCCACCATCATCACTTTTAAGTAAAATATTTTCAGTATAAAAGAAAACATTTCATGTTTGAAAAAGGCCAGAAATACAACCTTTCAATTGAAATTTACATTCATTCACAAAGAAGACAGAGTATGAAAAATGAAATGAGACTGCCCAAGTACATGTAAATCATGATATATTGTGTTTTTCTCTGACACAGACTGTCAATGCATATTTTTCAGTCTTTTAAAAGATGCACATTGGCTTCCAATCAAATCAAACATCAAAATGATAACTTGACAAATGCATTATCCTCTGTGATAAAGAACAGTACTTTTTTGACACAAAGAAGATGGGCGCATTTGGCGTGTGATCTGCAGGAATCATTTGTACGAAACATTTATGGTTTAAAAGTCCATGATTTGGTTGGATGAACAGAGCTGGTCAGATTTTACAAACGTTTACGTCCATAAATTTTTTTTCATTTAGTTTGAAGGACCTTGTGAGATTGTAACATTTATGTCCTTTTTTTCCTAGGGGGTACTATAACATTGTAATGTTTCACAAAAAATAAACACCTAAAAAAAATGAATACATAGATGCATGATAGTGTACATCTACATTATAGAAGAGAAGATCAGAATTGAATTCGCTAGAGAACCAAACTGAACCAAAATTTATCTAATTCAAAATTTTAATACATCAGTACATAAAACGAAACTGACAAAATAAATGGTTGTTTGCATGAAAAAAATTAATGCCCCATGCCAGGCTCGAAACAAAAATTATTTGCTTCCAGTGCACTGAACAAGTAGCCCAACTTACTGAGCAATCACCGCTACAAATATACAGATGATTTTAAAAGGACAAAGAACATGAAGAAGCACCACATTCACACATTTGGATTTTTTGGGAACAAGTTCATTTTTCGTGGTCTCTGGGTCTTCTCTCCATTTTTTAAAAATGTGTATTTGTTTCTTTGAATTAAAATGCCCACAAATAATTTTTCAAAATCATGGAGAGAAGACCCAGAAATAGAAACATTTTAGAAAAACGTGTTTAAAAATGCACAATTTTGTACCAAATGTCTGATCTAGTCAATTTTCAAGTTATTTTTTAGTAAATCAAAGCTCAATTTCGGGAAAATATTTTCCTTTCCTGTTGCACAGGAACTCGATAAATAAAAAAAATGTAAAAATTTCATGTGACATGCCGATATAATTTTCACTTTTCAATTACGCCCAGATTCCTGCCGAATGCCAATCAAAAGCGTCCTCGTTCTTTCAAAAAAGGTAGTCTAATATAAATAGCCACTGAAAAACTTACATGTAGTGAATATATCTCTTAAAGAATCAATTGTTTTTTGTATTTTAATAGAATTTTAATTGGTGGGAAAGAGTAAGTTAGGCACCTCTCAATTTCTGATTCACTTTCTATTTCTTCATTCTGCAGTCGTAACTTCTTTCTCTTCTTTTTAGAGGGAGCTCCACTTAGTGACACCTGTGGTCTCTGTTTTGTCTAATGGAAAATAAAAAGTACATGTAAAAAAATAAACATTTCTCCATGAAGTATATCATGTATATAAAAATATTTCTTCCACTAATTAAGTTATGTTTATCATGATCAACTGATCAAGCATACATTTCTATGTTGCAGATTCATTTTTACTCTATGTACACAATTACATATAATTTTGCTTGATACAAAGCCTATGAGGCCATCCTTAAAAAAATTATTTTTTGCGGTAATGCGCCTCATCATTTTAGGTGTGAGTAGGTAGGTAGGCTTTTTTTTTTTTTTTTTATTGAGACAAAAATGTCAGAAATAAATTTCGATGATATAGAGGTATTAACTATGTCTCAATTTTCACCTTACTTATCAAACAGGAAAATTAAAGCATTCTAAATGAATTCAAGCTTTTATTGCTCAAATATCAGAACACATCAGTTCTTTTTAGGCAAACTTTTTCTAAGAAAGTGACTCTCATCAGCCACGTACCTTAAATAACTGACTCCACACTAATCTAGTGTTTCGGGGTGTGATATTTACGAGGTTTATGTTTTTGATAGTTTATTAATTAGCTGCAAATCCGCAATCATCCCACGTGGAATTTTGTCTGCCACCTTGTGGCATCTCGTAAACATCATACCATGCATCTGTAAGGTGGAACTGACGCACAACATTTTTTTTTTGCCTAGTAATTAAGATGTTTTTCCTTTAAAATTTACTGTAACTGACAGAACTATAGAGTCAATATTTCCCGCAACCTTCTCGGACGCCATCTCTAAATTTGTAGATCACAAAGACGTTTAAATAGTACATGGGGAAAAGATAAAGCGTTGGTGTAACCGAGACCTAAAAAAAAATATCAATCGGATAAAAACGGAAAATTGGATACGTAAAAAAAAAAAAGATTTTTGAACCGATAAAAAAAAATCCAGTCGGGTGGATTTTGGTGAGTCGGTCGCGTTACCGCAAAAAAAACAATTTTTTAAGGATGGCCTGACCTTTGAATTTTTTAAATTTATTTTGGACTTGTTTTGCTAAATGTTTTTGCAGTAGAAAAATAATTGCTTTAAATTTGGTGTGATTTATTAAGTGCAGAGCCGTTGTTTACGTGACGTCAGTGCATGGCGGTGGCAAGAGGTAAAGAATTTTTAAAAACGGAAAGTAATGGTTGATTGTGTCTATATTTCAGTGTATTTGAAACCTTTGAAGTGATGGAATTTAAGGAAAACCATTTTTGGGGACAGTTCTGCATGCTCAAGGTTAGACACTTTCGTTTTCCTAAAAAAAATTCGGCTCCGAATCTACGAGAGGATTAAAAAGTCATTGCATATGGTGTATTTATATATAGAAGGGGTATATATATCACTCTGATGAAACAAATAACGGCCGCTTATTGATCAGGTCTGGTACAATCACTAGATTTAGCTACGTAGCTTGATTTACCTACTTAGCTTTATTTACCTACCTGAGGTAGCTTTATTTAGTTACCAAATCAATTTAATTCTATAAAGGAGCATTTTTCTCAGAATGTGCAGAAAATCTCATTTTGATGCAGTGATCATTTTCAACTTTGAACTCAGCTGAAAACATGAAAAAATCACTCTTGAAGAAATGTTTTTTTCTGCACAATTGCAATCAAAGTTCTAAAAATTTTGGGGCTATGTATGACAGTTAGCACAGTTACTCTTTGAGTGAAATGACAAAGAAGTCCAGTTCTGGTTAACATGATAATAGGTCGGTAATTATTCAGCACATTGTAAAGTAATCATACTCAGCCATGCCTCACCGCACGCAAGAGAGAGGACAGTTAACCAAACAATGGAATTACATGTTTTGCTCTAAATTGTCCAAACGTAGCAATGTATAAATTATCTCTACTTTGGATTGTTTTTTAATTGCGACTTTTTGTCTCTTTTTAATAAAACGATAAGAATTGAAAAGTTGCATTGAAATAGCTAAATAAAGCTAACTGAGGTAGGTAAATAAAGCTACGTAGGTAATTCTACCTACGTATCTAAATCTAGTGTTTGTACTGGACCTGTTCATAGAAATTCAGAGGCCTGTGGATAAACACAGACCAAATATCTGAAAATCGGAAGGAAGAATGCGTACAAGACAGCTTACCTTTGACTTCGATTGTTTCCTTCCTTTTGATTTTATAAAGAACGGCATTTTTTCTCAGAAACAGGATTGAAAGTTACTGAAAAGTTAGAAACACGTTGTTTTCATCTTTAGTGTCAATGTAATATACGTTCTTTGTCTACCAGCTCCAGCTCCGCCGTAATAAACGTTTCGAAGATTTCATTAATTTGTAAAAGATGACTCTCACCAACAAGCAATTCCGGATTATGTTGTTTAGGTCTAGAGAATCCTTCAGGTTTTTAGCGTTGAAAATTATTTATACACGTGAAGTAAAATACATAGGACCTGATCATATCCACCCCCAAACAAAACTCCCTTTAAATGGGAAGAAGTTCATGTATAAACTACGGGGGGGGGGGGATTAAAGTGTATCTTTTCCCCGAATCGAAATAGATTTTTTTTTCAGGTTTTGGGAATTTTTTTTTCGTTTTTGTTCTTTACTTTTTAATTTTTGTTTGTCACTATAGATAAAAAAAAAAGTTTTTAAAAAATTGAAAAAATTAAAAAAATTGAGACTGTTTACATAAAAGTTCATCCCACTGAATTCACACCCGCATGCATGTTTACACCTACATGATATCTGTTAGCTGATTGGATTTTTTTTTAATGTATAATGACTTTATGTGATCATACTAGAAAATGGTTTTTAAAAAGAATACCGTAGGCTTTGAATAATGTTTTCTAGTATTACTAAATAAGGTAGCCTCCACGTAAATTAATAATGCAAGTAGAAACTACGTATCAACAAGTCATATGGTGTAGATCTACAAATTAACACAACATCTTTTTCAATTTTAATGGATGATATATATTTTTATATTAAATTTTATTTAAAACAAAAACAATCTTTGAACAACAAAGTATAAAAACAATAAACCCAGGACATACTGAGTAATACATGTAAATAATTCTGCACGCTGAGTTTAATACATATACAATAATTTATTATAAAATACAGTACAGTTAAGGAAAATGTAAAATAAACTCAATTGAAAGGAGCAAGATATCTTGGCATGCGTATCATCAACTTTGGGATGAAATACAATATAGACATACTTTAAATAAGTTACTAATTATTAGTTTTATATGTGAATATCTTTGTGAACTCGACAACTTCAGAGTCATCGTGGATCTATTAAATATTTAATCAATACATGAGATTTATACCTACATTATACATACATTTTTTTTAAATTCAGAAAATTTATTTTTCTAGCTATAACACTATTTGAAATACTCTATGATACATATGTAATCTTCATTAAATGGGCAACGGTGGCATACTTGTTTAATTATAAAATCAATAAATATAATATCTTGGCACAACGTCCGAATGGCATTATGTAATATGAAAAATCGTAATTTTATAAAGGTATAAAATGGCTAATCCCTTTTAAAATAAAATTATACATGTTTATACATCTTATGTATTCTTGTATTAGAAAAATCTTAAAGGGATTTTTTCACAAAACCTGAAAAAACCATTTACAACTTGTACTAGTGTACATACTAGTATATCTGATTTAAAAAAATGACAGATAAATATATGGCACTGGTTGACATTAACATGAACTTTTGTACAGTCAAACGACAGTCACTGTTTTTATAAAAGTCTCATGTAATTCTTGGGAGCTTTAGATGTTCAGTTTTTGCTCATATACCATATACCATTACAAGAATAGATGTTAGCATAACACCAAATCTTGACCTGAGGACAGTAGCAGCGGCCCTTGAATTGGTACAGGAACACAGAAACCCCCATGAACTGTCAAATGCTTTAATAGAAAAAGAATGCACTATTATACATTATTATTTATAGAATATTACATGTACATACAAAAATCCATATCATGTATAAATCAAACACAAATGTCGTACTAGCACGAGTGACCCCGTCAGCACGAAGACCGAGGACTTTTCAAAGTGGCATTTAATACATCCCTGTTTAGTTCACTTAAAAAATAGGCTATTCCTTTTTTTTCTATATTCATGCAGCTTCCGTGTGTACCTTTGTTTTTGACAGCCAATTTTTATTTCATTAGTTTAGGAGAGAAAATTATTAACGGATCTATGCAACATATCATTGTTATCATTATGATAAACTTTTCTGGGAGGAACTGAGTGTTTGTGAAACACTTACGCAACCGTATGGCAACATAGCGAAGCTTAAGATTAAATTTTCTCAAATGCAAATCAAACATGTTGTCTTGATACCCAAAGTAAGACCTTCTCGCAGAAATACAAATGTGAAATATTATGACCCTCGCACCGTCTGTTCAAAAGTTATGGTCAAGGTTAATGCTAGATGAGATATCAAAGAAATTTTGATATAATTGAGATTTTAATTTGCACTTTATGTTTGTAGCACTTCACCCATTTCGCCCGCCTAAATGTTCACCCATCTTCTTAAGGTCCGACGAGACGTTCCTAAAAAAATGTTTTGTATATCTTCGTAATGTATGAAAAATATTCAAAATTTTAATAACATTCTGATTTCTACACCAGTTTCTAAACGTTTTTTAAAAAAATCCAAATACGTAAACATTTGAAATTGGAAAATTATTTTTCTTCCCCAAAGGATTATATAAGAAAAACTACCCCTGGTATCTTCACTGTAAGAAATGTGTTTAGAATTCAAACACTTTTCTAAACACTTTTTTGTCACCTTCTTTTTTATATGTTTAATTCCTAAACATGTTTAGTTTCTAAACACGTATGAGAAAGTGTTTAGAATCTAAGCACACAAGTGTTTAGATTCTAAACACTTTCTCATACATGTTTAGAAATTTTACATGTTTAGGAATTAAACATATAAAAAAGAAGGTGACAAAAAAGTGCTTAGAAAAGTGTTTGAATTTTAAACACATTTCTTAATTATGTGCTTAGAAATTAAACATATCTAGATTTAACATATTAAAACAAGTGTAGCTGCAGAAAAACTACATGTATAAACACTTGTAAATTTTGGCATAAAGAGCATATTACTTAATCCACATAATATTGTCAAAATTTTTAAAATATTAACCGATATAAATTATTCATCATAAGACCTCTGATTGTTTAGATATGTAGATACTTTACAATTGTGTGATGTGCTTTTTACACAAATTTAGTATTTTGATAAGTTCTATCAGCAGGACATACATTATATTAATAACGCAGGAATGAGCAACAAAAATAAAATAAGCTAGCAATTTTATATCAAAACTTCCTTTAATCTTTTTAATAATGCATTATTAAAGATATCTTAATTAAAATTATAAAATATTTATTTTATGTGATATTTTGCATATGATTAATTACAGTGTCAATCGGTTGCAGAGTGTTTCATATGTCAGTCATCAAAATGTCAAACTTGATTAACTTCAGCAGTCCTAAAGCACTACATAGCACCACATGATATAATATCCCATCAGTATTGAACTGCCGAAAAGTAATCCATTTCAAATGCACAAGGATAATCACAAAATGCTAATTTTAGGTACATGTACTGTACATGTATTCAAATCCACCGAACATTGTCGAATTAAGGGTAACCCAATACACTTCTTAAAAATACGTTTCTTAGTGTTGATCACGGAACAACAATTTGCACTTGAAGATGACGCCATGCACAGATGCAGGTACTTTGATACATACATGCTTTGAGTTCAATCCGGACTACTCACATAACCTGTAGGAAAGAAAGTCAGATTTAAGTAAAAGTACCGTATGCTGCCCATTGACATCAATGTTTCAAGTTGCATTGGAACTATACTTAAATTAAAATAGTTATTTTTAATGAAATTCAATATGACCTCCTCTCCTTCAAGTCTATAAACGACCTCAAAGGCACTGTTTACATTTCTCATCGTGGTTTAATAATGCAAATCTTAATAAAAAGAAAACATACCGTTAATATATTGCAGCAAAAAGATGCCTTTCAAATGATTTTCAATATCTCTTCATGGTGATCCGTTGGGTTGTCAGTATCTCTCCTTGATACGCCCCTAAAGCCTTTTGTGATCTACTTTGTTTCGATGGCCGCTCAAATTAACGTTCAAATATACGAGTATTTGTGTCATTTCCGGGAAGATAACTCTGTATTTTACAGCAGAACGTGTTTAATTTCTAAACACGTTTAGATATAAAACATGTTTAGACATAAGTGTTTAGTTGTTAAACATATTTCTATACATGTTTAGATCTAAGCACGTCATAGAAGTGTTTAAATCCTAAACACAATTTTTACAGTGTTGCAGAAATACCTGGTAAGGTACCTCAATATTTTGTAAGTAAACATGTTTAAGTAGCAATACTTCAATGACAAACTCTTAGAAAAATTTATCTATTATTAAGGAACATCTCGTCTGTCCTTAATGCGAAAGACAAATATACTTCTGCTTTTGAAACATTGAGTCCGAGTTTATTCCAGTACAATTTAACACACTGATATTGAATTAACTTACACGATGTACTGGAGTTGGAACAAGTATACGATACACTTCTGGACGATCTCCTGTCTATAACTTTTCCTTTAAAACAGCCCAAAATATAGGGCCAATCATAAGTCATGTAGTACCGATAACTTCCGCTGGCATCTGACCCGTGACATTTGTCAAGGTCAGAGGTCGTGAGGTTGGTGTTTCCACTGTTGTGCCAAGAAGCCAATGGACCGTATATGGGATAACCATCAAGAGCTACCCCTAAAAACAAATAAAGTTAGTGTAATTTAATAAAGATTCAGAATTATACTGAAATTAAGGAACTTGTGGTCGAAGTTTTAATATTATATTTATGAAACACTTTCATTTGGTATGTTAATTCATAAAATACTAGTTAATCAAAACTGGAAGTCATTGTGAATCCTTTCTTCATATGACATGTCCAAGTTGTCACCAACTTAAACCTAATGGTGAAATTAAAACTTGATTATAATATGATAATTACCGATGAATTCATCCACGCCCTTATTATATATACACCCTGGGATCTTATGATAGTGATATTCTCCAGTGTTTGTTGCGTGTCCATCACAAGTATCGAACGTCTCTGCGTTACCTCCCTCGACAGCGTTGTAATTCTCGGCTGTCAGTGGGTTAAAGATGGCCACCCCAGTCTTGGAAATTCCGATTTTCCCCATGGGGAGACAGCCATAGGACGACTGGTCCTCCGGAGTGTTAAGGACGTTGATCTCGTGATTTTGATTGCTGGGAGTGTTGGGGTTGACCATCTGCCAAGCGTGATCCGGCAATCCGCTAGCGGTGATCACGATTCTGCATAGAAAAAGGATCATAAAGGATTAATTTATAACTCACAGGAATTTAAACTTCATTGAGAAGATAACTGAAGGCACGTATGGATTATTGAAAATAATGTTACGAAATTCATGGTAATATTTATATATGGCACGCCAAATTCACAAAAAATGAGATAAACCTAGTTTCACAATTGATAAACAAGGTTTATCGACTGTAAACTATAGTTTACAAACCGTAAAGTATAGTTTACGATTCGTTAAGTATAGTTTTCATCTGTTAAACTATATTTAACGGTCGTTAACTATAGTTTACGAATGCTAATCTAAGTTTATCTGTCTGAATAAAGCGTTAACAATAGATTTTGTTGATAAACATAGATTCACGTTTGTAAACTATAGTTTACAATCGTAAACTGTAGTTAAGAGTTGTTAATCATAGTTTCACAAATCGTGAAACTATATTTATCAGATCTTTAACTATAGTTAATGGTTTGTAAACTATAGTTTACAAATCGTGAAACTGTATTTATCAGATAATCTATGTTTTGCAATCGCAAATGATTGTTTTCGATGTTAAGAATAGTATACGGTTGTGAAACATAGATTTTCGCGTTAACTATGGTTTACAGATGTAAAATATAGATTAACGTTGTTAACTATAGTTTACAGTGCGTAAACTATAGTTTACAACCGATAAACCTAGTTTATCGACTGTGAAACTATGTTTTGCACATTTTTGTGGATTTGGGGTGCCATATTTATATTTTTTAACATTTTGGCCAATGAACGTTAACCTTCACGATATAGCTACAACAGGTCTCAAACACGGATCAAAATTTAAAAACTGATTTCCAAACTCGTAATCAAATTAATTAAGTTTCCTTTCGATAAATTTTTTTTCGTTTGTAAAATTAAGTATTCAATGTTTTTTCTCTTAATTTACATGAAATATATACGTTAATAGGAGTAAAAATACTTGATATGTATAAAACATTTGTTTGTTAATGATCCGTTCATTCGCATTTTTAATCGGATAAAAATAGACAATATTTGAAGAAGGAAATCAACACGAGGAAATTGAAATATTAATCTGTTATTATAATTTTTTATTGTTGTCTTTTTGAAAAAAACATGCATTCCATAATTGTTCCGTTAGATTTTCGCAAGATTAAGCTTGTATAATAATTTTTTTTTAAAATTGTATGCTACATGTTTAATTAATTTAGACACCAATTCTGACATCTGATAATACAGTAATTTTGTATGAATATTGCAGATCGTAGATGATGTGAAGAAAAAACATGTACCGGGCCCGGGAAACTGATGTTGAAAGAAGTACTTAATGAAGCTTATGATTAGACTCAGATGTGATAGAATGCTCCATTGTATATATTTTATTTATTATATAATTTTATTTTCTTTGATATCAATAAAAAATACTGTTTTTGTATATCAAATTAAAGATTAAACATATATTTTTATAATGCTTTTTCCTCTTTATACAATTTTTGATATGTTTTGAAAAGAACAATTTTGATATGTTTTGAAAAGAATACACAGTTCACCAAGGAAATGAATAATATATATATTTTGATTTAAAACTGCATGTTATTCTCTTTTAACAATTCAGACAGAAAAGGTTTACAAAACCATGGAAAAAACAGGGATCCTTGAGCTTCAGTTGCTTGACAATCATTTTCCAAAATTGAAATACTTAATTTATTACCCGGTAGTTTCCATGGTATGGAAACTTGCACCATAACTCCATACTGCTTTCCTAAGAGAAGTAAAGGAATCTTGAAGTTTCCCAGTAATTTCCATTCGTAGGACACCAGATAATTTTCACAAAGTTTTCGTCACATGGAAAATGCTACACTCCAATTCCATATAGTTTCCTGAGTCACGGAAACTTAAGGAATCGCGAGGTATCCCTAAGTTTCCATTCTTCGGAAACCTAAAGATTCCATCGAGCTTCCATTCCCCGGAAACCACTACGTTCCGATTCCATATTGTAACTCTTTCGAATCTTCAGGTTTCCAATTACGGGAAACTACGTACATACAATTATGTAGAGGCTCAGGAAACTTCAAGTTTACCGAGGTTTCCGTGGTTCTAGTACCTAATGGAATCGGAGCGAAGTAGTTTCCATGCCATGGAAACTTGACGGAATAACCTGGCATCCGCCGCAGAAACCACTGGGAAACATGATGTAAACATGAGGTTTCCATGTGGGTACCATTAAGTTTCCCATGATGGAAAACTGCTTATTTCACCCGGTGTAAGAGAGAGAGAGAGAGAGATAGAGTGAATTACCTATTTTGAGAAGCATACGTTGTAGAATCGACATTGACTGTTGCACTATAGCTCCCACTGACACTAAAAGCACTAATTTCTGTGGAAGTCAGAGCGGTTACTCCATCCATACATGTTAGGACTATGATCAGGATCAAAGTTCTGGGTATCCTTCCGCTGGCCATTCTCTGAAATCATGAATATGATATGTTGAAATAATATATTGTAGTTTTAGGTAAAAAGCGAATGAACAAAACCATTATGCATACAATTTACAATTGAAAGCTATTTGGAATTTTGTGGGTGCTACATGATTACTAGTATGTGTGCTAGAAGCAATGTTCACTTGTTTCCAGCAGCATATGTGTACTTTCAAATCAATGTGCAGATAATGAAGTGCTGGTATAAACATCTAAATCATCTTTTTTCGCGGTTTTGTGTGTTTGTGAGAGGTTATGTGTTTATCAAATATTGAACGAAATGCTACAGTAAAGATCTTCAATATTCTAAATCAATGTTGTGCTCAGTCATAACCGTATTTCATAAACTGATTTAGCAATATGAAAGACAATTGATGAATCATATCTTACATTAAATACATGTATGTCAATTCGTTTTTAATTGCCGACAATGTGGATTGAAATTAAAATTCCAGCAAATATGAATAATAACGATGAACTATCTTACCTTCGTCTTGAAGCCTTTGAGCATGATTGTAATGTATAGTATACCGACCCACGAATTTAAATACCCGTTTCATTGACTTCTGTTTACCCTTGGTCACGATTCGACTTCATTCCGTAAATGTGCACGTTCAAACAATAGATCAAGCACCCGTTAAAAAATAGTTCTACTATTGCGATAAAACTCACGAAAATGACCCATTTGATATTATGGCAACTGGATTCTGGAAAAGAAGGATATGTGCACTGTGTGTTTATATACATGACCATACCCGATATTTATTTGATTTATTGCTCTTGCATGAATTCGTGCAATTCAATCCTTGGAATACCATTGTTATAATGTTCGTCACGATTAGATCCAGTCTTATAAATGATCAGATCCAAGCTGCCGATATAAAATATCAAGTGTACGAAGTACTAGTATATTTCATATTTTGCAAATTTCACTTAAAAATTCATGACAAGGGATCTATTGATACCTGTATATTTTTCAAAACATAAGATGCTACATACGTATTTATAACCCTTTCAATTCAATCTATTCCGTTTCCTCATATTCCATATGTAAGTGCTTAAGGTTGCTACATGTTCATGTATATATTAGATAATTCATTTGATTTCAAAGTTAAAATTCCTTGTTTTGTATATATCTTTTATTTAATTTAATAGTATACAAGTATCAGATAAATAATATATATATTTTTAATATTATTTGTGTGGTGTAGGTTATTATATCGTTCTGACTGTTAATATAACAGGTTTACATGTCAAAGTTTTGAAACAACTGTTGTATATATATGAATACTATAGTATATTCTTTCATTATAATTTAAAATTCAAGTAAATGTAATCAGTAACATTGGTTCAAAATTCAGAGATATTCATATTCTAGTACATAGATATTCTTATATTAAAGACTTAGTAAAAAGTACATTAAAAAATTCAGTTTGAAAAGTTTCCTTTTAATTTCACTACATCAGAAATAGTTTTAGAATATAATACAGAGTAATACAATTTCCAACTTCCTGAACATATAATAAATGTGGAGAAATGTATTAACATCATTGTTTCAGCATTGAAATAGATCAAAATAACATGCTAGTAGGAAATGAATACAGTAATCTCGAAGAACAAGGAAATCCTAGGTCGCTGGTAAAACATTTTTATTACGAATGAATGCTTTTACATACTACAAAGAGATTATAAAGATACAAAATTCTATTAATGTGATTGAAGAATGAAACTGTAAGACCTTCTGCCACCTGTAAAATAATAACACGTGACAAAATGTCATCGTCAAAAGAAGTGAATCAACTGATAGAAAAGGAATCTTCCAAAATGTTACCAAATTTCATTCAAGTTTGGAATTCAACAGAAAATGAAAATTGTTTTGTAGAAAAGGAATATGCAAACATCTTCATTGAAGATTCAGTTCATGAACGAAGTAAAAGTAATGAGAAGGAAATTACCGAGCATGTTTCAAGAACAAGAAATGTTTCAAATGAAAACACAAAGTTGGATAAAATGAAATTAAATCCCATAAAAGTATCCGAAGAAAAATCTGTTTCAAAAAATGTGCAATCGGTGCATGCAGATGAAAGTAAAATAGAAGGAATTCATGTTTTGGAAGAAGAACCTCTTGTTCCGACACATTTAGATAATCATGACAAAGAACAGCCTCAGAGGGAGTTGGATAATTTGAATGGAAAAGAGCATCAAGTTCAGAAAGACTTGGATGAAGAAGAAGCATTTGATAAAAGAGACTTGGATAATTTGGATGAAACCGACTATTACGACAGTGAAGACGAATACAGAGAAAAAGAACAAACGTCGACTTTAATGGGCAAAGCTTTCATATCGCTATCGAAAGAATTTCACCATTTTGAACATGTTGAAGACAATAACAGTAAAGATGATATTATGCCTTTTTTTAACAGTATATTTAACAATGTTCAAATTACCTTTTGAGTAGATAGAGAAATTAACTGCATGACTAAAGCAAATTAATGCACTCTGAAAATGTAAACTTGTTTTACGGCAAAAAAGTAGCAACAATCTTACAACTTACTTTTTATATACTAGTATGTCAAGAGATCAAATACTGTAGAAGTACATTTTTATTTGGTATTAATTTACGCTATGTAAGCGGTCACAACTTTTCCGCGGAAATTTGTCCAAGCGTACTTAACATGAATGTAAAGCATATAGTGACAGTCTAGGAAATCCGCGTAATTTTCTACTCGCGGATTAAACAGAAATTGAGATTCCGCGGAATTATGACCCGTGGAAAAAAGTACGTCTACAGTATCTTAAAACAGTTTTATATATCCGCTATCATACAATCGATGCTGTTATGTTGTTTTAAAATAAACAGTTGTAATTTATTTCATTCATTTAAAAAATGAACTTTTTAGGTAGAAAAGTGAACGAAAACCCGCATATACAAGCATTGCGGAATTCAATCAAGAGATTTGCAGAAGACAACGGTTTTGAGATTCATGACGGTCCATTAGACGGTGCCTGTATGTTCCGCTCGATAGCCGATCAGCTCATGATAAATGGACGATTCGGCCACACAGCAGACGATCTGCGAGAAGAAGCTTTAGAGTATACACATTTTACTCCATTCCCTCTTCATAATAAAACCTTTAAAATATACAGTGATTAACTACATGCTCTTTGTTTTCAGATATTTGCGGAAGAATCCACTTTTAGCAGATGGGACACATACCCAGTATTTCCTTTCTAAAGAAACGTGGGAGCAATATCTTCAGAGAATGCAACAGACCACAGAATGGGGAGATCATATAGTACTAAAGGCCCTGGTAAACAAACTCAACGTTAATGTGGTAGTTTTGAATGTCAAAGAAGAATCCGTCCAAAGGATTGAGCTTTCCCCAGATAATAAAAGTGTAGACTCTTGGACGATAACTTTAACCTTGGGACACCTTGGCGAGTTCCACTACCTAAGCTTGAGACCAAAGCTATGGAGAAAATACTGGCCTTACAGTAAGTTGAAAACAGGATTTGATACAAGCATCTCTAATCATAATTTGCAAATATTAAATTTATTATTTACTGTTATCTCTGAAACCATACAAAGCTTAAATATATAGTCATAGATTTTTTTAAAATTATTTTGTCAAAATTTCTAAATGTTAATTCAGAAATTATAACAAACAATAGCTATCATAAGTTTTTTAAACACTTTGTTTTATTTTCATAGAAGCAATCTTGTTTAAGCTACAGTTAAGCTCGCATGGAACATCTTCTACTATAAGGGATAAGATTCTTAGCACCAAGCTAGCCAAAATGGGTATAAAAACCCTCATTGAAGAGGCAGGCTTCTTTGATTTGAGAGCAAGTGCACACGACCCACCAGAAAACTTCCCAAAGGGACACTACTCAACAAACTCGGACAACACAGACAATATAGCAAGCATTATTGATCAATCTGTCTTCTCGGAAGGTAATCCTTAAGGAAGCTGGGGGTCAACAAATTAACCATCAGATATAATTAATTTTTTTAGATATGATACTAGTATCTTAAGCTGTCAACCAACCTTTGGCAAAGAAAGTTTTCTAACATTTTAGTTTTGAATTTTGCCACTTTTGTATATCTCAATTCAGAGCTCTTCTACTAAAGGATATCAATGTAGTGTAAAAATTAGTGTTGGCAAATCGGACGATTTTTAGTAACCGGTTACTCGCTTCATCTTCCGATCGAGTACCCGGTTACTCGGATGATTTTTGGTAAAAGTATCAATATCTTTTATTTATCTTATTCTTTACTTATCGGTAGTAGTAACGCACAAATACACTGTATAGGGACATTATGTTTAAAATACACACATACGATATCGCCATATATTTACGATTTTAAAATAAAGAAAATTAATAGGGAATTCGACGCACGAAGAAGGCAAATAAATACGTCTTAGTCAATCATCGTTTCATACTTTCTTTTTCAGACCCCGAAATATGTCGCAATCAAGTAGAATATTTATTTACATACTCCATAATTAATAGTTACATACATGTATGTAATATGTGGAGTGTCCAGTAAATCGCTGGTTTCCGAATATTTTAAGCTTAAGTGATTTAACAGATTTTGAATCAGCTGTTCTTTTGTTACAACTCCAAGCTTATTATGTCTGCGGCGGCATCTCGTTAAATTATCAAATGAGGTAATTATAACTCAGGCCTTCAAAATATGTATACCCCAAGCAATCAAAGCTATCGATTATATAAACTGTGAAAACTAATCAAAACAATTTGATCCACTACAACCATGCACTAGATCAAGTCTAACGGTACCTAAAATTAGGGAAATGTGTAAGTTAGTATACGTTTAAATTATAAAAAACGTTCATTTTCTATGCCTTTACTATGTAGAATTTATTTTATCCGAGTAACCGAATAGCAGTTTTACTAACCGATACTCGCATCGTTCGACGGTTAACCGGTTAACCGGGTACTCGCTGCCAACACTAGTAAAAATGAATTTCGAATACCAGTAAATTAATGTGTTTTAATTTTAAATAAAAGTAGGATTTTGAAAGTTAATCATTTTTACACAGATACCTTGGTTGGACTTGGTAAAGAAAAAACGCCAATAGTGAAACTTTTGTGTTTATATATAGACGAATTGGAAATCCCTGTAATTTATTTTAATATACAAAGTAACAAAGAACCCATTATATTATAATAACTAGTCATCAGAAGTAATAATTTACATGTATAATAAGAAAACATTACGACTTGCTTCTCAGTGATGTTTCACGATTTTCAGTTTTTGTTTTAATTTCAGAAAATCTAAATTATTTGATGGAGTATTTGCATGATGATACGCTATCTGGAGTCAATCTCTTCAAGCTTTCCTACTTTATAAAGCATTTAATGCCTTTTGAAATGATAAGAATTTATACTCCAGAGTTGTGCCATCGAATGAAACATTTAGAATTACCTATTTTGTATGAAGTCATGGGTTCTTGCGCCGATCAAACGGATGTTACTCTTCGAGATATATCAGCTGCAAACACAATGTTGATGCATCATGACCAGAAAAAAGTTAAACAACCAGTCTTAATTGCTATGGATTTGGATGTAGATGTACAACATTTCAATCACATCTGTGATCGATTTAAACGAAAGACTGTCTATTATGCAGATATAAATGAGACACACCCTGGGTATTGTCGACTTAGAAAAAATCTGACAGATAATAGCAGCTATTTTGAAGTCGAAGTGAGGGAATTTACATCAAACAATTTTCCTTATTATTGCTACAAGGGTTTTCTTTGTCACACTCTCCCTCCTAACTTCAGAGATTGGACATATGCAAGTTGGCCACCCAAAGCAGTTAAAATGTGTGTTTCTCTCATGAAATGTGCATTACTTCCAAAATGTCATCCAACAAGTGGAGAATCACAGTTTGAGTGGAAGTACAATTTTTCCATGGCAGAAAGCTGCTTAATCAAGCAAGGACTCACTCCTTTTCAGTCTCATGCTCTGTATGTATTGTGGATCATTCTTGAAAATATGACGATGCATTTGCAGAAGCCGATTAAGCGGAAGCATTTGAAAGCTGTATTTTTCAATGCTTGTGAAAAACTTCCTCAACATGCATGGGAAACAAATATAGGAGGCTGCTTTCTCTTTGTCATCAGTTTATTATTAGCATGTTTGAAAAAGAGATTCCTGCCTCATTATTTCATTCCATCGAACAACATTATTGATTGCTATTCGTCAGAGGAAATTGATACACTATGTGTATACGTAGAAGCCATCCGATTATTTCCAATTTTCACCATTCAGAGCGTAACTGAATTGCATGGATACCTATTTGGAGGAAGACTTTCAAATCATTTATTCGGCAATGTTCCTGTAAAAGGCGTAAAGTCTCAAATAATTTTGCGAAACAAGATGGTTCGTAGCACTATCGACGCTGTAAAATTTTATACGCGACAAGGATATTACGGTGTTGCCTGTAATTTGCTTCGAGATGCCCATGAATGCCTATTACTTGGTCCAGAATCAGACGCAGACCAGCCAAGTTTTCAAGAATTTATCAGTGCTGCTATTGATGAACTTTCCCAGAGATCATCGCGGATAATTCTAGCTAAACGATTTGAAAAAGAACACCATTTAGATTTTTCTGACAAATACGAAGCTAAAAACAAGATACTTGTAAGACACATTCTACCATGGGAGGTCGATTATAGGCTAGCCAGTTTGGAAATTCCGGTGACTGAAGACATCGATTTCCAATTTTTGGCTGACTTTTTTCACTCAAATTATCAAGAAAATATTGCCAAAAAACGAAACGCATGCCTTGCTTCTCTTGCCATTCAAACTGCTGTAAAATGCATAGATGAGGCGATCAGTTCTCACATTGATGTCTCAAAATCTAGTCAGGATAGCAAACCATATACACGGGGGAAGAAAGGCTTAAGCGAATTAAAAGAAAGGAAAATACATTACCTTGAAGATGTGTACAGTGTGTCCGTATTCTTGGAATCTGTCTATCCCATTCTAGACTACGTACATGATGTAGAGGAACTCTGCAAAGACTTACCGGAACACAATGATGTTTTAAGAAAAATTTTGCGTTACACTGGGGGTCAAAGGATGTGCAAGAATTCCCCAGGACATAGTCACACCTGGATGGGTAACATTAAATACTATTATGATAATTTCTTTTTAGCACGTTTAGCTCACCTGCACAAAGCTTCAATTGGGTTTTTCTGATAACTTGTCGTCCATTGTCTCTCTATCTGTCTGTTAACTTTTCTTATATTTTATTTTCTTTATAGCCTCTTGACCCAATTTTAACCAATAGTATCACAAAATCCCTTTGGGTAAAGCAGTTCAAATTCAATTCTTTTTTAAATAAAGGGTAATGTCCTCTTTAATTAAAAGCAAGATAATTAAGGAAAGGAAAATGGTGTATTTATCTTTATAAAGTATCTTCTGAGCCAGTCATATTGATATTGAATCATCTCTATGCTGTATTGATTCATGGTTAGTTATATAATAACTGCTTTACACAAGGATGAGGCTATTTATTTTTTAATTCTTTTTTTTTTTTTTGAAAATAAAGAAAAAAATTATAATCATCTGAAAACAGCATATAACCTTTTTTCTGGTGAGCATTGTGGTTTTTGTGCTTCTAGCTAAAGGCAACTTCAATAATTGCAACGACATGATTGTGAATGTCATAGAATTTGAAAAAATAAAATAACAGTGCTGAAATAATTTAATTTCATTGATAATAATAATTTAAAAATTCACTGCTCATTTCCATAAATTGTTCAAACCTACATAAAATAAATGTATTTTATGATGAGGTTTAACAAATGATAGACTAATATTTTATAATAATCTATAAAAATGCATTACACATTTCCATAAATTGCACATACATGTACCTACATGAAATAAATGTTTTTTATAATGATGGACTATATGTTCATGACAATTCTTGTAAAGTATCACATAAGTCACATATGCATCAAATTCCGTTATGATAAATATTTATATATATATATATATATATATATATATATATATATATATATATATATATATATATATATATATATATATATATATATATATATATATATTAAACGATCATTATGTATTTTTAAAAAGTCATTCAATCTTCTAAACTGTTTTTTTTAATTGATTTCAGATGGCAACAGTTTGATGGAAGGATTTCCTCACTTTCATTATACTCCTTTTTCAGTTTTCAAAAGCTGAAATATTTGAACGATTTTTCATATTCAAATCGCCTTTATATTACTTGTCAAGGGAGAACTGTTAGTCTGCCTTGTCTATATACTATTATTTGTTTTTAGTTTACGTATATAGAATAAAATGCGTTTCATATGATATTTCGGTAGTTTTTGTGGCATAAATGCTTATGTCCACAAATGTAATTCAAAATCATAAAAAAAAGTTGGTTCCACCATGTTTTTGTGACGTTATATAAGTTTAGTCTCTCCCCGTTAAAAAGTTTTTGAATTATTTGCCTGCAAGGAAATGTAGGAATGTGGTTCCTGGAGGAATTGGATGTTTTGCAGGGACCTACATGTTTATAGTATTATTATGGTTTATAGGTCCCTGAATAAAGAGGAAATACTTCTTCCTCCTGTATTAAATTGAGTTAAAGTGGTTGTTGTTTATTTAAAGAATTCCATATTTTATTAATTTCTCTTCTTCTTCTTTTTTTTTCTTTTTTCTTTTAGAAATTGCTAAAAGTATATTAAAGAATTCATTGCATGGAAAAGGGCAATCACTTGTAAGAATTTAACCTACAATAAAATTATTTTTATTTGTTGTTACATTGGGTGTATGCATGTAATGATTAATTATGTCTTCTTATAAAATTTTGAAACTTTTTTTTTACATGTTTTAAATTTAGATCGATGTATATGAATAATATTGGATTTTTTTTTAAATGGAGGGGTTTTTCCACCTTAATTCATATCTGAATTAAAAATGCAACATTTTCTGCTATAGTTTTTGAGATATTTAGTGACATAAATAAGTTTTAAATGGATTAAAAAAACTATTTACAATCGCAACAAATGTTTAAAAAATCTTTTGCAACTATACGAGGGCCGTTCAATAAATAATGTCATTAGCTCCATGACATACAACATAGAAGTTATATGTCATTAAGCTTGACTTTCTCTCATTATTGAATCTTTAATGAATTGATTACAGTTTATTGACCACTTTTCATCACATAGATTTATTGTGGGAAGCTGGAAAAGAAGGGCTATTCGAGACACTGCATTTAAAATGAATGGTGAAGAATCAGTAAACTAGAGTGAAATTAAACGTTTCATTAAAGCTGCTGTAAAACTTGTTAAGAATCCCAAAGAAATATTAACTGAAATATGTGAAATTTACAGCAACTAATGTCTGTTTAATACACACATGAGCAGGTGGATTTCAATTAACAAAAATGATATAATGGGCATCGAAAATGGGTACCTTACCTGGCGACAAGGAAATACAGCAACCAATGTATATTTGCAAAAATTCAAAAATTAATAACTGATTATGTTTGATTGACTTTAAGACTCATAGCAAATTCGATGGACATCACTTTGGGGGTAGTTCACATTTTTTAAAGCATCATTTGATAGTAAAAAAATTCAATATGCAAAGGTCACCCTATGCTTTTTAAAAATGAGTGAAAACGACAGCGTGTAGGAATATATCTAAAAATCAAAATTTGTATTTGTCCACGTTTGTCTGAAATTCAAACAGATTATGAAACTTGAATCCATTTTGCTTTAAACCCTAAAAACAAATTTACAATAAGATGCACTTGATAAAACAGCAAAGGCTTGAGAAGAGCAAAGAATTGCAAGAGCACAAAAACAGTTTTATATGCTATTTTCTAAGATATTAGTGGTCTTGTTGTTCAATCTTTTATTCGGGGAGGAAGTTCAATTTTTGGATGAGTCTAGAAAGCAAACTTTTCGCAAAAAAATCAAAAGGTTTATAAGAGGAAGGATCCAGAATGAGAATTTAATGCATTAAATTTTTTCATGACAGCGTCCAAACCCACAGGCCATGAAGAGTAAAGGAGTTTTGAGGATTAACAAAATGTTAATGTTTTGTCATACCAACAATATTCGCCAGATATTTCAATCTTTGACCTGTTCCGTTTACCAAACTTGAAAAAAACACCTTTCAGAAAGACAAAAACAAGTAAAGGAAATCAGAGGATCTGTCATATTCCAGTATACGAAGGGTCATATTCAAAAACGTGTTCTAAAACAATTAGAAATTGAATACATATGTTACACAGACATGTGTTTTAATTAAAAGAGAATATTTAAGTGAAATCATTAAGATTAAATCATAGAAAAGCGTTTTTTATTCCTTTCCGAGCACCAATGACATTATTTATTGAACAGCCCTCGTACTTACCGTCCCCTCAGCTGGATGAAATTTTGACGTCCATATTAGTAAATATATTACACTACACCCAATTTCACTTGATTATAAATAAAAGGTGTAAATCGTCCACACCAGGTGTACAATGGTGTAGACCAATCAAGTGCGCCGATAATTAATGCACAGGTACTTGGGGAAGGGACCACCCCACCACCGCGTTCGGTACCCCAAGGGTTCTTTGATTTAAAAAAAAATCAATGACACATTCGCAAAGAAAAATCCAAAATTTAAAAACCGATCTTTTATAAAATTCTCAGAAGTATTTTAGAATCAAAAAAGCAGACACTTGTTTCGGTAAATAAATAAATTTTAAACCATATTTTAACTATAAGGGTTAAATAAAATATTATTCTATGGGTTATAAAAGAATTATTACCGAATCCAGTGTCTGTGACAGTGGCGGATCCAGAGGGGGGGGGGTTACGGGGGTTGCAACCCCACCTTTGGATTTGCAAAAGAGAAAGAGAAATAAGAAAGTTCCATTTTGTTGTTGTGTTTTTACTATAGAAAATGTAAGGTGAAAGGCTAATGTAATATATAAAGAAATTCGGTTGTAAAAACGAAATAAAACCCCATCCCTTTACAAAATAGGATTTTCCGGTTCGGAGATTTATTTTCCTTTCTTTTTCAAAAACTTTCTAGTAATGAATACAAGTACTTTTTCCCAGATTGATCAACGTCCCGCTTTCAAAAACCATACTCCACCCTGTATCGATATTCTATTGAGTTATTTTACTATATTTATGTGTACAACGTACGTTTTAACTGTTTTCGCCTTCAAGGATTTTTTTGAAAAATATTTCAAATTTAATTATTTTTGAAAAATTTCTGGATCCGCGCCTGTGTGATCAGAAAGTATGAATTTTAATAAAATGCTAAATTCTAATTTTTTCAGATTTTATCTAAAAAAAAAAAGTCAAAGAAACCCTGGAGAACGGAACACGGGGTGGGGCCGTCTCCAAGCACCTGTACATGTGCCATGGTGTGGTTTAATTTAAACCATACATGTACCTGTATGTACCGTGAAACTCACCCCTAGTGGCCAGGTTTAATTTGATAAAGGATTAGTGGAATAATGCTTCATATAGTCTTTAAATTCTTTATTTATAGTTTTCTTTTAACTTGTTATTTTATGGCTACCCTTGCTAGAAACTTTGTCTGTGTTATACTAATCAAAATCTCATTGTTGTGATATCAAAGTAAAATGACATAAGAAAAAGTATTAAACGATTTGACAGAATGGATCCGCCACTCGATATTTATGAACGACCTATCTAGAACCGTAGGCAGCCGTTCCGGAATGGGTTCGAACAAAACATTGATTGGGAAGCCAACCAACTAAAATGAAAATCAGCATTAATTGTTGTTTAGATTCAGTCACCCTCATACCAAAGGTAAGATGAATTCTTTGGAATGACTTTGCATCTAGATTTTTTAGTAAATCGTTTCGATTTCATTTTATTGTACGATACATCCAGACATAAAATTAGCATTCGAACCCAGATCCGCCTTCGGGAAGGTCAGGGTCATGATAGATAATTTATTTTTCCAGTCAGTTCTTGCAATTTTTAATGATATTTTTTCCAGTGTTCTTTAAAAAAAAATTGAGGTAAAGAATTCGATGTTGAATCAGTTAACATGATATGAAATCCTTAATCAGTTAATCGAACCGACTTCTAGAATCCATGGCTATTTGTGCTTTGTTTACATTCGCGCAGGCATTGGGTTTTACTAAAACACGAAATGTGCACGAGTGTCGGAATATTCATTATTGCGATGTCAGAATATACGTGAAAGTAGCCTATCTGTTGATATGTTTTAAAGTGATATTCATAATTCTGATTTATTACTAATAATGTAACGATTATTTTTATATATGTGAATTTAATAGGGTTTTGCCAGAGCAGAGGGAGGGTTCAATTATGAGATGAAAAATATTTAACGTTATCAGCTGGTTATTATTTTTTTGTAAATATATTTTGAAAATAAAGTTGGATGATTAATAAGGGAGATCATACACCCTTATTTTTTTTTTTTTTTAGAGTTATTCAGTTCCATGTAAATCTAACAAAACGTCCAAAGCAAATTACTGACCTCCCCTTTCATTAAAAAAAAAAATTGAGAAAAATTCAAACAAACCAAATTTAAAAAAGTCACACAGATCATTTGAAAAACAGCAAAATATAGCAAAAAAGAGAGCATAACATTTATCCATAAAACAAAGCATAATAAATGATAGATGTTGAAAGTGTGATATGGTCAGAAAACAACATGTTGGTGATGTTATCCCGTGATATCGTAAATTCAACAGTAAAATTGGGTGATACACTTCCATATAAAGAGAGCCAAATAGATGTTGAAAATGGAGTCTCTTATCCCCATCATCCTTCCCACACCCCCCACACCCCCTTAAAAAATAGATAAAACACGGTGTACTTGCAAATTGTATGAATATCTTTTTTGTGAAGTTTCAGTGATACAATTATTATATAAATACAAGTACATGTATTAACACTGTCCATGAGGTAGTCCCTTTATTCATTTGTCATTTTTTAAAAATTATTTGCCGCATTATTTTGATAGTAAAGAAAAACAAGAGACCCAGTGGTCACATTGCTCACCTGAGTCTGTTGTTAGGAAAAAAGCAAAAATCAGTTTAGTATAAAAAAGCTTAAATGCATGAGTGGGCTTCTTGTATGATTAGGTCTGGACCATTCAAAACTATTCTGATTCTTTCCTTTTTTTATGGCGTCGAGCTTTAGCTCGATGCACATCTAGCTATGATGAAATCTCTGCCTGCTCACCGCTTTCTTCATGCGCCAAATAATATAGTACATGAACCAAGACCTTCATGTATATGGCGTAGGAATAAACATGCCAATTTTTGCGTTTATTCCATAAATTGCTTGAAAATCATACACTTTCAACAGTCCTGTAGATATAGTTGCCAACTCACCCACTTTCGTCGGATTACTTTTCGACCCTTAACCTGATTTTTTTATGACATGGCGGGTCATGCTTATGGCCCGATCAAAGTTTTTATTTGGTATGTAGAGAAATCTATTAAAAATTTTCTTTAAAACTGCAAAGCCAGTTACAACCCAGTTGAAGCTTGATCTACGTAAACAATGCCGATGGCTATGTGCAGTAGGCCAGTAAATATTATCAGTGCAGGTGTAAACAATTAACTGAGATTGTTTTGACAAATCAAAATTAAAATGGCTTCCGATAGAAAAAGATTGTTATTAGGACAAGCAGGAACAAATTAAACAAAGAGAAAAAGAAACGATATTTATGTACATGTCAAGGAATCTCGGAAAACAACTTTCAAAGTTGACATAAAATAAAGTGATCGAAGGCAGTGTAGATCTTGTAACTGTACATTTGGTACACATTGCACAAGTTAATTAATTAAAATTAATTAGGCCTAAGAGAGAGGAAAAGTGACTTTTTTTGATCCCAACTTGGAATTTCAACTTTTCACATTATCAAATTCTCAAGAACCACAGGACCAATTTGGTGCATCTCCTTGAATGAAGGGGAGCTTAAATTTGAAAATGAAGGACCAAACCCCTTTACCATGTTTACAAAAGGATCTCGGATTAATGAGTTGAATGTTTTTATTTCATAAATGCTCATAAAAATCGGGGTATTAAAAGCTACTGAAAAGCTATATAATTCTATAGATATATATGCATGCTTTTAAACATGCTTTTAAATCTAATAATTTCATAGTTTCAATGCCATATCTAAAGCGCGGCGCCATTGTGGCCCTTCAGGCCTTTGATTCTTAGCCAGTGCTCAGATGAGCGACATGGCCCCTGTGCCTCTTGTTTAATTTTTATTACAGTAATAGTTATTTATATGTAAACTTTGAATGTTGTAAGTTTGAGCAAAGTTATAGATAGATACACTGTACATGTATTTCTCGGTCAGACTGGAAACGAACCTTTTTGACCTCATTACAGGACCTTGACTCTTGACCCACTTTTAAAAAATTTGAACCTTGGCATTTAAGTGCCATATGATGATATGAGGGCATCATTGTTTTGCAAAAAATCTAATTCCATGTGTTTAATATTTATATAATAGTACATAGCAATTTTAAATGACAAAACATGTAGTTTATGATCTCAAGTAAATGCATTGGTATATGCATTAATTTTCCACATTATGGTGAACTGAAAGAAAACATCCTCATGTATTGGAAAGTGTTTGATTAAGAGTTTGCACACTGTTGCATAATAAGAAATTTTAACATGATTAACAGCACATGTCTTTAGTTTATTTTTTTATTTCACTTTTTATTTCTTTTACAGGTTGGAAACAAACTGAAGTAAAAAGAAATATGCCCAGGATGCATGTAGAAGTTGGTTGTGCTTTTTTCTAGTCCATCCTGAACCACAATGTTGGTGATTATTGCATTGGCTATGACGTTTGATGTTAGAATTCATTGTTTAAAAAATGTGAAAACAACAATGTAAGATTGGACTAGTATATAGCCATCACAAATACAGATTTATTTAAATATGGAGTCCCATGAAGAGCAGCATGATCCTATAAGGGATATTTTCTCTAATCCCCGCCTTTGGACAAATGGGAATTCCCATGATAAGATGGAGGCTATGTCAAAACTTGACTCGATATTGTATAATACAATTAACAGCATGGTTAAAAGTGAAGGACCAAGTTTTAATGAAAATATGTATAATCCACAGCCTTTTAGCATACCTGCAAGTGTAGGAAACCCATATTTATTGAATTCGTTGGAAAGAAATTCAGATGTCCCTTTCAAAGAACATGAAGAAGATGGCAGTATTCAAATTGTTGCCAATCAATTTACAGCAAATGACATTGCATCTAGCTCTTCAAGGAGAAGTCTTGCATTTAAGAAAAAGACCAGTCTTCCAAAGGAAGTTCATAATGACATAGATGCCATGTTTGATGAATATGGAAAGAATACAGAACATGGACAACCAGAGCCATATTTGCAGGACCAACAGCCCTCAGAGATTCAAGAAGAGATTCCATTCCAATTCAGACAAAATTCCAATTTGGAGGATGCACATAAAATGCAAATTTATACAACATATTCAGGTAATAGTATGTTTATTGAATTGGGAAATCATGCAAGTACTGTGAATACAGGGGCTAAAAACACAGAGTTACAAGACACTGAATTAGATGATCCAAATAACCCTAGATCTGTGTTAGTGGAAACGGAATTGGGAGGCAATCAAAGTGAAAGAAATGAAATGGATGTGAGAAGTGAAAATGCATTAACTGATGAACAGAACCGATTAAAGCCAGTGAAAGGCACAAGGAAATATTTTATCAAAATTATTAATGGAAAAAAGTTTCATGAGTGTTCTTTGTGTACTAAGCTCTTCAGAACCAGAGCAGAAAGAAAAGCTCACAACAAAATGCACAAAGAAACTATTATGGATGTTGATGTTAAGATAATTGATGGCAAGAAGTGGCGAGAATGCTCCGAATGTTTAAAGCTTTTTAAGACACGCAAGGAGTTGCGTATTCATTTTCGCATTCATTCCAATGAAAAGCCATATTCCTGTGAAGTATGTGGTAAAGCTTTTAAGCAAATTGCCCATATGAACTCTCATATGAAAATTCACTCTGGCGAGAAACCACATACATGTGATCTATGCGGTATGAATTTCAGTGAAAGGTCAAGTCTTAAGCGTCACATACGTCGACATTTAGGGATACGCCCATTTCAGTGTGAAATATGTGACAAGACATTTTATACAAGCACTACATTAAAATCTCACAAAGAATCTCATGAAATTCGTTTCGGAACTAAAGAGCGTTACAATTGTTCTGTCTGTAAGAAGAGTTACTCTAGGAAGGAAACTTTGAATAAACACATGAAGACACATGATCCAGAGCAGAGGATAACTTGTGATGAGTGTGGGTGCTACTTTCTGACCAAAGCTCACCTCAAGCGCCATCAGTTGACACATAAAGTTACTGAAGACACAAATCAAGATTACAAAAAGTTCTTTTGTGGTGTTTGCGAGAAGAAATTTTCCACCGATTGTCTCCTTAAATCTCACATGATTACTCACAAATCGGAGAGGGATTTCATGTGTGATCAATGCACATGTACATTCAAAGACAAGTACGCTCTCCAGAGACATAGTCTAGTACATAATCCGGTAGAGCGGGAAAAGAAAGCTTCGCACTTGTGTGAACAGTGTGGAAAGAAGTTTTTGTCACGAAGCAGTCTACGCTACCACCTGACAACTCACATGAACAGCAAACCGTTTGCTTGTGAGGTATGCAATAGAACCTTTTCTCGTCAAAGGGATATGATAAAACATGCCACAATTCATGAAACTGATTCCAATTTCAAATGTCCAGAATGTGATGAAACATTTCAATTGAGAAAGCAGTTGCTGCTACATATTTCTAGGCATCATCCAGAAGAAGAGAAAGTCCATCAGTGCAAGATATGTTTGAAAATTTTCAGTCGAGATGATACGCTGAAATGTCACATGAAAAGACATGAAGGAACAGCTTATCAGTGCGATAAATGTGACAAGATATTTGATAGGAAATCCAATCTTAAAGTGCACAAGCTTACCCATGGTATGACTAGTGATATTCAGTGTCCCTACTGTCCAATGAAGGTGAGATACAAAAGAAGTCTGGTCAGGCATATCTCCAGGAGACATAAAAATGTGGTCCAGGATCAATCTCCATCACAAAGCAGATCCTCAAGAGCCAAGTCTGAGCTCCAGAATTCTTCAGTAGATGAAGAAGAGAAAAATTCCTTAAATGAGTACTATTGTGAAGTAAATTCAAGCTTTTCTCTTGAGGCTGAAGACGTTTCAAATGATGAAAATAGTACATTTTTATCTCAGTATGAATATACAGCAGATGATGATGATTCATTTTTGGAGGAAGATTCCCCATCTGAAGGTCCTAAATATGTTCCTGAAGATGAAAAAGATTCTTCTCTTAATGCAGTTCAATTTGGTGGATCTTCTTCGCATCCCATACTTGCCAAGAAGCCAGAAGGGACTTTTTATTTAAGCAGTGAAATTGAAGCAATGCAAGAGGAACCAATATTAACACATGTAAAGGAAGAGAATAGCTCATCAACTGATGAGTACTCAGATTATTGAGTTTTACATCTTGTAAAAAAATATGTAAGATTTATAGCCAATATAACATGTAATGTTGTATTAAAAAAATAGGCATACATACTGTGTATTGAAGACTAGCTTTTAGTTTCTTTTTTTCTGAAATATGGATTTGTTGAGAGTTTTTAAATGAATAAGTTATTCCCATATTTAGATTTAACTACACAGTATATTATTTATTTGTAGTAGGAAATTATTTTCAATATAATGTAATTAAGTGATCATGATGAAAGGAAATCTTTAAGGTAAACATTCCATTCCCTGAATAACAAGTGTGCTCTCTAATTTTCAAAAATAACCAATATGCTGATATTGCTTAAAGGGGGGGGGGTGCAGAGTCATTGTTATTTTTCTGAATGTAAATATCCCTATATATTAAGTTAATTGAGTGTTCAAAGACTAAGAATAGGTAGTTTGATATGGATACTGGTATACAATGACTTCAGCAACTGTTACAATAAAAAAGTTACAATTCTGAAAGCTTATGTTAAACCCCAATAACAGTAATTCAAAAATATAACGCTTTCAATTGTTGAAGATTTTCCGCGGGAAAAAAATGTTTAGAGATTATTTTGACCCATGGACCTTCTTTTTTTTTCTTACCAGGATAAAATTCAAAAAGATTTTTTTTTATATTGGCTGGACTCTATTTATTTGCCTTTTTTGTATCATTTATTTCCAGCTTGCAGTTCCTATATACATGCACATATTGTTTGTTACTTGTTTACTGTTTTAGTAACAATTCAATGTGTTACATAATTTACATGTATTTACATGTTTATATGTTAGTATTGACCAAATTAGAGTGTTTGATGTGTATTATGTCTATCTTATGTAATTCTTTTATTCCAATAGATATATAAATACATGTATGAATATATAGCAAATGATGAAGTGAATGGAGCCCTTTGTGACTCTTAGATTGTTTAGCCTTAGATCTTTTATATTGTGATTACCTTATGCATGAGTAATTTTTATTTTTAGTTTCTAAGAGTGCTTTAAAACTTATAAAAACATTCTAAAAACATGATATAAAAATAATTTAACTTATTAAAAGGGTTTTATTGAACCTTTATAATTATCATATAATTATGATAATAAAAATGTTAGCTGTTACAGTTATTCCTTATAAATGAGTTAAATGTGCATTGTTTGATCTATGTTTTTTTCCATCTTTTTCATAGAAAAAATATATCATTACAAAGTTTTTCTTTACATATATAATATAAAGCTTTCTGCAAAAAAAGTTTTATTCATAGTTACTAGTAATTTCACATCTTTTTTGTGATCTATACTTAGTAATATTTTTTGTGCAATTTTTCTTTTTTTAAGGAAATATTTAATAACTCTTGTAACATATAAAATATGTAATAAATTATCATAAATACCTTTTCTATGATTTAAGTCATTTGGTCTAGCCTTTCTTTTAAAGTGTTATGCCTAGGAATTAAAGGCAAAGCAAAGAAATTGCATTGAGAAAATGTGTCAACTTTCAGGTCACCACAGTCCATTGATTATAAAAGCTTGAATAACTTTTCTGATCAAAATTTGTTCCTTAATGTCTAACTTTTCTGATCAAAATTTGTTCATTAATGTCTATATAATTCTCTCACATATTTTTTTATTATCTCCAGAAAAATGGACCTAATTCATTTAAACCAGGCACAAAATATCCTTTTAAATGACAGGTCCTACCCCATTTGATACAAGACAAAGTAATGAATTGAGTGAAGGAAGAACCTCTGGCCAGGAATAAAGAATGAAAAGAGGGTATGAAGAACAGAAGAGTAAAGTGCCTACAATGAACTTGGTGGCCTATGGACCTCTTTTCATCTTATGGTACCAAAATAATAAAAATCAACCTAAAACACCGATTATATGGAATCCAATGGAGCCAAATATTTCATTGCACCATGGGACCATGGAGGTGAAACGGTTATTGTTATATAAAGGCATTTTATATATATATATATATATATATATATATATATATATATATATATATATATATATATATATATATATATATATATATATATATATATATATCTACTGTGCTAATGTGATAGTTGAGTGCTAAAGAGATAGTACGATTTATTACATTGTCAACATTGAAATATATACGATACCAATGGAGGTGATAGCCATATAGATTCCTGTAGAAATAAGGAAAGTTGACGATGGGAAAAAATTAAATTCATCACCAGCTGAGTTCTTGGTTGGCCCTTATGGCCTATAATAATCGAAAAATATCCAGTTAGATATGAAAAAGACGCCGCTGTATAGACTCTATTGTTTTTAATATTAATTACAAGCTTACTGGGAAAATTCGAGTTGACGTAAGAGTTTAATGTTCAACATTGACATTCTATATATGATTCGAAATAGTAACTTTAAGGTATCCGATCCATAGAATGTACTAGCCTTAGATTCAATGAATTTGAATGCATAACAGATATATATTGGGTGAATACTAAGTATGTGTAGTCGTGGTCTTCATGTTTTAATCTCAGTATGTTAGAGTGGAATGTGTCCTAATTTTTTACCTTGACCCGTCCTTGATGAGTTATCCCCCTTTGCTTTTACTCAATAAAATTCATTTTAAAAAAATCTATCTGGTGAAAAATTATTTTTAATCGTTTTTCTATTCTTAATAATTATATGCATCCTTCCACCATAGCATTTTTTTTGATATTCATAGTATTTAAATTTTTATTTTAAAAAATAAGCTTTTTCCCATAGACCTCAATGCATTCTTAATTAATTACTGCTCGGGTAATTATATTTCTTAAATTTTCCCCTGGTAAATCGTTTTCTACTCTAAACTGCTTTGAATTAATTTAAGAGTATTTAATATAGGATGGATATTAAAGGTTAGAAAATTATGTCCTTTTATGGATCGGATACTTAAACAAATCAATGTACATGTGTACTGTTAGTCGGGCCATTCGTATTTCATTATGAAAGGAAATCATGGAATGTTAATATAATGATATTGGAAATAAAAGAGGCTCATGTATTGAAATAAGATTGAAATCAAAATTAATCGGTTCTCAATACAATAAAAGAACCTCAATGTGTGTGTGCGTTTAAAAGTGTATATACGTGTTTGCATAATACTTACAAATATTTAGAATTTTATATAACATATATGAGTAAGAATCATGTTGCATGATGTCCATAATTTTTTTTCTATGTTAAGTGCGACGTAAACAGAAGATTAAGTTATTAATTAATGACAAAATGAAAGTTTTTACTGACTCATTAAAAATTATGTCATGAACGTTAATATTATGGCTCGTGTCAAATTAAAGCTGTGTCACTTTATTTAAATCTTAAATGCATTATGTACGTGATGAAAATCATATATCTTTTGAATTCGCCTAAACAAATAACGACCTTGTCGGGCTGCCTTCTGCATACAAATCGGATAGTTTGCAATCATTGTTTTTCCCCTCCGAATTATCATATTTTTATGGGTTAATATTCTGGAGAGTTTTATTTTAGTAAATTTGTTCATTCACACATGCATGTCACACATAATATCTCTTGGTTAATTCTGTATGTTTATGCAAGAGTATAATTTTAGATCAATTTTGGCGTCATATTTATTAATTTGAAGATTAAGCCGCCTGTAAAGTACAATTAAATTATTACAATGAACCAAACTTCTATAAGTGTTCACCTAATATATTTTACATTTTAACGAACAAATACACACAACAAACAAATTCTTTAATTCATGGTTAATGATGCATATTTCAGTTCGATGTTGCGAAAATTTCATGCATCAGTATCTCATCAAAATTTTAAGCAAACTGTCAAGGAAATGATGTACCCTCAAAATGAAAATTCACATAAAATAATCTCTACGGAGTAAGACAACCACTCGCTCTAATTACTGCAAGAAATCCTTTACTGTTGGCTACCATGTACCCTTGAATAGGAGACTGACCCTTCTGCTGCCGCACCTACTGCATGGATATTTCAAAAGCGTTGAAATTGTGTAGAGGATGATGGTGGGGCTTTGATATTCCTTATAAAAAATCCAAATGTGTTCAATGGGACTCAGATCCGTGGATTGGCAGTGCATCATCACACGGATGCCTCTTGGTCAGTATGATCGGGCATTTAGCACGTAAGTGACGCTTTAAGGATGATTCAGACTTTTTGAGATGATATTAGAATACCACGAGCACTGGTCAATTTCTTATAATTTTCTTAAAGTTGTTTGTGTTAATGTTTCTAAAATTGTTTCAGGACAATGTACCACTCTTTTCACCTGGTTGTGACGCGAAACCTTGGCCTCAGACAAAGGTTTAAATCACTTCCGGTTTGCTTTAATTTTGTCCAAAGCTTTCACCTTGTGATGAGTTAGCGATGAAAATGACACCCAACCTATAGAAAAATGTGTTTAAATGGGTTTAGATACTGGTTTTTAATTTCTAAAAGTAATATCAAAGACAAATTAACATATTTAAATAAAAGAGAGTAAAACATGGTGTAAGAATGACCCAGATATCAGCATTCCAACGGCTCTCCCTCCGTTAATTCTTAATACTAGTATAGTCATTTTGCCAGTGTTTTTTTGTTTTTTTTTTTAGTTAAACCAGGTTTTAAAATTTGATCATGGTCACAAAAAGATGCTAATTGCACAAAACACATGCCGAAAAGTACAGATGTATTGTTTATTTTTAGCTTCGTCACGGGACATTGGTTTTCATCAGTGATAATTGATTTCCGTTCAACAACTGTTGACAAAGACTCATTGGTTGTAATAATTTGAAAATATCATACCATTCTAAATTTAGATAAATACATTTATAGGAGTGAACAAAAGAAGTTTTGTTGAGTGTATGTCAATTGTCATCAGTGAAATTGTGTGTATTTTAAATGTTAATGATAATAGGTTAGGAAAATAAAGCCTGCATTAAATATTGACATTTCTAAATGTTAAAAGCACGGGTCTTTGGAATAAAAGGCCTTAAATGACTGCTTAAAATGATCCCGAGTACCATGTATATACATGTAGGTCTAAATTTGAAACCCCCTGTACGAAAATGTGTAGTTGACATCAACTAGTAGTCAACTAGCTGTCAGCTAGTCGTCAACTGATTACTCGAAAACAGTTAACCACTAGGAGTTGAATGCTTTTCTTAAAAGCTGTCAACTTTTTTGCATAAAATGGTCAGTTGACCGTCAATTGACTGCTTTTCAACGAGTTGACAATTAGTTGAATACTGATACTTTAAGTTAGAGTTGACTATGTTGTTGAACACTCCAACTTTGTGACATCCTGTAGAGTTGACTATAG